CAACGAGAATACCGCGGGCGGGGCAGGGGCGGAGGCGAGCGATACGACGGAGTCGTACCTGCCGAACTTTGCGGGAATCCCGAACCTGCCGAACTTGAGCAATCTGCCGAATATACCGAATGGGGCGCAGATGGCGAACGAGTGGCTGGAGGGCGTGCCGACGTTGGGGATGAATGCACGGAGAAAGTTCTTCCATGCGCTTGCGGTGGTGATGTTCGTGCCTGGTGTGGCGGTGGATGTGAGTGCATGCGTCATTTGTTGTGCACATGGGCTGACGGGCGCTGTAGCCGGCGTTTCTGCACCTGGCGTTCAGCGGCGCGTTTGCGCTGTTCGTGTTTGCGGAGTACGTGCGGTACTTTGCGCTGTACCCGTTGGGAGCGGCGGTGCACGTGTTTATGAACGCGTTTCTGGACCAGAAGGATGCTGGGACGGCGATTTTGAGCCATTTTTATTTGTTGATTGGGTGTGCGGGGTGTGTTTGGTTTGAGGGGTGAGTTGTTTTGTTCTCGGGCTTTTTCTCGTCCCCTGTTGCAACGGTGGCTATGTTGCAGCTGCATGTTCCTTTGTGGATTATCCGGAGCGCGTGACTGTTCTCATTCCATGATCGGATTTCTCACTAGCAGATCGATTCTGTCGATTCTCCGGTCTCTCTCACAAGCGATGGTTGACTGACTAGAACCTCAGACCCTCTAGATTGCTGCTATACACAGGCACGCTGGTACTAGGCGTCGGCGATGCAATGGTGCGATCTGCATTACATATCGCGACGAGCATTATTTGTACGCTAAATTTGTATACGGTGGCAGGCGTCGATTGTCGGGAAGCGGTTCGGGCGGCACCGGTGGGTGGCCACGAGCGGGAAGACGGTGGAGGGCAGTGTGGCCCTGGTGGCAAGCGTGGTGTTGAGCGCGTGGCTGCTGCGTGTGTGCGGATGTGCAGAGCGGTTCTCGGTGCGTGTAGTGCGCGGCGTGTTGGTCTGCGACTGACTGTTGCTGCAGGTGTGGCGGTATACGGTGGTGTTGATGCTGGGGGCGCTGCTGGAGGGGTTCAGCGTGCAAAACGACAATGTGGTGCTGCCGCTGTATGTGTGGACGCTGCTGGTGTTCGCGGAGGTGTAAGGACAGCCGTCGGACTACAAATTAGAATGAATAGAGTTTGGCGGTGAATTGAGCACGTGATGATGACGCGGGTCTGGATATGCCTGGGCGCTGTTTCCCGATCTGGACGACTGACCTCCTCCTATTAGCCTTCCACTATTACCTTACCTTATTTCCAGCGGGCATGCTCCCGAGCCAACGCCCCCTGCCTGCACCGACGCCGACTCCCGCCGCCCTCTCCCTCGACGACCTCTCCCGCTCCCTCAATCTTCCCCACAACACCGCCGCATACACCCTCCCGACCATCCCCCGTCTCGCTCTCCAAGCAAAGACCACGCATCGCCCTATCCGCCGACCCTCCACTGCCTCGTCCGCAGAGGAGCGCCCGTCCCTTCTCCCGTCGTCCCCCTCCCCCGCCGTCTCTTTCTCATCCACTTGCGCACCCTGCGGCGTGCATGACGCTGCGTACGCGCCCGACTCGGACGCGGACACACGCAGCAGCATGCCTCCGCTCATGCCGTCCGTCGACGGGCCGGAGGACGCGAGCATCAGCGAGATGAACCGTCGCGCACACGCCGCCGTCGAGGGCCTCCGCGCAGAGGCCTCGCGCCTCGCGAACGCAGGTACGTGCTCTCCGCGTATGCTGTTCCTCATGTCCGCCTGGCCCTCACCACCATCCACACCCTCGCCCACAGTCGACGTGCTGCCCTCCCCGTTCGATCCCACCCCCGTCAACGACTCTGACGAGCCCCAACTCCAGCTCCAGCTTCCCCCGGCGAGCGAGAAGCCTGCGACCGCAAACGCCGCAGACGAGGCCACGTGCGACTGGGCTGCCTTCGTGCACGCGTACGCACTCGGCCGCTGGGACCCACTCCGCACCCCGCACCCGCCTCGTTCGCAGCTCCAGGCACCCAGTCACCCTGGCGCGCGCGACTTGGGGGCGATGGTGCCGACTAAGGAGCAGACGCAGGCTGAGCGAGATCGCGAGATGTTCGAGTCGCCGTGCGAGATGCACCCACCTGAGACACTGCATGACCGGGAGGACTCCGGCTCGACGGTAGGTGCCCCGGAGCCGGCTGTCCCGCTCGTGGATGGGATCATCGGTGCGGGGGAGGTGGGATTGCTCTCACTGTCTCCGATGTCTGAACAACATCCCGTGCAACCTCATACGACAGCGATCGATGCTTCACCGGCGTCAACGACGGCAAGTAGCAGTACATCGGCAGTGAAGACCGCATCAGTACACAAACGACCGGGGGTGCCCTTGTCGCTAGGCGCGTTCCCGCACAGACTGCGTAGCGCATTCCCTGCAGTGCCTCCAACGCCCTCACATGCGCCTCATCCCTCCACTTCATCCACCTCCGCGAAAAGTCACGCTCGTCACACCTCATCGTCGTCATCATCCGTCTCGTCCAACCACCAGATCCCAACGACAGAGGCGACGACAACCGCCGCGGCTATCCGGTGGGCAGGGGCACGGGTGAGCGTCGCACCGCTCGCGCTGCCGTCGCCGGAGCACGAGCTGACAGACCCGATGCGCGGCGTGACGGCAGTGATCCCTGGGTCTCACCCGCCCGATGCGTTTGGGGGATACTTTGGGAACGCGTGGACGGCGACTAATGGGAGGGTAGGATGGGAGGGTGAGCCGGTGTTCTCGCCGGGGACGGGGAGGAAGACGAGATTGAGCAGTTTTTGGCAGGGGACACAGGATGTGGAGGAAGGGGATCGGGTGGAGGATGAGGATGGGAGGGGAGAGGAGAGTGATGGTGAGAAGGAGCAGGCGGGAGTGAGTGAAAGGAGGAAGGAGAGTGGGAATGGGCATGTGAAGGAGGGCTCGAAGGAGAAGGAGTCGATGAAGTTTCCCTTGCACCCGCCGCCTGCGACTGCGCCGGTGACGTATACGATTGAGGAATCCGATGGGGACTATTTCGGGGCGATGGATGGGATGTTCGGGCAGTCATATGCGCATTTCGCGACGACGAGCGAGCGACCGTCCAAAGCGGTGTCGCTTGAGACCGTCGTTAAGCACGAACGTGCGGAAAGCGACGGCGATGCCAAAACAAAGCCTCTGAGTTTGACATCCTTCCAAGCCCCACTAGCCGACCATGATTCTCAAACGTCCAAGCGGACCTCCGTATCGGCCTCACCAGAAACTACATCAACCTCTCACTCACATACCCCATCAATCACGACCATACAACCGCTCCCTACGCACGCGAACACGACGTCGATCATTTCACCGCCGGGCCGATTTGACGCACAGACGGTGCCCGCGCTCCCGCGGCGCATCTGCCTTACGCGCCAGACGAGCGCACCACTGCCGCTGCTGAGCAGCGCGTCGCTTCCTGCGGCGGGGCTCGATGTCGCGAATGGGTCGGGTGGAATCGCGGTGATTGCGGCCGGTGCGGGGCGCACGGGGCGTGCGGCGAAGGAGGAGCAGATGTTCAGTGAGCTGGGATATTTGGCGCCACCCAACCCGCAGGATGAGCTGGAGCGGAGGAGGGCCTTGTACAGGTGCGTGGCGGTTTCGTTCGACTCGCTCTGCTGGCTGACTGCTGGTGTCAGGTTCAATATTTGGGGCACGGGCCGGGACGTGAACTTTGACCGGATCGCGCACTTGGTGAAGCTGGTGTTTAGCACGAAAGTTGTGACAATTTCGCTCGTGGATGGGACGGAGGAGTGAGTGGTGTGCTGCTCTACTTATTAATTGTAGACTGGGCTGATTGATGGTGGATAGGTTCTTCAAGTCTGAATGTGAGTTGGACTGGGTTTGAACGTGGAGGGAAGTTGGGTGGGTATGACTGATGGCGGTGACTTGCAGCGGGATTTGGCACGCAGAACATGCCGCGGACGAGTTCATTCGATGCTCATGCCATTTTGCAGAGGTGAGTCGCGAGTGATGTGGATTCGATGCGTTTTCGCGGTGTTAACCGGCAATGTGTCGGGGAGTAGGGACGACGAACCCATGGTCGTGCACGACGCACAAGAAGATTGGAGGTTCGCGCGGAACGTACGTCCTGTTTCCTTTCATCTTTCCCCGCTTCGCCCATGCTCATATATCGACGCGCAGCCGCTCGTGATTGGCACGCCGCGTATCCGGTTCTACGCTGGATGTCCGCTGCGCACACAGGATGGGTACAACATTGGTGTGTGAGTATATGCGCTTATTTTTCTTTTTCCTTCCTCCCGCCCGCCTATCTGACTATTGCTCTTGTCTCTGGTTATGGATAGTCTCGCGATCATTGACGATGTGCCACGGAGGGAGTTCGGTCCCAGGCAGCGGCATACGTTGAAGGAGTTTGCGGTGGGTAGCTGTCTTGAGTGTGGGTGAAGAGAATGGCGAGCTAATGGTGTCGGTAGCAAATTGCGATGCGGGAGCTGGAGTTGTGGAAGGACAAGGTACGTAGTCATTCTCAGTAGACATGCATGGGTTGTGAATGGTTCTTTCAGATTCAACTGCGTATCAGAGACCGCATTCAAAACTCGGTAGGTTTTCTCAGCGATGATAATCTCAATCGTGGCCTGATATAGCTTGGTGCAGATGGAGCAATTTACGCGGGAATGCCTCGATCTCGATAAGGAAGCGGATGGCGAAAAGGGCCTGTTTATGGGCACGTCGATGGAGCAGGTGTACGAGCGCGCCGCGCGGCTCGTGAAGCGAACGCTTGATGTGGAGGGCGCGATCGTGCTGGACGTGTCACACGTGGACGTGCTTGAGACGATCGGCGCGGAGAGCGCGATGAGCATCACGCTGCACAATGCGGATAGGCAGGCAGGCTCCTCGACGAGCAGCAAGTCGCTCAGCCGCGAGGAGTACGCGCGTCTGACAGAGTTCTTTGCCCGATATCCGGATGGGAAGGTTTGTGAGGGGATCGTGCCGGCGACGTTGCGCCCGTTTCTGCCGACGAGGATACAGTATGCGCTTGGTGAGTGATTTGGATTTGTGGGGTGTGAGGGTGTGCAGTGCGAATGATTGCTTTGGGAATAGCGGTGCCTATATTCAACATTGACAAGCAGCCATTTGCTTTGTTGTGCGCGTATAGCACCGGCGAGCGCACGACGCCTTTCGTAAGTGCCTCTGCTCGTTGGATCTGACTATGATTCACGCTCAGCTTGTATCAGCTCGAAGGGCACGAATTGTCGTATCTCCGCGCTATCGGTAAGTTTGGCTTTGTAATTGTAGCGGAGCTTCCATACTAAAATATGACTAGGTGTGATCATCCTGTCCGCTGTGTTGAAGCGTAGAATGGTTCTCGCGGATAAGGCCAAGAGCTTGTTCATCTCGAAGTAGGTCTTCTCGCTGGGAAGATGCGGTGTTTGTTCTAATCCTGCTTCCGTTAGCATCTCGCACGAACTGCGAACACCGCTGCACGGGGTAAGTGCCCGGCGTGTGCATACACTTACCGGCACTGTGGCTCATTGCTGCCGTTGACAGATACTGGCGTCGGCCGAGCTGCTCTCTGACACGCCCCTAGATCATAGTCAGACATCCTTTCTGCAGACGGTGGAGGCGTGTGGAACCTCGCTTGTGGAGACGGTCAACCATGTATTGGACTTCACGAAGCTAAGCGGCAATGCGAAGGCGGGCGGTGTGGAGAATGCCATTCAGCATAGCAGGTGAGTGTGCATGTTGGCTCGATCATCTCATCGTGTGCTGAGTCGAATGATCTGTAGGGTTGACCTCATGCAGCTCGTGGAGGAGGCCATTGAGGGAGGTTGGATAGGACACCGCGCGAGGATGTTCACGTCCGAGATTGGCAGCGTGTATTCGCCGCCGAAGCAGGATCGCCCAGCCGTCCTCCCTGATCCTGCAGAGCAGCATGTTGAGACCGTCATCGACATAGACTTTGGCTCAACGAGGGTATGTTACACGCTTGTCTGAGCAAAAGGTTGTTTCTCACCGTTCTGTCCGATAGGGCTGGACCTTCATGTGCGAGAAGGGTGGCATTCGTCGGGTGTTGATGAACGTATTTGGCAACAGCTTGAAGTTCACATCGGTTGGCGGACTGAATTGTTTGTTAGTGCCATCGATCGGGATCTGATCGTGCGTTCCTTACTTAGGACGGTTACGTTCACGTCATGCTTCGACAACTGCCTCCGACGAGCGAGACACCGAGCGACAAGGTTCGCCTGGAACTCTCTGTGATCGATACCGGAAAGGTGCGCCGGCATTCTGTGCTAGCATTCATTTTGGCTGAATTATGTACAGGGCATCAGCCAGCATTTCCTCAAGGTATCCATCGTTGACATGCTCTGCCTTGTCATTGCTAACGAATTTTTTATTTGCAGAATCAACTGTTCCATCCATTCTCGCAGGAGAACCCATTGCAGACGGGTACGGGACTCGGCCTGGCTATTGTCAACAGCATTGTACGATCTCGTAGTGTGGACGGCAAGGTCGATGTCTGGAGCGCAGAGGGCGTAGGGACCGAGATCAAGATAACTTTTGATGCGGAGCCAGTCGAAGAAGAGCAGTCCTCATCTTGCGACGAAGAGATGGTGCAGGTGTACGACCACATGAAGCGGCCGACCGTGTCGTTGCTAGGCTTCAACGACTCGCACCGAGGGGTCCAGCTCTTGCGCTCTGTCGTCAGGTCGTATCTGGTGTCACGATGGGGATTCACTCTAGCTGAGGAAGATACCGTTGGTCAAATTGTGATCGTCAATGAAGATCTTGCGCCCCTGGCTGCTGCGATCGACAGCAAACAAGCATCTAGGCCGTTCATTATTCTGTCGTCGCTTCGTGGTGACCCTCGTCTCATGAATATGGTTGGCGAGTATGAACGCATCGGGGGCTTCTGTCGAATTGTGTACAAGCCTGTCGGCCCGATCCGTTTACACGCCGCGCTCAAGATGTGTCTGCACATTATCAACATAGGTCAAGGATCTCGCACGCAGTCTACAGTGCCCACGCGCCCGGAGTCGCCTGTCGTCGAGGCATCGCCTCCCTCGGAGGACGTGGTCACGCCTGAGGGCATTCTGCCTCGTCGCTGCTCGGAAGATGGGATTGCCACGATGCAATGCAGACCCGCGCTTGCTCCTCGTGCTGCTACGATTCATCCGCTTGCCAGTTGGTCTCACATGACTATCTCTGCTCCGGCGGATGGAAACGAGTCCGAACCGCCGGATTCTTCCGAATCAGTCCCATCGACCCCCACTCCCCTTATCGCTGTAGGCTCCGGAGGAACGTTGCTCAGGTCGTCTGTTGGCTCTCTTGGTGTTCGAGGGCCGCTGCGGGTACTCGTCATCGAGGATAACAGCATCCTACGAAATCTACTGTACGTTATGTGGATATCTGACTTGTACATGCTGCTCACGTGTTGATGCGCAGAATAAAATGGCTTAGAAACAAGGTGAATGGCGGTGTATTATGTGGATAACGATCATTTTGCTGATTCAACTTAGGGCTACGACTTTCGGGAGGCGGTGGATGGGCAAGAAGGAGTCAGTATCTTTGAGAGCGATGGACATTTCGAGTGAGCGAAACTGCTGCCCATCGCTCGTCATGAGCTTAACATCTATCCAGCGTCGTCCTGGTAGATTTATCTATGCCTGTGCTTGACGGTCAGTTCACGTGGTATACTTGCGATTGAGGCTCTGTTGCTCATCTACCGTTCCCGTCGCACTAGGTGTCGGTGCAACCATGCAGATGCGATCGATAGAAACGATGCGGAAGCGGGTTGAATCTCGTGATGATCATCAGAAGCCATCGCGTGCTGCTCGCATCCTAGCGCTCACTGGCATGTCCTCACTGGAAGATAAACGCCGCGCTTTTGAAGCCGGCGTAGACGGATAGTACGTTATCGTCGTCGTGCATCGACTGTCGTGACGAGTCTAATGACAATCTGTCTAGCTTGGTGAAGCCGGTTGCGTTCAAAACACTAGACACAATGTTCCATAAACTTGGCATCACACCATGACTGAGATGCAGACACTTTGGAAAATCAGGGATGGCCGTCCCAGGATCTTCGCACTCATATATTCTATATCAGGTCATACATCGTCTGCCCCGACGTCCGATATATCTATATTGCAACAGACACACATACCTAGTAGGTCGCATTTGTATATCCATCTCCTGCTAGTGCTACTCTTTACGTGTCAGACTACGCGTATTCTACCCTTCCATCACTCCATATTCTTAACCATGTAGCCTCCTAGCCTAACCCTCCTCTTTCAATGCTCTAGTCTTACCGGATAATGGACCACTTTACCACATGATACACGATATATAACACGGGTTTTTGCGTGTGAAGTCGTATGCTGACGAGGTGAAGCCGCTGGTAAGGTGTGCTCATGTTCGAAAGTATTGCCATGCTTTCTATAGTGGTGCCTACAAAAGATTCGAGAAATGTGGAGTTGAGCCGCAAATAGTTGGTCGGTGCGATCCTGTCACAGACCTCGTTGTTGTGGCTGGCTTGACAAGGAAGACACCATAGCGGTATGATTAATAACAAAAATCCATCGTAAAAGCAGCAAGAGAAAGAGAGGAGACATGAAGAGCATGAGCGCAAGCGAGTGCAGCGTTATGGAGAAAGAGGTGCTGTTACACTGCTCGCGTTATCAGCCACAAGCGCGATTATGCCACGCACGTGACCGTGCTGTGCTGCATATCTATAAGCTCACCTTGCTTCCGACCGACTATCACTTGGGTGAAGAGGCGTCAAGCGCCGGTTCCAAATGACAGCAATGCAAAGTTTATTCAGGGGGAGTACGCAATAGATGTACAATTACATTAAGCTGTCGAAGGCTTTCTCCATTTCATTTCGAGAACCCATCCAGACAACTGGTCCTTATTCGGTTGCCGCACACAGTCTAGCGCAGGGTAAGTCTCATTAGCATCCGCGATATGATGAATTCGGATCGCTGAAGGTGGATCTAGAGTACGAACCGCAGGCGTGAGCAGGGACGTCGGAGTTCCAGGTGCATTGGATGGCTTGTTCGAACTTCGGATCGAAGCCATGTAAAAGTACGTGGTCCGAGTGGGGTGCTGACAAGATGGGAGGACAGCTAGTGGATGGAGACCAACGGTGGTGGACGAATCAGTGAGGAGGTGTGTTTGACGGGCAATAGGTAGAGCATTGTAAGGACTGAGAGCACTCAGAGTGACAGAGTGGATCAAAACAAATAGGGGATTGACAAGTACATGGTCAGTATCAACAAAAGGCATACCTGTATCACAATCGACGATGCCGACAAATGTATAGGTGTGCAAGCCTGTCCACAGCAGCCTGGGATACAACAGTGATGCAACAACATGCAACACATTGTAGCAGAATGAATACAGCAATGAATCACATTTAGTGACGAACATTATATCTGAGAAAAGTACGGTGATCCCAAAAAAAAATGAAGTAAACGTGGTGATGAACAAGTCCTAGGGCGGAACTTTGAGGGCGACGGTGGCGTGTTGCATGAGTTACGTAATAAAAGTTATGTAATCTGCAACAACTGCGTCACGTGTTCACGTGACCGGCGTACTGAAATAGCCAAATTGGTCATTTGGAATCTGCTAAAATCAGGCTTCAACGCGCCTTTTGCTAGGCCTTATGTGGAGATATCTACGGTTACATCCATCCTCACTTTCATAAGAACCCGCCAACATCCATCACAATATCTGTACATCATCACAAAATGCAGCATCACAAACAGGAACACGTTCCGGGACACAAGTTATACATAGAGCCACCGGCCACGGTCCTCCGCCCACTGAGGCAGAGATCCGATGCTGATCCCGGTGAAATGCTCGTGTAGAGACGGAACCGCATCGATCGCGTCCGCACGAATATCCTCATCTCTCGGGGTTCCCGGTGGTGTGATAGTGTTCGGCGGATACTCATAATCGTAGGACGATAGAATGCCCAGCCCAGAACCACCTACAGAAGTGGTGTATGTCCTGAAGCCAGAGCCCTCCAACGCAGAGATCAAAGCTTGTAGCGATAAGTCGCGGAAGTCTATTGCCAATGCATGTCAGCAACTAGACCTTCATAGAAAATGTGTAGGTCGCACCATCTGGCACCAGAGTCACAGCGCAACCTCCTCCGCCTGCGCCGGTAAGCTTCGTGCTCAGTCCGAACCGCTCGGAAGCAGTTGTCGAACGGATGGTCTCTAAAGATGGATGAGAAACGCCCAGTGAAACTAGATGTGCGTGGTTCTCGTTGATCAATGTCTGAAATATGAACTTGAGAATACTACGGTCAGCGACAAAAGAATCGAACGCACGGAGAGAGCAGAAAGCAGTGATGCCCTGGGAAGCTCTGGATCGGCCAACGCTCGATGAGCCTCATCACTGATGCTTTGAATGGCATCTAAGATCTTGTTCACAACCTCGGGGTCCTGTGATACAACATAGTAAGCATTATGAGCAGAATGTAGCCTACTAAAAATCAGCACCTCAGCCTTCTTCATGGCGACGCCGGCAACAAGCTTCTTCGTGTCACGGGGCACTCTGGAATCAACCAACAAGAAACGCAACGATTTGAAACTAGTGAAACCGAATCATAATTAGCATCACGAACAAGACTCGTGCAAGCTTCATGCCCACCCTTGGATCTGCTCCATCCCGCTCTTCTTCCCAAAGCCGGCGCGCGTATATGCCAGCGCACCGCCAAACACGGCGACCGAGTTGTCCACTCCGCTCGGATTACCATGCAATACCTTCTCCCCGATGAACGCCCACCGGTTGACTTCTTCCGCGACGTCCGGAGGGATGGCCCGCCGACCATGGTGCGAAATGTGTAAGTGGCCGGGATCGCCATACGCGGGCTGGCGGCTGCGCGGAGGAAGCGGCGGGATGGAGATGCGCTCGTGGAGGAGCAAGAGCGCCGTAGCAACACACGCCGAGTAGGACGCTGAAGACCCAAGCCCCGCGCCTACCGGAAGAGTCGACCGCGCCACAAAGTTGAACGATGGTCTGCAGCGCAAGAGCTCGTTGATTAGGGCTTTACTCCGAAGACGCGAATACGCACCGGAAGCCGCCGTGCGTCATCGTCATGTACAGGTAGAGGAACGCCACCATAGCCCCCTGCGCCTTCGGAGGGATCTCGTCTGCCGGAGGCAAAGCGCGCGTACTGATGGCCTCCATCAGTTTCTGGTCGAGCTGATCTGGGTGCGATTCGCCGGGAGGAACGGGAGTAACCGCGTCCCAGGGCAGATCGTCAAGATCCCACTCGTGGTGATAGTTTCCGATATCGGAGAGGTGCAACGACAGCTTGTTGTCATGCCGTGGTGACACCAATCCGTAGCAGCGCAAGTCTACCGAGGCTGCGATAGCCGTCTTCAATAACGGATACCATAGTGAGCGCAAACCTGTGATCCTATCGGTCGAACCACGTACCACACCGTGCACGACTGCATGCTCTCCGAAGAGAATGACCTTGCCAGGAGCGCTGACAAGCCATTCTCTGTCCTCCCTCTCACGGATAGGTTCATTCAGCGCCAACTTCTCCACCGCCCTGCTAATCGGGTTGGGAATGCGCACATATTCGTTCGCAGCATACGCCACAGCACCTGCCTCAAGCAGCGCATGTTGGAGGTCGTCAAGAAGATCTGCCGGGTCCTCAATACCGACGCAGAGTCGGATCAAATCCTCCGGAAGACCACGAGCTGCGCGCGTCGCCGGGTCAATAGAAGCATGCCTGTGCAAAGCTTAGTTGTTGTGCAGGACAGGAATATACGGAACTACACTTACGACATCACGCAAGGCATGCTAATCAAACTGTTCACGCAGCCAAAACTGACGCTGATACCCCACAGGCGCGTAGCACCTACGATGCGCTCGCTAAGCTCCTTGTCGCCAGTTTCAAATGAGAGCACTGCGCCATAGCCTACAAGAACTATGAGTACTCGAACTGATCAGGATACTAAATGGCTGCAACAGACCGTCTGCAATGCGCTCATGCACTTCCCTGTTCGGATGATTCGGCAGGCCAGGGTAATGCGTAACGAAGCCTAGACGAGAGAGTAGCTGAGCGACAAGCATAGCGGTAGATTGCTGGCGATCCATGCGAATGGCGAGTGTCTTGATGCCCCGGAGAAGCAAGAATGAGTCGAACGGCGTGAGGGCATTGCCAACTGCGTTGATCGTGAATGCCATTTGCTGCAGGATCGGATGAGCTCCATGAATAACCGAAAGTCTCGTTGTAAACACACCTTTGCCAATTCATCCTGGTTGCAAGTAATGACACCCGCCATCAAGTCATGGTGTCCGCTCAGATACTTCGTCGCGCTATCATATACGATGTCCGCCCCATGCTCCAGGGGGCGCTGCAGGTAAGGACTCATCATCGTATTGTCCACCACGATGACTGCGTCCGGACACTTCTCCTTTACGAGCGAACTGATCCCGGCAATGTCGATGATTTTTAACAGAGGGTTCGTAGGAGTCTCGAGCAGCACCATGGCCGTCTTGCCGGGATTGAGGCAGGGAACGACCGCCGAAGGATCCGCGGTGTCTATGTGGTGTACCGTTACACCCATATGCGTGCGAAGGTAGGTGAGCAGACGGTGCGTTCCACCATAAATATCATCGCCCGCAATTACTTCGCTGCCGGGCTTGAGGATGCGCGTAATCACATCAAGGGCAGCCATGCCGGAGGAGACGACAAAGGCATGTTCCGCGGAGGATATTTTGGCAATATGGTGCTCTGAGAGGAGAGTGAACGTGTTAGCACTTCTGTCCCACCCACTTAGAAAATGTAGTGAATATCTTTCGTTCCAATCTCAACCCGAGCAAGCGTTCCGCTAAAACGCTTTCTCTTCCGTATCATATACGGGGCTCATAACAAACGAGGGAACACATACTTACGTAAATGCGTCCTGGTCGGGTTCCCGCTCCGAGTATAATCATATTGCCCGCCGACACCTTTGAACGTCGCAGTCTGGTAGATGGGTACGCTGGAACTCCCATGCTGGTCCTTATGCTCTGCGTCCGGCGTCTCTACATTTGCGCAAAGCGTCGAGAAGCGGTACGGCTGGCGACGCGGGATCGACGGCGACTCCGGCTCGGGAGTCGGCAAGTCGTGCTCGGGCAGCTTCGACGCGGGACCACCAGACATTTCGGTATTAAGACAAAGGGAAGAGAGAAAAGGATGGAACGGCCGATTCTACGGCCGTACGAGTGATATAGAGCGTGTGTGGGGGTTGAGCGCAAAGCATCGTCGTGCCACTCACTCGTATGCCAGGCGCAATCACGTGATGCAATCGCGCCATTCAGTCGCCTTAAATCGAACTCGACGTTCCCGAGTTTCTCGGAGCACGCGTGTCATCCGACTTGTTCCACTAAGATGCCTCGAAGACAGCGTGAATTCATTGGCATCGCAGCATGTGAGGAACGAGTTTCTGATTCAAAGTTGGGATAGATAGCGACTCGCCAGACGCAGGCGACCATCACTCAGCTTGACCCGGAAGTCATCGCCAAACGAACAAAACGGCACTTGGATGAGCTAGAGGTGCGTATACTTGCTTGCGTATGCAAATAGGTTTGTTCATACTCGTCCACAACTGCACAGCGTTCCAACTACACTGAACCCTCTTCTTCCACCTTTCCCGGCCTTGATGAGGTTGAAGAGGAGATGGGTAGCCGCACCGTGAAGGGTCGTGCGCGCCAAACCATTTCGGACAAGCGTGAGTGGCCAGGGTTGAAGAAGAAAAAGTCAACAATGAACGTGCGGACGGCAATTCTGTACAAGAAGAACCTAGCCACACTCATCGACGAGTCTGTGAGCGAGAGCATTTTGTTGAATGGCTGCCGTATGCTGATGCATCTGGAGTAATGCAGGGTATAGCGAACTGCCCTGCGAATATCAGAACATACCTCAACGCTGTCGCTCCGCCTCCTCGCGAGCCACCGCGCCTTCTGTGCTCCGTGTGCGGATATTGGGGAAAATACAAATGCAAGAGGTGTGCGATGCCATATTGCGACATGAATTGCGAAGCAATACACAATGAGACGCGATGCGAACGCAGGGTCATCTGATTGATCTCGTTTCAAACTCTTGATGGCAAGCAGGCTGCCATTGATATGCTCGGAGCAATCGCGGAACCACTCTCAGACTCTCTTCCTTGTATCATTCGTATTACCATTGTCGTCCTATTGGTTACATGTAAAATACAACTGTGTACGATAGAAACGTCACAACGTTTAGGGTTAAAACAGTGATGGTGTCCATGCAATAGAGCTTTACAATGTCAGAAGCTGCACTAGCATTACGAGGCGAAGTTGTACTTTGCCCTCGCCCGCCACTCCACGAAACTAGGCGCTAGCCAATACAGAAGATGACCAAACCTACCAAAGACATACGGCATGAAGACATGCTTTTCGCCGGCATCCACTGCCCTCACAGATCTCTTTGCCACAGCTTCAGGCCTCAGTCCGACCTTATTCGGATCCACTTCACGTACTACTCCGGCGTCAACAGCAGATGAACGAAAACTGCCTCGCACAGTAGTAGGAATGATGAGGGAGAAGGCAACGGCGGGGTGCTCGATGGAGAGCGCTTGATAGAGCATGAGCGACGCGGCTTTGGTGGAACAGTATAGAGAGCGAGTAGGAGCTGGGATGACTGCTCCAAGAGAAGAGATCAGGGCGATTGAAGGGGCGATAGAGCTACTTTGGAGCAACGGCAGCTGGGATGTGCATAATGTTCATTATGACGGACAGGAGAGTAGAGAACTTGCTCACGAAGGCCGCAGCAGAGATGAGGGGACCCAAATAGTTGACCTTTGCAGCGGTAGAAGCAACGTCCACTGTATGCTGGATGCCTATGACGCCGGCTTCCGGAGGATTGAACCCGTTTGCGAGTCTGTCAAGCCCGGCGACCTCCATGAGAGGTCGCAGCGCACTCGCCCCTGCACACACAAAAACCGTATCTACGCCATCCCACTCTGAAGGAGTGCCATCAATATGTACAGAACCCGACTCGCTGGTGGACACACCTAATTTTAGTCTTTCCCTCAGCTGTACCATTTGCTCGACATTTGTGAAGTCAGTGGCAACGCTGAAGACTCTCCCGGTGTCTCCAAATCCTGCCTCCACGTACAAGACCTGGCACTCCTCAAGGACCCTTCTCAGTTCCTCCTCCCTACGCGCAACGACGCACACGCGTGCACCCCTTATTGCGTATTCATGTGCAATCTCCCGTCCGATTCCGCTGGACGCCCCGATGATCACAACGCGCTCCTCCTGCTTAGGAATTTTACGAGGGCGATCTAGTTTGCGTGCAGCGCGTCTTGAAATGAGCAGCAAAGAAAGTGCGAGAGCAGCAAAAGTGCCGAGCTGCAGGCGAGAGGGCAGCCTGTCGGCGATGGAGGACAACATGCAAGGGACGGTGATCGGCGTTATTCGCGTGATCTGCATTGGGCTCGCGTGCTCTGCTCATCATTTGTCGAGTCACTTTCCTTGCCTCTCTCCTTGCCTCTCACCACTTTCTGTCTGACGGGGATATGTACTACTAACATACCCGGGCCCTTCATCGTAGAACCTCCATCAACCGATTCGTACTCGTGGTCTCCAGGTATACAAGGCTTCGTCGCGTCCTTATCAAAAATCCTGCCCGCATTCCAACATGCAGGCTTCATTCGCTGCTTTGATTGACCAAAAGTACTATACCGTACCCTTTTTCACCTTGGAGTCTGGCCGAGTGCTGAAGAACGTACCAGTTGCCTACAAGACCTGGGGGAAGCTGAACGAGACTAGGGACAATGTCATGATCATCTGCCATGCCTTCACGGGCAGCTCGGACGTCGAGGATTGGTGCGTCTCATCTTTGCGTTTTGCATAAAGGTTTCTGAATCCGCTTGCAAGGTGGGGCCCGCTCATGGGCAAGGGCAAGGCGTTTGATCCTCAACGCTACTTCATTTTCTGTGCGAATGTGCTGGGCTCGCCCTACGGCTCAGCCTCGCCTGTTACAGTCAATCCAGAAACCGGCAAGCCATACGGCCCCGAATTTCCTGCAACAACTATCCGTGACGATGTCAGGTATGCTTACACTTGCACTTATTTTTCTCCTCTAATCATCACTATCATAGATTGCACAAGCTCGTGCTAGACTATCTTGGAGTTTCATCTGTCGCGGTAGCCATCGGTGGTTCCATGGGTGGGATGGCGATCCTTGAATGGCCACTCTGCACTCCCAAAGGGTATATCCGACACATTATCCCCATCGCAACATCCGCCCGACATTCCGCATGGTGTATCAGCTGGGGCGAAGCCCAGCGACAGAGCATCTATAGCGATCCCGTGTACGAAGATGGCTTCTACAAATCTCAGCCTGCCTCTGGGCTGGCCGCCGCACGCATGGCTGCCCTCCTTACCTTCCGTTCACGCGACTCCTTCGAGCGACGCTTCGGCCGCAAGCCACAGAGACTACCTGCAGATGCAGTCCCCACTCCGCCGCGCTCGCCCGTCTCGCCCGAGGCCGACGATGCGCTAGCAGCGCACAACGACGGCCAGCGCAAGCGAACGAGCATTAACGGTTCTGCATCGGGCACACCCATATTGTCCCGCTCCATTTCGCCTACCCCGCGCCACCCGATCTTCTCAGCGCAGAGCTACCTGCGCTATCAAGGCGACAAGTTCATCTCTCGCTTCGACGCTAACTGCTATATCCACATCACGCGCAAGATGGACACGCACGACGTCACACGCGGCCGGCTGCTGTCTCCCGATGAGGACGAATCACACGCCCTCGCAAGAGTCTTGTCGACCCTCCCGCCTCGCGCGCTGGTCATCGGTATCCAGACTGATGGACTCTTCACGCCCTCGGAGCAGCGCGAGATTGCAGAGTATGTGCCTGATGCTGAGTGTGTCATCATCCCATCTCCAGAGGGCCATGACGGTTTCCTCTTGGAATTCGAGCTCATCAACGGACACATTATGCAATTCTTAAAGAGGGAATTCCCTGACTACTACAGGATAGCTGACGGCTCAGAGGCGGCGGATGAGCCTGAAGAAGGCTTCGACGTCAAAAGGACTAGTATGTTTGGCGAGGCGGAGGCAGATGTCATCAGGTGGTAGGACTGGTAGAGCAGGTATATTAGAGCATATGTGTCCTCGTTAGGTTGTATAGATGCTTCTGCTGCGATTATGGCAATCTTGAGGTTCAGTTCGTGAGCATATTCTACGACGTCGAAACTGACGCCATCTCGTCCATGGCTTCCTTCAGCTTGCTGAAAAACGCCTCTCCGAATAAGTCATCAACGGCCTCTCTGCTCCAAGACACCGCTAGTCCGATACCTCCAGGAGGCGTGCCAGTTACATTCACTGCAAGAGCAGCTCCAGACGCAGGATGGCTCTGAGTGAAAATCGCATCACGGATGCTCCAGCTCGGCTTTCCCCCGCTGCCGGTATGCCCATCAGGAGCCAGAGAGAACCGGCCCAGGTTGGACAACTCAAGGGTCATCTGGCGTTTCTTCCCCAGCATTCCCTTTAAATAGCCATCGTAGTTGCCGAAGAGGAACTTGAGCATACCAATCTGCTCTTTAGTTTCTAGTTGTTTAGTTCGCATCTCGTTCGTGAGAGCAGCCGCGGTGCCCCATGGAAATCCTCCGAGCCAGGAAATGTGGCCCTGGGCAAGCGTTATCAGGGGAGGATAAGAATGATACGCGGAAACTTCGTCACACATCGCATTGGCAGGCGTTTTCGTGAGTGGGCGCAGAGACACAGGAATACATGTGGAAAGGCACTTGAACTCATATACAGGCGCGGAGGCGGGATCTGCGGCGAGGAGTTCCGAGATAATCAGGACTGACAACGTGTGCAGAAATGCCGTCAACGTCGACTGATGTGCCCTACAAAGCTTGAGGATTCCTTCCACATCTCGCGCAGAATACTGAAGAATCCGGATTGGAGCGGCAAATGAATCGGTCGAAGGCACGGTACGCCCTGTCCAAGCAGTAGATGAAGGAGTCCACGACACGGGGGCGAGAAGGTTGTACAGTTCCCGAAGTACTGTCATCATGGAGACTGATAAGTCTACTAGAGACTCGACTGGTGTGACAATCATGGTATCTTTTGGAACTTGAATTGACATCTGCGTTTCAAAGTCGAAGGACCGTTCGCTGTTTTCATTTAGGGCAGATAGGAGTGCAGTGTGGAATGCCAGTCCGCTTTGACCGTCTCCGATAGCGTGATGCCACGCAAATACTACGGTCCCGTCTTTCAGGACCGCCAGACGCCAGAGCGGGAGAGGAGCATCTGTATCGAAGCGAGTCGCAATCTGCGTCTCAAGCACTCCCGCAAGTTCGTCCTTCTCCTTGTCCGAGAAGGTGACGATCGCGGATAAGTCGATCGCATCAAGGCGCACGTAGGTGGGCTTTCCGGCGGACATGTTTGAGAGGCGTACGCCAAGAGCCGCGTGCTGAGGAATCAATCGGGCGAGAGCTGCAAATAACAGTTCCTTCGTGAGCGTGACGCCATTGGGACCGACATATTGCGCTGCGATGGCCACACATGCGAAGATGCCCAGCTCGTGGCGGGAAACGTGGTAGCGTTCCAGCAAGCCTGATGATAGATCGTGATTGAGCTCGACGTTGCATCGATGACTTCTTTTCGAGTATGAACACCATACCTGCTTCTCTGACCACGGGCTGCGTCATGGTGGTATCGGGAAAATACAACTCGTGCCAAGGTGTTACTTCCAAAAAAACAGGTGGTTCCTGCCAAGGATAAGCCACCTATTATAATATGCGCTGGCATTGAATGCTACGCTGGTGCTTAGCTGCTTCTAGTACGTCAGTGACGGTACCACTGACTCTTACCTTTCGTATCTCGTGCATTGTCAGGTCCACGGAATGAACGTATGCTCCGACACAGTGCTGCGATGAACAGCGGCTCCCTTTAACTATAACCTTTTCCCAGGTGCTTTATAAAGTAAATACTTCCCCATGTTGATCACAGACAGTACGAGGCAATGTAAAGCAGACTACTAACCGCACTTGTCTTTCAGGCTCTTCGTCGTCCTGATGCGGAGAATGTACGGTAGTTCCAAAGTAATGGCTGGTCATTCTTTCTCAACACATCGTATCCGTTACCCGAGCAATCTTCCGAACAATCTTCCACTGCATCCGAGGTCCTCATTCACTCGACTCCGTCAATGTGCGCTCTTATTATCCAGTCAGAGACTCCAGACACACAATACATGCATATGTGTTCATTTCACACGGTTAACTCCATGCTATGCTCATGACACAGTTATGGTATGGCAGATTGCTCGGAAAGTTGAGATCGATGCGACGAAAAAAGGTGATGTGCCACTACTTTTAGTAACTACTACAACAGAGCAAGACACTTAGCAGGGGAATTGATTGACTCCACCGTTCACTGCAGGGAGATCATGCAGAGCATGCTATCAGTATTCATCTTGACATCGTGTTTGTGTAATTAGCGCTATCCGACCTTTGCGATGGGCACGAAGGGCCACTATTGTTTCCTCTAGGATGCTCCTGTGGCAAAGATAGCCTCTGAGATGCAGAGGCAACATCGCTTAGCCCAAATCCGCGGCGTCACTCTGGTGTTATGGCACCACCTACTCACAAGACATAGTATGCTCAGTGTTCAGGAATCGACTGGCTATCTGTGCGCGATAACTCTCCAAGATCGTCCTTCGACCTTCTTCGAAAGCATCATATATGGATCTGGTCGCCCAGGCAGAAATAAATCCGAGCATTGACATGGATAGCCGCGGTCGACAAGGGAGTTGCCCGGGCGAAGTCATTTCCACTACGCTGCACTGTCCAGTCTCAGGACTGTCCTGTACACGAACATTTATGGATGGTAAGAACTGAACCTATCCTACATCCGAGATCTCCAGAGTTGCTGTGCGATTCTTTCTCAGCATGCTTTTCTTGAGTCGAGATTCGAGATTTGGCTCGGGCCAAAGCGTGCTGATCTCTTCCACCGTCTGTTTCTGCCGGTTTCGCACAACGGACGTCAACTTTCTGGCCCTATTACAGGGAAGATCAGATAGCCATAGCCGACTGTTATCTAAAGAGGTGGTGAGTGGAGACGCGGCTGCACATCTCGTCGGCAGAGGTGCTGGGTTGAGGATGCACTGGTATCGGGATACAATTGAAGATGGGATACAATTGAAGATCCTGTCGTTTTCTGCCGCAATAGCTGATTCTAATGCGACCACGCGGGACATAATCAGGATAGCGAGTCTGCGAAGCAACGATGTCAAGGTCGCTTGGTTTGATCGACATGTTATCCTAGTAGTATGAAAGGCTTCCGTCGGGGTGTATTGAAGGAGATACATGGAAGTCGCCTGAGCGTATCCTCCGTTGGGGATCGGGTATCATGTCCACGCAGTAGCAAGAGCAGTCCGAGGGCCCGAGGGGTCGGCACAACCAAGTTCGCTATCTCGCAGCAGAATCTAATAGGGAACATGACGGGACTAATGTGTTTCCGACGGCGGCCACGAGATTGACATCAGATGAAACCTGGATTATTAATATGATGTTCATCAACGCTGTTGAGGGCATGCAAAGGAAATCATAGAAGGAATGCCGCTTTTCCCATCGCCGATACCGTGATGCCAGCCGAAGGTAACCGTGCCATTGATGGTTACTTCAAAGCGACGTGATCGCACCGTGAGAGTCCAAACAGCGGAGAATCGGTCGCGCGAAGACTTCCCAGCCTGAGCCCTGACTGTCCGTCACGGAAGTCGGCGACTTGCGACACGTTTATGCTCGCCAAACCTTTGAAAGGACGCCCCTTGCGCATTTGTCAAAGGCTATACGCAGAGAGCACCGTGGCGCTTGATCACGTCCGTAATTACACGGAACAAGATCGGCTTGTCAAGGCCCCATAGCATCGTGCATTCATCCTGTCATTTATGCCGCAGCGTGCATCCCAAGTTGTTGTCCCAGCGCAATACAACATCGCTCCAGCATCTCTGACTATAGACTCCATTGTGGAACTTCAAACATGACGGCCGCTGACAGGCTGTAGACATGTTCACCTGAGAAAATATGTCGTCTCAAGTGTCCGGGCATGGGACCGGAACACGCACGGCAGACATGACCCAATTTATCAAGGTTTGATAAATCGCATCATGTCTGCGGTGACGAACACTGACGATGTGCACGCAACATACTGCGGATTGCCAGCATGTACTGATGGCACGATCAAACACATCTTTAAAGTGCTTTTGGCTGCATGGTTGACAGCTGCAGGCTCCTCCACAGCCTTTCTTCGGGCGTTAACACTGGAGACATGGAGCCATTTTCCACCATGTAATATGCATTACAAATGGGAACTGATATTTTACCTTTGTGAAAAGGATTCATCTCCATCACAATTGGCATTACATATTCCAAACTTGGGACTTGACATATGATTATAACAAATCAATATTATATATTTTATCTATTTTGAGGATACACAATTCTCAACACTGCACAAGGACTATGCCAGCATAGAGTTTCCAGTTACAAATTAGCTCATTGGCCCTCACACTAAAGCATATAGTGGTATATGCAGAGTCATATACTCTGTGCATTATTTTATGGTTTTTCTTCCAGGTATAGACAAAATAAGTCAACTCAGATTTACGATGGTGACAAGTTAAGTTACAAATTCAAAATATACGGTACTTGCAATTGCACCAGATCCTCTTCACAAAGGTAAAATACCAGTTCACATTTGTCACACATATTACATGGCGACAAATGCCTCCATGTCTCCAGTGTAAGGGGGCCTTCATACTAAAGGTGGGATTTTGTGCCACGTTTTGATCACTACCATGTGTTCGATCATGATGCGATCATACAGTTTTGAAACTCCACAATCTTAATTGCCCCCAACGCCCTACGACGGCTGCAAGAAAATATCATTTGAATTGATTCGGAGTATGAAAATGTGGCTGAGGTGTGGCACAAAATCCCACCCTTAGTATGAAGGCCCCCCTTAACTCCCGAAGAAAGGCTGTGGAGGAGCCTGTGACAGGTGGTGACTTGTGACTTTTGAGAAATCATAAAATTGATACATATATACATCTCCCGAGAGCAATGGGAAAGATGACATGACGACGAGAATCAACGGAACATAGCCTTGAGAACTACGATTTCAGCGGGGTGAGTCAGGGAGCATTAACGATACAAAGCGTTCGGGATGGACAACGAAGAAACTAAGTGAGATGATTATTTCTAATGTTGCGATTTCTACTTTCCACTAGATGATTGACATTAGTATGAATAGAAACGACAAACTCGTTTGGACTAAGGCGTACCTCGGTCATTCCTTCAGTCCTCGCGCTTCGGTTTCAGCCTGACGATACGCGTTCGCTTGATTTCATGGCGTTCGGGACCGAAGTATCGCAATGTCTCGGAGCTCCACTCGCAATTCCCGATCACCCAATTCTCCATGGCCATGACGAACTTAGCGACCACTGCGTCCATCTCAGGACCCCACGACCGAATTTGGGCCTTGTCTGCGTAGAAGCTATCCATGAGCTTCTTGAAGTGCTCGCCTACCATGTCGGCGGCGGCCTGTAGGTCGCAGTTGTGCGCCTTCATGAGGACAGTCATGATATTGTTGCCAGTGTGACCCATAGCCTGCTCCATGTTGTATGAATAGATATCCTACGAGGACAAAGTTGTCTGATCAGCTCAGGAGCCATTTATGATTGCGAGCAGGACTGACATTTGACCAGCAGACCATATCGACGGCAGCCAGATGCATCCGCAACAGAACAGGATCATTGAAGATCTCGTCCGGGAGGTCATGACCCAGAACGAACCCGAATAGTCCGAAGCAGAATCGGACAGCGCTGTTCTCTCTGCGGAGGATCATGTATGAATCCGGGTGGAGAACTTCATTGCGTTCGCGTAGTCCAGCTTCTTCGGCAAATGCATTGACGTAGTCCTCGCAATGCTTCAGCAAGCGGCTGTAGCATGCGGGCATATTGTACCGTAGCAGCCGCTGACGGAATCTACCAAGCACTCGTTCAATAATGGGTTGGGAGAAAGCGAACGCCTCGTACTTACTCCTTGCACATCTTGGCCAAGGCGGAGCCATCGTTCCAATCAGGGTCTTTCATCGCGTTCAAGAAGATGCGGCCGGTGGAGTAGGCATCCTTGCCGTTTTGTTCGTCACTGATCTCATCAACAGTGAAGAGGATGTTGACCAAGTCAAAACATGTACGCAAGTCCTGCGCACTGGCGTATGGGTAGGCGTGTGCGCAAAGCAACTCGCTGCCACCCTGGAGGAAGAAGGCTCGCTTGCGATCTGACACGGCTCGGTAGCCGTTGACCCATGATGAAGACTCTGCAGCCACCGCGTCGTAATGCGGGTTAAAGCTGCCCTTGAAGGGTAGGAGGGCGAGAAGATCGGGGAGGACGAATTGCTGCATAGCAGACGACATGTTGGCAATGTGCTATTGTCGATGTGGGAGGACCAAGAGGCTTGAAGAGGAGCAGACAGCTTGAGGGAGGAGGGGAAACCGCCCTTTAAATAGAAGATTTCGCGCCGATAGTTATTCAATCCGGTGTGCATCATCACAGCAAGAATAACAACGACGAGCGTTGTCCTGACCGAAACATATTTGGCTTTCGCTGTGTCCGCGTCCGACTCGTACAGGGCGCCACCACGGTGGACCATCAGTGCGCTCCGCGAAGGCAGTATCTGGCGCCCCAGCGCTAGGTGTGCTGTCTGCATTCCATGTGTCAGTCTAGTCTTGATATGCTCCTGCTAAGGCCATTTCCCGCCGTATGTCCGACATGCCTCCCTTTTAGATGCCGGGCACAAACGCAGCCGCACAAACCGATCGCTGGACTGCGTCGCTTGAGGATATATTTGTAGATCCGATCCCGGAGATCCGCAAAGCAAATCCCATTGTGGCATTCCAAACATGAATGCCACGAACCCCTTGTTCTCCGAAGCGGGGGTGAATGCCTGGAGTTCATTCTACCTCTCGGAAATTGCGGCCAGGAAGCATGAGCAAATGATTGGACTCACAACTCGAATTTTCACCAGGAACCGCAATTCCAGGCCATCTATCCGCACCGTACCTCGGCGCTCCTCATGATGAATGGGAGACTAGTCGTCGCCGACCTCTGTCGTGTGAGCAGTGACTAGTTGGACGGATTTACCAATAGGTGCATTACCAACTAGGTGGACAGACATCATGGGAAATAGAAGACGGCATCCGTTGATCACGTAGAATTTTGAGATCCGCCTGCGCCGAGCCGTTACTGATAAATTTCGGATGCCTGATCTTAGAATGCTAAATGCTGATACGAAGAACGATGCTGCTGGAGGCAGTTGTGCCGTCTCTTATGTGCTTTCTATAAACCAAAGGTAAGTCCAAGATGTAGAAATCTGCATCTGGCCATCACAAACCTCGTTGAGAACATGAATTCTGGAAGCCCTCAGTGGGTGGTCATTCAAACGGACGGATTTCTCCACGTGGACACATGATGTCATGAAACAAGGCCAGCTGAAACACGCAATGCGTAGGCTATGCAAGCGCGAGGTGGCAACATTAGGAGATCGTGCCTCACCGAGATGGGAGACGCACCGCATCAATCTGGTAACATGTGCATAAGGTAGGACTTTGTATTGCAGTGTCATCGTACGATGAACATGGACCAACCTTGCAAGTGCCACTACACGTCGAACTCGAAGGCGGCAGCGAACAGCAGTCTGCTGCACTTTTCCAGTGAATTTTCCGATCAAACTGGGCAAGAAAGGTCGCTTGCGGGATGAACGGGACGCTCGTAGATGGTCCGACCGTATTAAGTACATCCCGAGCTGCGCGGATCCAGAAAGCAATACAGAAGCGCTGCCGGAATATTAGTGCAGTAACTCCGCGAGTGTAAGCGCTGTCTGAGAAGTTCAACCTCACTGTGCACAGACCGAGACCTCACCGCATCAAGATGGAAACAGAGCTAAGGATTGATGTCACATTCCGAACTCTGCCACACATAATAACGGGAGGCTCACAGATCAAGATACCACACAGGCCACAATGATCCAGGTTCGCCAGGAACACACAGCGCCAATCAGTGCTGACGCTAAAAAGAAGAAGTCGATTGCTGTGCTTGCGCGTAATAGACCTGCGTCATTCCATTCTTGACCACTTGCTAAGACTGAATGGCCGGTGGCATTGCGGCCGTGCAATGAGCATTCTCAAAGCACTCATCGCAAAGTCACATTCGTTCGTGAGTTCCCAGCTCCTCCCACAGCTTTAGGGAGGCCGTCAATCTTATTGCGACGCCATCCGCAACAGCAGTCATTAACGAGAGGGAGCCGTCAGCACGTACCAAGTAGCGCGCTGGTGTGAAAATCATGGTAGGCTGGTTACAAACCGCCAGTTTACGACGCTGACAGCTGCATAATCATGATGTCTTGCACGTACTAAGGATAATCAGTCAAACCCTGCTATCAGCATAGCCTGTTTATGGAGCATAGACTGTGTTGCTCGACAGCAGGATGTACTGTGCCGGATGTCGTAGAGATACCAGACGACCTGGAACGAGTGCCGGATAAATTCATGGCAGCACAAAAACCAAGCTCTCTGGCCGCGATAAGTCTACGCTCGAAGATGACTGATGAGAAGCACACAGTCATCGTGCGCTTTCGGGTCCTTGGTTTTGACTCGGCTCAGAGATCATCTGCATTTGTAATTCGTGTTCATCTGGACATTAATTGCTAGGGATGTTTGTGGTTAGATATGGATTGTCGCTGTGTGGCTGGACGTGTGCTCAGGAGGGCCCAAGTCGACATTTTCGCCCACGAATTGAACATTCACCGCGGTTTCCTATAGGACGTCGGTCACCTGAAGCAGGAGAAAATGTGTGCCGAGAACACCAGAGTATTGCCAACGAGAGGTCGTGGAATGGTAAGTGGGAAAGCTGTCCACATGCTACAGCACCACCCTCTAACAGAAGAATGAACACGTGACATGACTCGCTCTGACTCAAAGAATTTTCAATCTCTACTTTCAAAAGGCCACTGGCTTCCTACTAACACCATTCCTTACACCGCCGTCTCTGACCATTTCGTTTACTCCGAACTGAAAATGTGTCCACACGCCAACGGCGACTCTCTCGCAAGCGATCCCTCTCAGATGGTGGCTGTAGACATGTCCAATGGCTCCTCCACCCACTCTTCTTCCGTTAAGACGAACGGGGTGAACGGCCGTATGAACGGTGTAAACGGGGCGGCCAAGGCATTAGAGCAGCAGCGACGAAACCCGTATGCTCCCCGTGCATCTGATTTTCTGAGCAATGTATCCAACTTCAAGATCATCGAGAGTACCCTGCGAGGTCAGTACCGATGGTGATGTCACTATATCCGAACTTATCATTTCACAGAGGGTGAACAGTTCGCCAACGCGTTCTTTGACACCAAGACTAAAATCGCCATCGCGAAGGCGCTTGATGCCTTCGGTGTTGAGTACATCGAGCTCACAAGTCCTGTTGCTTCCGAGCAGTCAAGACTGGGTCAGCAATGTTTTATGATGCTGTTCAAGCTTTTCTGACGTGCTTTACAGATTGTGAGGCTATTTGCAAGCTCGGCTTGAAGGCTAAGATCCTCACTCACATCCGTTGCCACATGGACGACGCTCGGATCGCGGTCGAGACCGGTATGCAGTACTTGAATGTTCATTCGCGCCGAAGTTAATATTCCGTTCAAGGCGTGGATGGTGTCGATGTCGTTATTGGAACCTCTTCCTTCTTGCGGGAATTCTCCCATGGAAAGGATATGGCTTATATTACCAAGACCGCGATTGAGGTGATCAACTTCGTGAAGAGCAAGGGTATGCTCAGAGCGGTAGAAAGAGTCTTCATGTCGTTTCTAAGACTCTTTCGCTAGGCATCGAAGTCCGGTTCTCGTCAGAAGATTCGTTCCGATCTGACTTGGTTGATCTGCTCTCGATCTATCAAACTGTCGACAAAATCGGTGTCAACCGGGTTGGCATCGCTGATACTGTTGGCTGCGCCAACCCTCGTCAGGTGTACGACCTCGTGCGCACCCTTCGCGGGGTTGTCGGCTGTGATATCGAAATTCACCTACACAATGACACCGGCATGGGTACGTCTTGTGGACGACGTTCACCATTGGCAATTACTGACGGATGCTTTCAGCTATTGCAAATGCCTACTGCGCTCTCGAGGCTGGTGCAACGCACATCGACACGTCTGTTCTCGGTATCGGCGAACGTGTCGGCATCACCCCACTCGGCGGTCTCGTAGCGTGCCTGTACTCCGCGAACCCCGAATACGTCAAGAGCAAATACAACTTGTCGATGCTCCGTGAGATCGAGAACCTGGTTGCCGAGGCGGTCGAGGTCAATGTACCGTTTATGAACCCGATCACGTAGGCGATCCTGCGCTATATTGCTGTGACAAAAGCTAACGATATTGCCAGTGGGTACTGCGCTTTCACACATAAGGCCGGTATCCACGCTAAGGCTATCCTCAACAATCCGTCGACATACGAGATCTTGAAGCCTGAGGATTTTGGTCTCACGAGATACGTCTCCATCGGCCACAGGCTGACAGGCTGGAATGCCGTCAAGAGCCGTGTAGAGCAGCTTGGTCTCAAGCTCACCGACGAGGAGGTTGGTGTCTCTATCGAGAGTGTCTCAACGTAGCTGATATCCATATGCTGCAGATCAAGGATGCGACAGCCAAGATTAAGGAGCTCGCTGACGTCCGCACGCAATCGATGGATGACGTCGATTCGCTTCTCCGCGTGTATCACTCAGGCATTCAGTCCGGTCAACTCGCGGTCGGACAGAAGGAGGCGCTCGACCGCCTTCTCCGCAAGCACCGTGAGGGCACGATGGACAGCCGCGAGGCATCTCTCAGCAGACCCCCGAGCCCGGCGCCGGTCGCTGCATGAGCGCGCTTCGTTTGCCCATATAGGAAAAGGTCCATGTAGATATGGTGGTGTCCACTAGCTCTATATGTTCAAAAAAGGCAGCGTTGCAGACTTTCCGTGCGCTGTGCTTCTACTCTGTCAGTAGCTCGCGGTGCCTGACAGATGTAATTGCTGTTCCTCAGTTTACTCGTGTGCAATTCTGCTCCGGCGTACGCTACGCTCCGTATGCGACTTACCTCATGTTCGGACTGATACTCGTGTAAATTAAGCTTAGCTTGTATGAATGTACGATAGCAAATGCCAATAGCTAAGACGCTATTGACACCACGTTGAAATATACAAATAGATCTGTCAATGGTGATTTTACTGCACGTTGCACAGTGCACTACATACATAGAACGTGCGGATGTTTGGGAGACGGCTGGCGCCAGCGGCTGTTCTTTCTAGACTTCCATAATCCCCCGTCAGGTATCAGCCTCCTCGCCGACTGGTGTCCGAGTCCTCAAAAGGCATCCCTTTAGTTGTTCCCGACGTTATCGGAACAGGAGGTCAATGCCGCATCCCAGTATAAGTGTTCTACGACTGCACTTGTACCACCGTCTGATGAGTCGGCCACCATGCGGCCTGGCGTACACCTGGACAGCCCTTCCGCTCTATTGACGCAACTATTGGATCTCCGAATCTGCCATGAACGATCTGCTAAATGTCATGTACATCCCGTGAGCCGATTGTCCAAAAGCGAGGATTGTTGGTCCGAATGCAGCGCTGTCGGCGATTTGGTGCAGATTTCAAGGTTCAGATTCAGTTTTCCAACCGGATGGCAATACAGAATAAATAGGAACATCTATCTGTTCGACAATATACAAGAGGGCGTTCATAATTACAACGTGATCCAGACGAAATTCTGTCTCTTCCACTGCCCGTGGATAATCTATACGCTCGGACTCTGGAAACTCGCTTCTATATGCGGGACAATGTCACATAAGTGATTGATAGCTTTTGAATGGAGGACTATACCTCAGTCATCCCCCTCCTCGCGAGGACTGAGCCTGACGACGCGGGTCTTCTTAATCTCCGTGTGGCGGGCACCGAAATAGCGTTGCGTCTCAAAGCTCCACTCCAGATTTCCTATCACCCAATGCTCCATCGCTCTCACGTAATTGGAAACAACAGCGTCGACCGGAGCTCCCCAGCTCGGCAGACTGTCTCGGGTCGCAATGAAATCTTCCATGAGCTCCTTAAAGTGCTCGCCCACGAGATCCGCAGCGGTCTGGAGATTTATTCCCTTTTGGCGCATGAGGACTGTGACGATATTGTTGCCATCGATTCCCCTAGCCTGTTCCATGTTGTACGAGTACACGTCCTGACCAGCGGTATTAGATAAAGACCAGACCTGATGATTATTTTCACGACTTACGTTAGACCAACAGACCATATCGGCGGCATCCCAATACAGCCGCATGAAAGTGGAATCCTCGAAGACCTCATTCGGAAGGTCAACACCGAAGCAGAACTCGAACAGTCCGAAACAAAGACGGATGGCACTATTTTCGCGGCGGAGAGTTTCGAAGGACGCCATATCGAGGACGAGATCGCGCTCCCGGAGCTCTGCCTCTTTGGCGATGGCGTCGACGTAGTCCTCGCAATGCTTCAAGAACCGAGCGAAACAACCCGGGCCCGCGTGCTGGAGCAGACGTTGCCTGAACCTGCAAAGTCTCAAACGTTAGTGGGGGCATCTACAAAAGTAGCGGCTGGAGGACTTGCTCTTTAGTCATTTTCGCCAAGGCAGAATTGTCATCGCAAGTTGTTGGGTCGCACATCATGCTAAGGAAGACGCTGCCAGTCTCCCGGGCGCCTTGACCGTTCTGCTCATCGCTGACTTCGTCGACGACAAAAAGCAGGTTGACAAAGTCGCAGCAGGTCCTGAACTGCTCATAGCCCGCGTACGGGTAGGTATGAGATACGAGCAGCTCGTTGCTTCCCTGTATGAAGAACGCGCGTTTCCTGTCGGAGAACACGTTGTAACTGTTGACCCATGCATTAGACTCTTTGGCTGCCTTCGAGTAGTGGGAATTGGTAGAGCCCTTGAACGGGGTTACTGCGAGTAGGTCGGGGAGAACGAACTGACGAGGAGCGGAAAACATGGCGAGTAGGATCGAGGCGAACGAAGCAAGTCGAGTATTGCTGTGGATGCTGCTCTCTCATGCTGGCGCAACTCACTTTATATTGCACACCGTACTGCCTGCTAGAGGTCAGACAACGGCGGGAATGACAAATGTTAGCAGAAAGGCTTACTTGGTAAGTCCGGTGTTTGGGACCCTGAATGGTTCGGGGAATCGGTCGATCGCGCAACGGAATGGAGACGTTCATTCGTCGGATACTACCCCTGGCCCCAATATCATGAAGTTGGACTAATCCTACTTCGGTATTTTCAAGGGGCGAAACCACCATCTCCTTGGCTATAGGCTGTGACAGAGCCTAATGCCTTGTGCAATTGGTTAAAGCAGGGAGTGCCAACGTCGTCCGGCTGGCCTATGCATGTAAATGATCATCCCGCACTATGCAAGTTTGTTTCAGGACAACTCTGCGGATACAGATCGTTTACATCAGACACAAACACTGCACCTGGTCGATGAGATCTGGTAGCATGCTTCACCATGCACGGTCCTGTCAAACCACGTCAACTGCAGCGGTATCACCGACTCCGCAGCGCTGATGGATCGAGGTGATACTATCCCGCGCGATCCGGCCCTAGACTGAATTTTGTGGCCAACGTTCGCCGAAATATACAGTACCGCAACGACGCATGTTTATCATGCTAGTATATCGGGTCTGGAGAAGTTCCTATTATGTGAAAAAAACGAGAGCAGCAGCACATAATGTTCGGAATGCACTTCCCGACATAGAGACGCCATTGATTTGGGCGTGGGCGAATGGTGGCACGTGAATCCTGCCACTGCCGCTGCCATATTTCTGCGCTCATGCCTGATACTATTGGCGCTTCGAAGCGGCTTTCATATAACCCAATGGGTTGCCGAACTCCAAGAAAGGTTATGAAACGAGGATCACTCCCGTGATCAACCGATCACAGACTGCACATGGACCGGCGACATTTGGAATAGGAAATTTGCGTGACGAAATTAACGAGATAGGCAAACAAAATGATACCTCGGCAAACACCTAACAGGCGATGATGTGAGGCTTATTGCAATGTCTCAACCGCGCGACTGCACTGCTCCGATGCCGTCACAACGTTGCCATTTTATGCTGTGATCTGGGTCTTCTGCGAATCGTCGGCTTGATGGATCGGTTTCTCCGTCATTGACTCGTCGTTTGAGCGACCGCCGAGCATCTAGCACCGATGATTAGTACTTTATTAGGGTGTCGTTGATGGTTAAAGACATATTAGCTACTAATCTAAAGAAGAGTCCGAACCAAAATGGTCCAGCGGCAGAAATACGTGGATGACTTACGAATTGGAATGGTCAAACGTATGCATCGATAGAGCCTGTGGCGCATGCTCATATGTCGTCCTGAAAGTTGCAGATGAAGAGATGTGGTAGTGTTTGCTTGCATGAGAGTAATTTTTCGTCCGAATTCTGCTCGGACTTCAAGTAATAAGAAGTCACGTTGGCGAGAAAAAACGAATGTCCGCACATGATCACTTACGCAGTATGCCATCTAGAGAGCCCTCACACTGGCACATGATTGGCAAATGTTGCTATCAGGTGAAACTTTAGGGCCGCTGCATGACAGTGCATCACTCGAGGCGCAGCAAAGTGTAGTATATCAGATATCGCCGAAGAAACGCCTGTCAACTGCTTCACCGGAGCCCTACTGACCGGCGCCGCTAAGTTTATCAAAAGGGTATATGCGCATGTGGATGTCCGCACCTTCAGATTCCAGAATGAAGTCTACATGGGCAGCGTTCACCATCTTATTTCATGACTCACTCAGAGAGCTTGGCATCGGATTGAGCACTCATTCACCGCTGCTCTACAGAGCCGTGGAGTCAGCCTCACAGGATTGCATACCGTCAGAGGACTGGTGAGGTCCTTGAGTACCTATTGCTGTTTCAGGGCGAAGGAGATTAGAATAATTTTGACAGAATGACTTGTCGGTGCAGCAGATCTATTTTCCACGTTTGTTTCTTACCAGTGCTGCGATTGTTTTTGGTCAATATGATGTCACCGTTAGTCAAACTAAAATTACCGCATTGATTGGACTTTTTTTTCGCGTTTTATGTGCTCGTTTCGGCACCCGGGGAGTTCTGGTTCGGTTGTTAAGGTCGTTCTGCAAACTTGGGCGCAAGAATCCGTTGGGACGCATTACTTGGAGCTGAGCGACGATGGCAAGTGCGGTGCGAGGAATTTTCGCTGGTTTCGAGGTATGGAGGCTAGTCGGCGCCACAGGAATGACAAGGCATGGGCGTCAGACATCAGTAGTGCCCGTGTTCCATCCCCCTGTTTACTCCAAAAGCTTCGGCTCCGGGCTGTCAGATAGGACATTGAGGGGTGTACCTTAAGGTATACATTCGTGAGCGCGGCAAGCTGAACGAGGATCGGTTTTGAACGGACGACAGTTGGCCTTTCGAGGTTGTAACGGATCTCCGGTTACATACGCTAATTGCCAAAACCTGCAAGACAATCAGTGATGAACCACGCATCGTAAGGCACCTCTGGCACAGGACGAGAACAAAGGGGCATTGGAGCATCTGAGATACACCCACTAGTCGATAGTACGGACAGCTACGGTTCCACCTTCGTCGGTTGCAGATGGATTGCTGTCAGAAACCGTTCGCATCAACATGGAATGCGTACGGGACACAGCCGTATGGCAGTATTGCATGCCCGGTGTAACGCGAAGGACTGCGGGATAAAAGGCATAGCCATCGAGTTTTCTAGTGACTCCAAGAATGACCTTGGATAGCCGTAGCCGTATCGCCGCACTAGGACGAGCTTCCGAGTGGGATGTCATGCAGCGTACGCTAATCCTGAACAAGGTTCCTCAAACGTCACATATGCATATCATGTGAAATGAATGTTGGCTAATCTCTCACATACCGCGGGCTCGTATCCCAGATCCTGTGCAGATTTCGATACGATCCACCCGCACTTTTATCTGTGTCTGTAGAACTATACTGCCATCCCGCGAAAACATCAGTACCGATAGCGTACAAGCGCGGCCAATCCATAGGAGGTACAAGGCACTCACCGACGCCGATGCTCGTGTTTCAAATGTCGGCAAATCCCGATTCGGATTACAGAAGTCATGTAAAATTGTAAATACATAGGACGAGCGCTCCGAGCATGGGGCGATGAGTTTCGAGAACAGGGACAGGGAAGTAAGTGAACAATGCAGACGACGGATACCCTAGTACTACAGTAGAACCATCAGAACATGATGGGGCGACAGATGAAATGAAGAAAGCGGAATCGAGCTTCCGGGCAGATCTACCCTTTGCAGTGCAGAAAACAATACGTCAGAAACATATTCGATAGCTGGCGTAACGTCCAGCCGTTTCACTCGGTCGTGTGATTTTCACTACATCTCCTCGCTTGAGGCCGTAATAACGGGCCACTGGGTCAGCCATCTGGATCCGAGGTAGTTGGGTCTCCTTGAGACGACTATCCACCAATGTGAATTTATTGATAAACAAAGCGGAGTGAGCCGGAGACGTACTACGTTTCCAGAAGCTCATTCTTCTCCTCTGGCGTCAAAATTTCATGCTTCGGCACGAGCGTATGATGTGTGATGTTCACAAGGAGGTCCGCCTCGGAAAATTCTTCCAGCTTGTATTGAGATGCCATGGCGGTGATCACCTGCAAGACTCGAGCGTGAGTTTGGATATTGAAAGAAACAATGAAGAGATCGTACTTTGCGCGCAGATGGGGTCATGCTTCCAGGGAACACCATGACGCCCTGTTGAATATTCTTCTCTTCAAGGATACCCAGCATCCTGCACCAACGATGAGTCCCGCATGCACTCTCCGCATTCCAGAGCAGCACTCACTTCCGCATGGTCTTAACCCCTACACTCTTCTCATCGCAGAAGAACACGAAAATCTGGCTCATTGGATTATTTCTGTGGTTCGTGAAAAAATTCAGCTGTGCCCGGCTTGTCGATGTGACGTCGTCAGCAAACAAGGAGACCACTATTTCATTAATCTGCCTACTCGACACTGCCGCCATTGTTAGCATAATGACTTCGAAAAGTTGCAAGGTCCATGTTGATTTCATCGTCGGACACTTGAAAGCCCTAAGCGGTCAAAGCAATGCCGAGAGCATGAGCGAGAGCAACAGAGCAGCGTAAAATTAAGAGTGCCAACTCTGTCCTTGACGAGTTCATGGATTGTGCGGTTGACTTTCCAGAGTTTAGCAGACTCGTCCTGCTCAGCCATAATGCGTGATGGTTGGCTGCCGAGAAAGTATAGCGGGCGCCAAAACTTGCAGCTGAATGCTTTTAGCGCGCGTAGTACACTTCGTTCCATGGCATCGACCGCCACTCCCACAAATGCGGGCCAAGCACCCGCCACGCTCGTCTTGACGCCAGCTTTGATGGTATATCTTGTTTCATTCTCAGCAGTGCGCGTTGTGTCACTTACGCAGGTCCCTTGCAGGCGAAGCTGAAGCCAGCAAAAATCTTCAAGACTGCCGTCGAACAGGCCACGCCTCCGTCACCGGGTAGCCATCCATCTCGGGGAGCAAATGCAGGACCGAGACACATCACCGGGATCAGTTTCGATGACAGAGGAGACCAGATTGTCACAGCCGCGGAGGATGAGACATTCAGGCTGTACAGTTGCAAAAGCGGCAAGCGAGTTCCTTACAATCCACACAGCATGTCCGCTTCAACTGATGGAGTCCTACAGGCCACTAAAGACGCTGTATTCTAAGAAGTACGGCGTGGATCTTCCGCGTTTCACGCACAAGAACACGGCCATCATTCATGCCTCCACAAAGGAAGATGACACCATCCGGTACCACTCTCTACACGATAATAAGTATCTGCAGTACTTCAAGGGGCATAAGGGCAAAGTGATATCTCTCGAAGTGTCTCCGGTCGACGATGGATTTATGTCAGGCTCGTTGGACAAGACTCTGCGCCTCTGGGATTTGCGCACGCCAACCTGCCGGGGTCTGCTAAATCTCCCCTCTTCCCCAGTCGTCGCATACGACGCATCTGGTCTTGTATTTGCTGTGGGCGTGAACCACTACTCGCGCATTCTGCTCTACGACCAGGCCAACTTCGACAAGGCACCGTTCCTGGTGATCACTCTAGAAGACCCGACCCTTGCGCTCATCAGCTTCCCGCCTCGCATGATATATATGACATCCCTTTCCTTCTCAACGAACGGGAAATACCTTCTTGTGGGCTGCTCTGGTGATGCACACTACATCCTGGATGCTTTCGAGGGCCATTTGCTCGCCAAATTGGTGGGTCATGTCGGATTGGAGCGGAGGAAGATGGGTACGCAGATCGGAATAGAGCCTCAGCGAGGATGTAGTGGAGAAGAAGTGTCGTGGACGCCTGATAGCAAATACATTGTCAGCGGAAGTCTGGACGGCAAAGTGATCGTTTGGGACGTCCAGTATTTGCCGATGAAACAAGGCCCTGTCGACTTAAAGGCCAATCCGCTGGTTTTCAAGCCGTTCGCGAGTCTAGAAGGTCATCCAGGTCCTTCAAGATGTGTGAGATTTAATCCGCGCTTCGCGATGATGTGCTCTGCTGGCGCTGAACTGGTGAGTTGCTCCGGTTCCTGATGTCCAAAATCTAATCGACGTATGTTGCGCTTTGTAGGCTTTCTGGATGCCAGACCAGTCTGTGGAACCCGAAGATATTGCAAAGGATCTCGTGAACAAGAGAACTGTGTAGTAGATTGAAAGTTATGGACGTGGGCTTGACCCACTGGTGGTCCTATTCGTTTTATATCTAAATGCTGTAACTTGTAGGGATTCAGATATCAGCTCGTAATCTATGCTCCATTAGAACTACCGTACAGAGCAAATTTTCAGCGTAAAGCGAACTATCATATAACAATGCTCGGCAAAGGAAATAGTGCGACGAGCCGTACGTCGAGAACGAAAGTTGAGTTGGATCTAGCTAGATCGCGTCAGTCACGTGACTGACATCACATCATCGCCCAGAAGGGCAAGAGGACGTGGCAATGGACTTCGAGCCTAAGAGCTCCAGGAAAGTCTCCTCACGACTTCGCGAGCGCGTTCACTGGCAGGATGCGTCTCAATAACCTGCTTGCGTATATTCTCTGCTCCGTTGCTCTGCTTTCTTCTGTCTCAGCAGGTAAGCCCTGTGTTGGCAATCCCTGAAGTAATCTGAACGTTCACGCAGCTCCTGAGGCAGTCGAGCATACGGAGCCTGTGGTTTTGGCGTTTGGTGCTTTCCCTGAAGACAACGCGTTTGGTCGTGAGTATTCGGTGACATTGTCTGCGAGAGTGGGGCTCAGCGACTGGTTGAATGGACAGATGTTGTCAACGGGGAGCGGAATAAAATATTTTTGAACGTAGAGAACCTTTCCGACCGGAATGTCACCATCACGTCGATTGCGGGTTCTTTCCACAATTCAATCACAAATGCGCTGGTCAAAAACGTGCGTGTGCTTATCTGTCGTGCCTTGTGCTAAGGCTCACTACAACATCAGACTAGTGCTCTGGCGTATGATGTCCTCTTACTTGACGGTGCCAAGATGCAACTCCCCTATGCATTCTACAGCGAGTAAGCATCCGCTCTCTTCAATTTTCAGTCATCATTTCTGACATAGATTTCAGGCTCAAGGTGTGTGTGTCCTTCTCCGTTCATTATGGCGTCGGTGGTGATTATCGTGACCTAGCCGGGAGATATGAGGCTCAACATCTGGGTAGAACATGTCTCCGATGTGAGTTGGCTCTAGCTTACCTCACTTCACTTGAAAACATCTGTCTTTAAAGGGCGAAAAGCATCGTGTGATGGCATACGACTCGATAGTTACCGTTGTAGAGCCTGAGCTGTCATGGTTCGACTTGAAGATGTGAGTTATTCGATGCAAATGTTCCATGCCCAACGCTAATAGTGAATTAAGGCTTTCGACCTACTTGGTCGTTGCGCTCCTCCTTGGTGGCCTTGGTTACTACGCGTACTTGGCCTTCCTCCCACAGCCGAAGCGCAAGACGCGTACTGTCCCCTCGGTCAGTGCCCCGGTAGGCACGGTCACGGCGACCGGGGCGGGTGGATACCAAGAGGAATGGATTCCAGAGCACCATCTCAAGAAATCCAAGGCTAAAAAGACGAAGTCGGGCGCGGCGACGAGCGGAGATGAGACGAGCGGAACCGAGTTGAGCGGTACGGAGAACAAGAAGCGGAAGGGCAAGAAATAGGGGCACTCGGATTGATCTTACAGGTTGTCTTGCTTGACTCTCCTCACCGTGTAGTTGTAGCACGTACTCTCCGGTTTCTTTTCTTTGCATGGTTAGTCGGACTGCACAGTGGATATCGCGAATCTAGTGTGAAGAACGTAGCGTTCTGTTGAATAAGGTATCTAATATCGCAGCGCACAATCGTCCATACAGACAGAAAAGTCATTTCACGTTATGATAATGAAGCGGGCATCACATCGATGTGCTTGTAGCCCTTCATCTGCGGCCGCGATCCCGTCGTCAGTACATGAACCCACTTAGGATGGAAGAGCGACGCGCACCCTATTCTCCTTGAACATCTTCGCGTATCGGAGAGCGAGATCCTTGCACTTCTCTTGATGGTTTACACCCTCGATACGGTGGCACTTCATGATGTTGTCCTCCATAATCTTCGCCTCCATCGCGCGGATGAAGGACTCGCGAATCTGCATCTCGCGCTCCTTTAGGCGAGCTAGTGCGAAATACGTGTAACTCGTCACTTCCGCATGGTGATAGAGACGACAAACTCACCATTCAACTCTTCCGCTCGGGCTTCGTCAATGGGCATGGCGATGTGGGTGGCGGTCAGAGTACTGTGCAATGTGCAGGGGGGTGGGTGGCGCTTCTTTGCACAGGAGAGCGCCTATAATGCCTCGACCCTGGCACTTCCCGTCCAAAGTGTTACCCAGCTGTGCGCTCAACGTCCTGTCATTCGCGTACGAAAACCACCTCCGAGATTTTGCAGTATGGACACTGCGTGGGATGTCTGTCAAAGCCGAAAATCCTGATCCATTTCATCTGTCCGTTGGCCGGCGATATCATGCATGCTTCGCATGATGTCTATTTAGCTGGGGGAGAGCTTCTCTCTTTGAGCTCGCACTCATCATGTCCTACCCTATACGCTTGCCCTCCGAGCGACCGCTGGTCACCGTGACTCATCGTAAGTGCATGCACACTTCTCAGCACATCGATTTCCGGTCTGATGGCTCGTGCACGGATCAGCAACGCCTTCCATCTGGGTGCTCGAGCTGCACAACGGCGCGGACAGCCGTATCAACGAGGAGCTTTTGGATCGAGCGATGCAGCCTGCGCTGGACATGGTGGAACGCGACTGGCGCGAGCATTGGCGTGTTGCGCGCAATTCGAAGAATGCGGAGGGTGGCCGCGGCGCGTTGATCATCGTTGGGAACAGAAGCCAGCACAAGTTCTTCAGCAACGGTACGCATCTAAAGGGCTGCCTTCCTATATAATACTTACTGGTTACCTATAACAGGGCTTGATTATGACAATATTATGAGCTCGCCCACCAGGGGAGGAAGTTTCGTGCCTCGTATGTGTATCCATTGTTGACGCGCACGGTCGCTAATGTCATACGCATAGGCTCACTCAATCCGTTCATCCGGAGACTGTTGACGTTCCCTAGTGCGTCTAACACCGCATGAGAGTTACTGCTACCATTGACGGATCCGTGTCAGTCCCAACAGTGGCTGCAATCAACGGACACACGTTCGCCGCCGCAGTGATCCTTGCGCTGTGCTGTGACTACCGTGTTATGGCAGATGGTAGCAGCCGCAACGTATGGATGAGCATGAATGAGGTACATCCTTTACATTTATTTTCTGTACATCTACATCTCATCTGGTTGCAGATTCACTTCGGGGCTGCCTGGCCACTCTCATTTGCTGCCGTCGTGCGTGCGAAAGTTCTGGATGCCCGCCTTCAGCGCAAGATTGCTCTCGAAGGTCACCGGTTCACACCGCAAGAGGCATTAGAAGCTGGGCTGGTGGATCATATCGTCAAGGGCGACACGGAAGCGGTAATTGCGAAGGCGTGTGAGGTTGCAGACTCCGTCAGCGCGCTAGCCAACTCAGGCGCGTGGGGCTTAATCAAGGTGACTGCATTCTCGTTGTCTATCCATTGGGAGGCGTGCTGATGCTCGAGATTAGTACGATCTGTATCGCGATGCAGTGGAAGCATCTCTCAGAGACGTGGTTTTGCCGAACGTAGGTTCCGATGATGCAGCTGCCAGGGCTCGGTTGTGACGTTGCTGTTACATATTCTTGTGCGTGCCTGTACTGCTGTTGTTAATTTGAGGTGGAGACAATACGAGCTAGGGTTCCCAGCCTTCTGAGCGTATTGAGGTGCACACGTTGTGCGGGGCGGTATAGTTGGCGATGAAGGGCATTGGTCGCCGCGTGCCACACGTGCTCCCGAGGCGCGGATGGTTGATTGATCAAGTTGTCGCTGGTATGCGCTTGACACTCGCATCCAATCGCGTCCGAGCAAAGAAAACAATGTCCTGACAACCAGGTCTTCCTCCTCGTAACATGGCGACAACTGTTTATCAAAATGACCCTTTTAAAGGTCGCAGCTTTCGCCGCAAAACGTCTTTCATTCCTCTCTTTCTTTCTTCTCCTTTGTTTCTCTCAAGGCCGGGCCTTCAGCTGTGCTTTCGTTCACGACGGCTGTTCTCTCTTTCACTCCTTAGGTCTTCTTTTCTGTCAGGTTACAGTCTCAGGCAGGTCCAACCATGCAGCTCGCTATCTCGTTCTCGCTCTTGCTTGCGTCTCTCCTTGTTTCTCTCGCTGTCCATGGTGACGCGGTCCATGCGCTGCCCGCCAAGCGCGAGGCAAAGATGATCACGCTTCCTCTGAAGCGCGTCCATCAATCCCGCAGTGACCTGCATCCACAAGTAGTGAGCAAATTTCTGTTGGTCGGGATATGCACCGTGTGCTGAGCTATCGTACAGTTTTTGCAGCAGCACATCAACCGTAGCTTGAAGCGATATGCTCGCATGACCGGCAGTGCACAACCGAGCAAACGCCAACTTGAAACCAAGCTGCATCGGCGTGTCTATGCTTCCAAACCCGGTTTGCTGGAGCGCAAGCGTAGCAAGCGCCACGGACGCCTTGGCCTTGCGTAAGTTATGAAACAACGCAAACTTTGATCATCTGTCTGACGTGACCGTTGTCGACGTATCAGTGATGCTCGAAAAATCAAGGATACAGCTACTGCGTCTGCGTCTGCCACCGCAGCTTCTGGTGCCGAAGGGTTAACAACTGCTGAGGGAATTCCGGAGGTCGATGTAGAAGCTGCTGCAAGTGGCGGACTAACGCTCGCCAACGCCCCCACGGCCAGCAACTCTCTTGGCTTGGATATCGAGTGTGTACCTCCACTTAAGCCCCCCAATGCTAGACTGTTACTGACAGAAAAAATAGAGCGAACGACGTAGGATACGTTGCAACCGTTCAGATTGGAACACCTGCCACAGACTTCAAGTTCCTAATGGACTCGGGCTCTGCTGACATGTGGGTCGGCTCTGCTGAGAACTGTACAACGGAGGGCACGACTGAAGGATGCGTGAGCAATCTCGCCCATTGCTGTCCGCGAGTCAGTCTTGACGAATCCACTGCAGGGCGACCACCAGTTCCTTGGCTCGTCAACTTCGTCCAGCTTCGTCGAGATTGGTAACCCGTTCGAAGTGACGTACGGTACCGGCCAGGTGGAGGGCGTCACTGTCTCGGACAATGTCAACATTGGCGGCCTCGCGTTGAACAACCATACATTCGGTGTTGCCAACGTCGAAAGTAGCGATTTCTCCTCCGACAGCATTCCTTTCGATGGCTTGATGGGCCTTGCACAATCTGTATGTTTTGTTACTCGCCCGCATGACTCCTTTCTTTGTTAACTTGTTGACACTATAGGGTATTTCCGAGGAGGGTGTCCCTACCCCTGTAGAGGCCCTCGCTTCCGCCGGCCTCATCAGCGATGCGATCGCCTCCTTCAAAATCTCCCGGCTTGCCGACCAGCTGAACGATGGTGAGATCACATTCGGCGGGCTCGATTCGAGCAAGTTCGACTCAAACACGCTTGTCACGTTTGACAATGTAAATACCGAGGGCTTCTGGGAGGGCGACATGACCGCAGTTACGTCTAACGGCCAGGATCTAGGGCTCACCGGACGAACTGCCATCCTCGACACCGGCACCACGCTGATCGTCGCGCCCCCCAATGATGCGGATGCGGTTCATGCAACGATCCCGGGCGCGGCGTCCGACGGGCAAGGCGGGTTCACCATCCCGTGCACGACGAACACGAGCGTTGCGCTGACGTTCGGCGGGCGCGCATTCGCGATCAACCCGCTGGACCTCGTGTTCGCGCCGGTGAATGCAGACGATCTGACGGGCGATTGTGTATCCGGCATCTCCTCAGGGGAGATCGACGGGGCGACGACTTGGCTGGTGAGCGGCGGCCATGAGACGATCGGCGTCTTCCCGTTTTGCTGACAGATTTGGCGCGCGCAGGTCGGCGACGTGTTCCTCAAGAATGCATACTTATCTGTCAATCAAAACACGAACGAGATCTCGCTTGCGGAACTTGCACAGGACGGCTAAGGAGGCTGAGGGGACATTTTCTCATTCGAGCATGGACATCAAGAGATACTGTATATTTGCTGCTTGAGCCGGACATTTGCTGTGCGATGCCTGTACTGTAAACTTTGGGGTATTGATCTACCGACCGACAAGAGTGATTGTTGTCGCGGCTCCCGCCGCGCCGATATAGCCGTTTCGTTATGTAGCGCCGTTCGCACAAAGGGAGCTCTGAAAGGGACAATCACCTGCATCGATAGACTGCGGCAGTGCAACGAGCTTGATGTAGAACATCGCGCAGGAGCAGGCAGATGCCATCGCCTAGATTGCTCTCTCATAGCTGCTGGCTGATTCATCCTCGGAATTGGATACTATTGCGTCAAGGGTTGCATTCCGATAAGTGCCGTGTTCCCGAAGACACGAGTCGCTTGGGGCGAAGGACTGTGCACACACAACGCAAGGTTATCTAATTGTGCTATGAGCCCCGTTGCGCAATGTCAACACAGTTCGAACTCGGGAACGTGGACGAAAAGCTCACCCGTGCAGTACCCACATTCATGGCCATGGTGTAATCTAGTTCACCCACGATACATTGCAGAAACCATTTGATCCGAGGCGCACTACAGACAGACGGTTGCATCTATACTTCAGTATGGAAACGATAAACACAGACGACATAGAGACGAGAAATAGATACAGAAAATCTGGCGCATTGTGACGGCGGGGGAGAGGAAGAATGTGTTAAGATGAGAAGGGGGAGAAACCGTATCGTAATGCAGAAGAAAGACAAGATGTTGCACATTAATGCATATGGTTGTACATGTGAGACCTCCAGATACGGCAAAGACAATCGAGAAACACGGGTGAAGAGTGACCAAATGGCGACAAAGCAGTACTGTACTCATATTGACGGCGGTATACAAGGCCACGATCCGTCGGCCTGTCCTTGATCGACCAAGATTGATGTGACGTGTTCGAGAGCATATGCGACATGCATATGTGCATGGGTCATATTTCTGAGGGAATATTGAGTTTGAAGTACGGATGGTTCAGGGCTTCGCGCACAGTGATCCGTTGGAAAGGATCGAATATGAGAAGCTTCTTGACCAGGTCCAGGAATTGCCTGTTGACTTCATCTATGCTCGGAATGATTTCCTGCTTACGATTGACGCCATTGAGTGTGACGAACAAATGAGAGGAACGCGACCACTACCTGCAGACTACGGCATGCGTTCACATCTTTCTTGCTTGCTGTGGTGACGTTCAGTGGCGGCCAGTACAATTTATCGTCCTGGAAGAACTCTGGCTTGGAGCGAGCTCCTCGGCGAGCGAAAGACACTGGCATCTTGCCCATCACTTGCTCCATCATGGCGAGATGCTCGAGGTTGTCGTGAGTCTGGAATAGGGCGACGCCTGTATAAAACTCCACCAAAATGCAGCCCAAGGAAAAGGCGTCGCAAGGAAATGACCAGCCCAAGCCTATTACAAGGAGAGGCGTCAGAGTTGAAAGACAGCAATAGACCCACAATAAACATACCGAGAATAATCTCAGGGGCACGATAGTGACGAGTTGATACTATACTCGAATGATACTCGTCCTCAAAGGTTGCAGACCCGAAGTCAATCAACCGAATATCGGTGTTTTCTAGTAGGCGCTTCTGTTTTGCTGCGCGCTACAATGAGAGTGAGCTAAACGACTCGAGGATTACGTATAGCAACTCACGGTCGTTCTCCTCCCAGGAGCGGTCATCGGGACGACGCGGAAGTCGTTCTTGACCAATAATATATTCTCTGGCTTGAGATCCGTATGGATTAAACGAAGATCATGGAGAACTGTTCAATGCACATCTGTGAGATTTGTTGCCGGATCCATGTCATACAAACGAAACTGACATGCTACGCTTCCCAGGAGCTGTCGCGCGAAAGATTGTATGTGATGACGAGGGAATGGAGCAAATTCGTTCTCCTTGAGAAAATCGTAGACACATTTGCCGAGTAATTCTGACACAAGGCAAATGTGATTGCGATGGTCGAACCAATTGAGAAGATGAATGCATTTGCTGGATCATGAAATTCGCATGAATGCAGGGCGATGTAGTAAGCGACTAGATACCTACAATTTATTCTTTGGATCCTGCTCCTTGAGTTTCTGTAGGACTCTGACCTCCATTTTGCTGGCGTCGCGGTATTTCGGTATGGCTCGGATTATCTTGACTGCCACCCGCTTGCCGGTGTCCTGATCGACTGCTTCAACGACTTTACCGAATGTCCCTTGCCCCAAAAGTTTGACGGTACGATCTATAATGGATGAGTTAGATCTTCAATGAATGTCATTGGGCAGAGTAACCTACAGCGCTTGTTTATCAAATCGTCGGGCGCAACGATGTAGTGCCCTTCTTTATCGTCACACGCCACGCGTTTCTCGGTGACCTATAGAGAACGTCAGAGCCATCGAAGGTACAGAAAGAAATTTTCACACATCATCGGCGTCGTTGCCGCCAGCATAGGAGTTGTTTGTACTAACATTGGTTGGGAAGTGGCTGGCGATTGGCTTTCTCGATAAAGCATTCGCACCACCGACTCTTCGCTTCTTGGCTGCGGGACCATTCGCAGATAAACTGCTGGAAGCAGCTGGAGGTCGTGCCTGGATGCGAACGACAGAGTCTGTGTAGGGCAGCGGTTGCATCGACGACGTCTGGATTTGTCTGCTCTGGCTCGGAGAGGCAGACGGAGGCGGCGAATCCTCGATGATGATGACGTCGCGAACCCTGCCATGGCTGTCAACCTCTTGAATCTCGGTATAGTGGGCCTCAATTTCCAAGGGCCGCTTGCACTTGCGTGGGGTGCATCCAAGCAGGGCTGCAGCGGAGACGTTGTTCGAACGAGGGCGGTGGGGAAGAGCTGGAGGTGGGGGCATAGTTTGGACCAGGGCTGATTGCATAGTCAGTGCGCTGGTGAACGAGGTGGTGGTTGAGGTTAAAGAGGGTGCGTGTGTGGTTTATCTGACTGATACATCCAGAATGAGTTGCAAGAGAGACGCTGCCCACGCCGGATCCTTATTTGTCTTTGGTTGTGGGCACGGCTTCAGCCACTCTTACGAAACTTCCCTCAATCCGGCTCAATCTCCACCTCGGCTGCTGCTCGCCGGCCATAGAAATATGATTTCGGCCAACGCACATCGAGAAATGCCCCAAATGCGCAACATGGCCAGTGCCAGGGCATCTATTTCGGCCGGCATCATGTCTCCTCGCAGTTGCAATCAAGAGGCACTTGGCCGCGGCGCGTGCACAGCGTCTCGCCCCATCAGATCACCCTCAAAACAGCCGTTGCGTGCACGAGACGAGGGTGCATCCGGGACACGTCGGCGCGTGTCCTCGTCGCCACTGGCCCTGAGAGTGATGCCAACGTGCCCGATAGCGGCGCGCCACAGGAATGTGGCGTAGTTGACCGTGACCGATTTCAAGGCGCCCGTGTGGCCTTGTCCCGAACAGTGTCCTGAGCAGTTCCTGCTGCTGCACGTTCAGTCGTTTACGAGGCCGTATAAACTGCCACAGCGTTGCGCGCGGTTGTGACTTATGGTGTAAGCTCGAACATTGCTTGGCTTGCAAGCGGACAGTCTAAGTAATGGGAGGCGCCCGCCGCCCCCACATTGCCAAATAGAGCACAAACAATCCGTATTCAGCTCGCCGTCGGCGGCGGCGGCGACGGCCATATCCCTTGTATTCTGCTCTATGCTCATTTTTCTGCACCCTCATACCATTGTCGAGCCTCGTCAGTCATGAGTGCATTTGGTCTGCCGGAGGGGGCGGTGTTCCACCAGCCAGAAACTCAAGACTTGACATGTTCGCCCGGAAGCGGGATGGACATACCAATCGACCCTGCTCTGAGTGAGCCCCAACTTGACCCTGCCTTGTTGATGCAAAGTGCGGGAGCTACAAATCTAGAGGTGAGTGTACGCGCCAGGTCAGGTTGGGTGATTGACGCGAGGCGATTCTGAACGCGTCGCGTCGCGGTATCGCGGTCAGGATGGGCGTGTAGCCGCATGACTGACATCTCCAATCAGGCCATTTGCCCTCCTATGTCCATGCATCAAAATCTCGTTTCCCAGCAGAGGCAGTACTCGCAAGGACCACAGGGTGATCCCTTTGCGCCACAACCTCCTGCGTTCATCACAATCGAGGGGCCCAGACCATTACCTCCCAAGCCGGCCAAAAAGAAGCGTACTCCTCGTCGCGAGGAGGAGTGTGGGTTCTGCCAGGGAAATGATTCCAAGAACAAGAAGACTGGACAGCCAGAGCTGATGGTTAGTTGCTCGGAGTGTGGTCGCAGCGGTGAGTCTGGCCATATCCCAGCTAGGACTCCAGTTCATGTTCTCTGGTCCAGCTCATCCAGGCTGTCTTGGACTATCTAACATCGGGGATCACATGCGCTCTTATGCCTGGACTTGCCCTAATTGCAAGAAGTGTGAGGTCTGCCATGCGGAAGAGGGCGATGTGAGTTATCTCTATTTCACGCCCTGCTTTTGTATTAAGCCAGTTTTTCATAGTTCAGAATGATTATATGTGACTTCTGCGACAGAGGTATATCTGCCATGAAGTATACGCAGCTCGCTTGCTCATGCTCACTCTCAGGCTGGCACATGGACTGTCTACAGCCTCCTCTTGCAAAAGCACCTCCAGGGACATGGCACTGTCCTTTATGTCCACAGTTAATGGTACCTGAGCAAATATACCCGATGAAGAGGCAGCAAGAGTTTCAGCTCCCCGGACCCGAGCCAATATCACAACATCCACACTATTTGACCAAGATTCTTCCAGAGCCTGGCGCGACTTTCCACGAATCCTCCGTGGCCTCATCCTCTCGAATGGTTAACGGCACAGCGCCAGACACGGTCGGGACAACCGACAGCGCGGACGTTGATATTGACTGCGAAGTGCCCTACAAAGCGGCGAACCAGAAAGGCAAGAAAAGGAATCGCTCGAAAGGGAGGACACTTTCACAAGATGCGAACGAGCTGGAAGATCCAGATGAAACCTCCGCAGCGGCACTTCCTCACAAACGGATGCGTCTTCGGCTGTCTTCCCCGGTCGCGACTCCCTCATCCCCACCACCGCCAAAAACGGTCATCCGCTTGCGTCTGCCGGCGCGCGACAAAGGAAAAGCTCGCGAGGAAGATCCGCCAGATGAGGCTGTGGGCATGTTTGACGAGATTCTCAGTGAGAAGGACCGAAGCGTCAAGGAAACGTCTATCGTCGCTCAAGACAAGCAACGTTTCGAAAGGAGTCTCATCGCTGCCGAGGCGAGTTTTCTGGCATGCAATCTTGTTAGTAGATCCTTGTCCTGACTTTGCCGCAGGAGAAGCTGCACCCACCCCCACCGCCTCCTGAGGTCTCTGATACAGGAGAAGCCGGCCCTTCCACCCGCCCGCTGCGTTCCTCCACGCATCGTCCGCCACCCTCATCAGCGGTATCGGGACCAGCCAGGTCTGAATCGCCTCCTCGGTCGACTCCCGCGCCCTTGATGCAGAAGCTGCCCGATGGACCGCGCATTCGACGGATCCGTTTTGGAGACTACGACATCGAGACGTGGTACGATGCTCCTTTTCCGGAGGAATATGCCAATATACCCGAAGGTCGGCTGTGGTACTGTGAGTTTTGCCTCAAGTACATGAGGAGCAAGTTTATGGCGGGGCGGCACCAGGTAAGTCCCATTGTCACAAACTTCAAGTCGGACAGTGACCGATTCTTTTCTCTCAGTTGAAATGCAAGATGAGACATCCTCCAGGCGATGAGATTTACCGCGACGGAGCAATATCCATCTTCGAGGTGGATGGGCGTAGAAACAAAATCTATTGTCAGAATCTGTGTCTACTCTCGAAGATGTTTCTGGACCACAAGTCATTATTTTACGACGTGGAGCCGTTCTTATTCTATGTCGTCACAGAATTCGACGACGTCGGTTCCCGGTTCATAGGATACTTCAGCAAAGAGAAGCGGAGCCCGAAGGACTACAATGTCAGCTGTATAATGACATTGCCGGTCCGGCAACGGCAAGGATGGGGGCAATTGTTGATAGACTTCAGTAAGAGGCATGGTTGTGTTTGTCAGAACAGATGAGCTCTGATCCACTGTTGACGCAGGTTATCTACTGTCTAAGAAGGAACAGAGGGCGGGATCACCTGAGAAACCGCTCTCTCCTCTTGGCGCACTGGGGTACAGGAGTTACTGGACATTCGCCCTCATGCGATATTTCCGGACAGCCCCTCCGAACCCTCGCATAGAAGGTTAGTTCACAGGTATTAGTCATGCTGGGTACTAATGCACACCACCTGTCCATAGACATCAGTGCTGCGACCTCTATGACAACAGAGGACATATACAATACCCTGATGCAGCTCAAACTCATTCGGGTGGATGACAACGCGCTGCGGCCCAAGCCATTGCCTGGTCAGGCAATCAAGTTCCCGAAAGGTCGCAAGAACGGAGTCGCAAGGAAGCACCTTCAGCGTAACCAGACACAGGATGATGAGAAGGTCAAAGGGCCCTTCGTCGCTCCGATCAAGTATGAGATACGATGGGACCCCATTCAGGTAGAGGAGTATATGGCGAAATGGGAGGCCAAAAATTACATTACGCTCAAACCGGAGAAGCTGAAATGGAGTCCGTTCATTGTAGCAAGGACGGGAAAGACAGACCAGCTGCCATCTGACGACATGGCGAACGGCCGAGCCGCCAGCACTCAGTCGCACGATCTGACGAACGTTGAGCCAGAGGGCACGCCAGCCCGTACAGCGCCAGTGACTCCCCGATCTGGTGCACCGATAGACACCCGGGAGACAAGCGTTATGGCGACGAAGTCCCCGGCATTCTCGCTGTTTGATGATGACAATGTGATAACTATTTCCTCGTCCCGCAACTCCTCAACACGAGACCAACCCGAAGCAGAGACTGCGCACTCCCCAGGCCGAAGCGCGGCCTCGATTTCGGTCCCCAACCCAGCATCGGAACTCGCGCCGGAATCAGTGCAGGAGCCGGCGCCAGTAAAGTCGCCAGAAGATGAGCAGGTCGAACGCGACCGCGCGCTAGCGGAGGAGCTTGCGCGGACACTGTTTTCACCGAGTCGGCGGCTACGTAGCAGCGCTGCGACCGACGTCCGTTCGCCAGTGGAAAGACGACGGACGCTCCGTGACGAGGTCTCGACGCGTAAGAGCAAACCTGCTGCAGGGCGGCGGACTCCCGGACACGGGGCCACGGGCAAGCAGGCGCGAGGGAATGTCGGCGATAGCGCGGGCATGGTGGGTGAGGACGAGGATGCAGCACTTGCTGCGAGACTTGCACGCGAGGAAGAGCAGCGACTACGTCAGCTGCGCTCGAGACCGGCCACCGACCGTCGGGAGGCGAAACGCTCGAGGCCATCCTCGAGGTCAGCGTCTCCACGCAAGCGAAGGCGCATAGACTCGTCGCCCGAGGTGGAACACCGGCCCACGCCGCCTCCCCCTCCGACTCGACGGAACTTTCGTCGCACCCTGAACGATGCAGCGCTTCTTGCTGAAAGCCGGGACCTTGGCGAGTTAACACGTGTGGTGAACGGTGACGGGGTACCGCTGCATGCCAGCCCTTCACCAATCTCTTCAAGTGACACAAATGTGACGGATAACCATCCAGCCTACCAGGGGTTCGGTCGTGCATTGACTTCTCCGAATATCGAGACGTCTGCCCCGGCGAATGCGAGCAATAACGGACAAAGCTGCAGCAGCACAACGCAAGCGCAGGAGCCGGAGGTTATCGAGGATTTGAAGTACGAGGATGCAGGCACGCCCCTTACAATCAATACTAGTCGTCACAGCGTTCCCAGCGATGATACGGTATGTGTTACGGAAGACCACGCACGCGACTTCAGTAAAGCATCTCCGGGTGGACCAGCGATCGAGATTCATCCTCTCCAGCCTCTCAAGCCAGAAGTTACTGGGGCGGTGCCGATCGAAGTCAACCGAGAGGTGGAGGAAGATGCGGAGGGAGAAGAGGACGCAGACGCCGAGGGTGAGCTGGACATGGATGGGTAGCGTGGCTTTTTGGTTTGTTTTCATTCTGTTGTTGTTCCTGGAACCTGTTTGTGTATAGAAATTGTACTGTAGCTTGCTCGCGTGATGGTCCTCATGCTGGCTCTGTTCGGTTAACGGTCCGATAAGGCAGGAAACCTTATTCAATTCTTGAGGACATGCGGTCTTCCCTTTTTCAAGTCTATCTCACAGTGGATGATTTCGGTATAAGTACCAGGGGAGTGACGCGATATATCTGTTAAGTCTATATTAATGGTTCGGTTATGAGATGAGAGGAAGAATAGTCGTACTCTTCTCGTTGGGAAGCGTCAAGAATGTAGGCTGAACGATGTCGTGGGGCATTAAAGGTCTTGTTGTCTCGGTCCACATGGACGACCTCGCATGCGAAATCTTCATGACGTGCGTCAGCTTGTCCCTTCCCGCGTGCTAGGCTCAGGTTGTGATCAGTATGCGCCAGGAAAAGCCCATGGATTTGTGGCCACTGTCTAAGCGTCGTCATGGGTCATTAGTACATTCTGCCGTGAGCAAGCACTTTAACGCATGGAGACTTTCACTCACATGGAAGTACGAAGTTACGAACACGCTGAGGCGGAATAAATGTTGGGTTGAAGTTACCGAGAGTCGTTTGCATCCGGCCAGCGAATGCCAACCTCGAGCCCTACGCCGTCGTCAAGACGAAGGTCCTCGAATCGCAGAAGATGGGATGCGGGTTCTATCGTCTTCCGCCGGGACGCTATGGAAGTTGAAGAAGTCAGTGCGTGAGATCTTGATCTGTATCATATGTAATGGCCCTGATTCACCGGATCACTAATTAGGCACAGCGATTGTCAAATGAGGCTAGTAAAAGAATGAATATTGAATAATCCTCACTGAGACGCATAAAGAAAGTCGCGCACTAGATGAGCAGGTTCCCTCTTCCCGTACCACGACCATGTCTGCGCGCACTGTTACGTTGACGAGGCCGCTATTTATCTCAATGACTGCATTGCGGTCTTTAGAGTCAACAGGCATGCTTCACTCTTGACAACTGTCTCTATGTCTGTCGGACTCTGTCCAGCATCCGAGATCAAAGAAGTAGGAAAAACTCCGCCATCCGAGTGCTTTCTATGATCACTTTTCAGCGCTCGGTCACTTTCACGAGCTCCTCGACGGTGATGACGGTCAGGGCGAGGCTCGCTCGCTCGCCGTCGAACTGTTCGACAAGGTTGGGGAAGTCAAGACGAAGCACATCGACGATGAGAAGTTAAAAGGTACTGAGTGCTGGGGCCGCGAGATCAACGATGAAGATATATTATATATTTCCTACGCACACATCGAGGAATCCGTGGTAATGTGTACGCATATAGTCGGCCCAACAAGAAGCTCACGCTGTTTGATAGCTATGAAGCAAAGGTATCGACACTTGGGCCTGTCCCCTTGTAGAAGTTCCTTCAATCAGGTAATGTCAAGGAGAACGACCTTGTGATGTGTTGGCCGATTCCAGCGATCATCCCCTTCAACCTCGCTCACAAGCGGAGGGACGCAGTAATCAACCTCCTTATATCGTAAGGCACATCGCATCTGAATCGATAGGACATACTTACCTGTTCTTTTTCAGAACGCTTTCCGTTGGATGAGCATGACGCCTTACTCGCGACAGATACGGGTGATATCATCAAAGTTCAGCGCAAGCTCGGCGGCGTCTTTGACTAGGATTACTACTATCACAGCGGCGACTTGTTCGACAAGGAGGCGGTCAAGTATACTTCCGAGAAGGGGGGAATGTCGAACACGCTCTGGACAGCGTCATGGATAGCTGTTTTGAAGATGTGTTGCAGAATGCGGAAGCCATTCGAGGCACAGTACATGATGAAACCAAAGTGCTTTCTCCTCTCACCACTACGATGCTCGCCCCAGCCGCGCCCTGCGTCGCGTTCTTCCTGGGCGACTGCACGACCAACCTTCAAGATGTCCGATTTAAAATGCTCCGATATGTCCGTATCAGGGTGACCCATCCTTGTTCTCACGAGGTCACCTCGCTTATTGCGTTGCACCAGAAAAGCCACTGTCGATCATTCGTGAGCGAATTACGAAGTTGTACTTCTTCATATGGACATATTAAAACGCATGTCACGTTGATCTGCACTATATAGCTACATCCGAGGCGACAGACACTCACCTCCCAAACTCTCTTCTCCTTCTTCTCCCTCCCACACATTCTCTTATGCTGCCTATCATACCCAAGACTGCTGGTGGTCCCGTCGCATTACGGCTCGAGGAATGCGCCGCCAGAGTCGAAGTTAAGAAATGGCATCCACATCCCGCCGTCATGCAAAGCCTCACAGTCGAAGCAACACATCTGCGGCTAGGCAAGATAGGAAAGCTGGCCGCTTTGAAGATCACTCGAGGCCCCATCATCGAGGAGGGCCTTTTCCTAGAGATCTTCGACGAGGAGCAAGACGAGCTCGCCGCATTCTCCCAGACGCTCTTCAACAAGTATGGAGAGATTAGGCCTTGGCTCGTCGAGGACGAAAAGCTCAAGAGTACGGGATGCTGGGGTCGAGAGCTAAATGATGGGACCATCTTTTACATCTTCCATGTCCTTATTTATGATCCAGCGGTGAGATAAGGCGCATATATGCAGTCTTTTTTGTCATCCTTAACTGCTTCAATAGCTCAGAGGGCAGGGACTTGGCTCATGGATCCTCCAGCGGCTCCTTTCTTCGTCGCTGGTGGGGGAGAAGGATACGGTCATCAGCTGGCCTACGCCCATGCCAAGCCGCGATGCCGCGTCGAAGGAGCAATGGACGGATGGAATAGACCGGGCAGTGTTCTTCATGCGTAAGGTGAGAGGTTGACACATGCAGATTAGGACTAGAGAGCTGAATACAGCGAACGATAGAACGGCTTTCGAAGGATCGGCTTGACACAGTTCCTCGCGTACTCGCCCAAACCAAAGCACCTGTCCCGCGCCATCCCTGCATCAAAGGATGCTCCATTGATGCTGCGCCACTCGGGTGCTTTTCCTATTTCGGACCTCGCAAACAGGATGCCTATGAGATGGCCCAATGCCAAATTACTCTCATCAAGCGAAGAGTTCCCGCTGCATGACAGGATTCTCCGACTCAAATTAGACAAGATAGTGAAGTATATTCGAGAGGCATTTGGCAGGGATGCTCTTGCCATCCGGCAAAAGGACAAGGATGGCTTCACGCCTCTCCACATGGCCGCTGCTGCTATTAACATCGCGGCAGTGAAGACTCTTCTTGAACTGGGCGCCCAGGAGAACGTTTTCGACAAAGACAACAGCGACTGGAAGACACCCCTCATGGTATGCACCGACGAGCTTTGAGTCTCCAGGGAGTATGCAGAGACCCACACCGAGCGATGGACAGGTTATGCTGAGGATGGGCTGCTGGTGGAGGCAACACTGAGAAGGGCCATGGGCGAAGATATAGGTGCCGACATGCAATTCGTGCAGGCGAAGAAGTGGGGTTGTACATGCGGCCACTGTGTAGGTGGATGGTTGTCGCCTCTGTTGATCCATCGTCTCGTAAGTGAGTTTCCTGCATGACCGCTGCGACAGATAATGAAGTACTCACCATTCAATTGCAGAGAGGGCCGAAGAACTGTACGACATGCTACCGGAAATGACTGACTCCTATTTCCCTGTGCCTAGAAGACCGATCGACAGGGCCGACATCGAATGGGACCTGGCCCTTCCTTATGTCCCACCCCACCTACACGAAGTCATTTTCAAAACGTTCCACAGCGGATATCGCTTCGTATTCGGTGCAATCGCCCAGGTTCTCCGTGAACTGGGGGCCACGAACCCGTCTCCTCAACGAATGGCCGCTACGCAAATAAGAGAACGAGTGCTCTTCAAGCTTTCAGGGCAAAGTCCATGGGTGTACGATGACATCTTCTCATTCCTCAACACAAACGCCGTGAATTTCTACTTTGCGAAGGGAGGAAAGGTGGAATACGCGCCCTACTGCGTGGTAGACACCGTGGGGATGGACTACGAGTGGTGTGCGATCGACCCTAAGGCTGCGAAGGAGCTCGAGGCAGAATACGGGCAGTTTCCAACGTGCGCAAATGACAGGGAGACGAGGATGGTTTGACACAATCTCGGTCTGGAACCAAACAATAGCTGGGGACCATACATCGGACCTGACATGTCCTATGATCCATATGAAGGTATGGAATCGGACTCAGAGGATGATGATGGTGACAGCGAGCTGGAAGGGTATGGAGAAAGCGATAGTGACGAAGGTGAGGAGGACATGGATACCGAAGAGTACGACGAGGATGACGAAGAAGACATGGAGGAAGCCGAAGAGTCGTAGGTTGATTTGTACGAAGGCTGAACGATTAAGCGATTGATGATTGATGAAGCCGAAGACCAGAATAATACTGCAGTGTAATAGACATCATAACACTCTTGACGCATTGATAGCTGGCTTGTTATGCAATGTTTGCCAGAAAGTGTAAGTACTGTGACGAACCCAGAGCAAACATCCGTTAGCTCACCTATTCAGTTTCGGCAGTATAATCATGGAGCCATACGTACTCACTTATTCCGCGCTACTCGTCATGCTTTAGTGAGAACGGCCGCTTTCTGGAGGTCCTCGACGAAGATGACGAGCTTGCCGCAGTTTCCCAGACGCTCTTTGACAAATATGGTGAAGCGAGGCCGTGGCTCGTCGACGACGACAAGCTCAAGGGGACAGAGCGCTAGGGTCGGGAACCTCTTGAAGATTGGTATCACTTCTTCGTCATCTTTCAAGATGAAAAGGTGAGATGATGCCTATATGCGGTCTTTTCCATAAATTCTCACGGTGTAGAGAGCAGGGACCGGTTCATGGATTCTGCAGAAGCTCCTATGTTTGAGTCAATTTAGGAACAGAACATGGCCATTAGTTGGCTTACGCCTCACCAAGCTGCGGGGCTGTGTCCAAAGAACGTGAATGGAGGGCATGGAGCGAACAGTGTCCTTCATGCGCAAGATGAGGAATTGCTATATATCACTTGGAATTAGAAAGCTTACTACAGCAGAAATCGTGCACAGAACGGCTTTTGCAGCATTGGCATGACGCAGTTCCTCGCGTACACCTCTAATCCTGCGCATCCATCGCGCAGTCTCCCAGGGTCGAAGGACGCTCCGCTTATGCTTCGCCACTTGGCGCCTATCCTACTTCGGACCTTCGTGAGACGGTGCCCATGAGATGATCCAGGCGGTATGTATCCGGGGATGTGAGGCACAGCGATAGCAAGGACGAGGGGGATATGCACCAGCGCGACAAGGATGTGAGAATCAGGAAGACTCGAATGCGGAAAACGAGAACGCCAGCAAAGAGTCAGGAAGAGATGGTTCAAAATTAGGGTATGGCAGTCGTCGACGACTGCTGAGGCGAAGTTTCACCAAGGTTCAACTGAACTTGGGCTGATCTCGATTCCCATGCTGTGTGGTTGCATCTTCCATCTCAGAACTGCAATACCCGTAAGAGTAATGCAGTGAAAAAAAATAGAATCGAGACGAGATTGCATGCACGGACTGAAGCGATCGACAGGACGTCCGCGTCAGTACTTCAGTTCCTGGCAAGGAGCAAGAGTCCTGGCAAGGAGCAAGCGTATGATCCAACAACGATCGGTGTTGGACCAAACGCGATCATGTGATCGTGTTTACTTCCAAGCGCCGAGCGCCTGTATTCGAGCAGGCTTGATGCTTTTGACTGCGCTTGATGTCCTTTATGGGTTGTTGAAAAATACGACAGACACACCAACGATCGGACTGATATCAGACCTGGTTCAAGTTCCTCACTCAGGCTCTGCGGTCAGTGTTTACACTCAAGCTATGTTCAGGCTCTGTACTGAGTCTCAAACTGTACAATGCATAGATTCTTCCACGAACGTATCGATAGCAAAGACGAATATCATGACCGCAATGCATCCAAGCATGACCCAATCGACGACGCCTCAGCACCGCCATCCGTCGTCCGAAGATGTGCACTGCACATGTGGAGAGATTGTTAGCATCGATGATTGCTATTGAAGCAACAGAACTGCACGAACAGTAGTGCAATTACTTGCTCTTCGGGGGCTCAGCGCAGCCGCAGGTGGGCCAGGAGCAGGTGCCGCCGTTAGCCTCGACGTTCGCGCACTTGACAGTGTCCTGCGTGCACTCGTCAGCAGCTGCATTCACGGTGTAAACCGAGCCTACTCACAGACATGATGATTTAGTGAGGGCGGTGGTGGAGGTGAGTAGGCGATTGTGGTTGGTGGTTCGGAGCTGAGGTTCCCCGTCGCAAACTGGGCTCCTTTATACCCCGAGGTCCATCCTAGGCCCGGCCCGTTTCTCTAGCTTCTCGGCTCTGCTTCTCGCTCCGAACGGTAATCTGAGCATTCCTACTGGGGTGTGGAACCCCAATCAGAATGCGAAGGTATGTCATACTTCCGTTATCGGATCACTCTAGGAAACACGCTCCGCAGCCTGTTGCGTATTGTCTCGTTCCTCCGCTTGACTGTGAGCTTCTGGTGAATGCCACTGCTTCCAGCTCTCCGGAAGCTTTGGAGGACCAAACACAGCTTTCCCCTTAGAACGTGGGCATTAGCTTCACGGCTTATACAACAGGTCAATTCATTTCTATCTGGAATTGTGGTCCTGCCGAACATCGTTCTCTCTGCATACCGATATTACAGGTATGTGTACATCGCCTCTGTGGGATTTCTTCTTGATGTTCTTTTGTTGCGGATGGCAGTAGAATGGCCAAGCACGATCGATTGGGGCTGAGCTGTGGTCACCGGCGCCGCGGCAACGGATCCCATGACGGATCAGTTCTGCCTGATTCGGACAGCAATGCTGTATATGAATGCGCTTCGAGACTCAATCGGGTGATAGGCATCCTGTAAAGCCGGAACTTCACCGCCGAAAGGCGTGGTTCTTGTATGGCTCAGAAGCAACTTGAAAGAAAGGGTCGTACGTGACTTCGCCGGACACTACATGCATAATTTTTCTTCCTTTAATCGCTCTCAGGTTTCAGGAATCGAGAGCTTCCTGTTCCGTTGAAGTGAGGCAGAAATACGAAAATTCCATCTGTGCGGTCATCACAGTGGAGTACATTAGCAAGAAGCCGTCAAACGTGTTCGGGTTCCTTCAAGACTCTACATCCCTGCGGACGAGATGAGCACACAGCTATTTTGATCAACCGCTTTCAAATGCGCGAATGTTGCAAAGCTGTGCAGCACAATCGCGGCATTGGGCATGTATAAACATGACTGAAACAGACTTTACTTTGCAGGTCGTGACCGTCCGAGCAGCCTACTTACTCCTCGGGGGCTCGGCACAGCCGCATGTCCGTCAGGAGCAAGTGCTGCCGCTGGCCTCAACATTCGCACACTTGACGGTGTCCTAATATATGTCAATTCAGCACTGATCGGCATACAGCGAACGTAGGAAAGCTAGTACTCACAGACATTGCGATGCGGTAAGTTCAGTAGCTACCAGTGGTATTCGTGGACGAGAAATGTACTATCCTTCGTCCGGCCCTTACGTGCGGAACACCGTGGTAGCGCAAAATACCCAAGCTTGTGTCCAAACTGATCGTGATACAGAACTCATCGATACATGATCGGTCGACTAGAAATTGAGCGGTATGTCATCATCGGGATCATTGGATTGCCATGAGCTGAATCCGGCAGGAGAAATGAAGGCACAATGAGATAGAAGTCCATCCGTCGGGGAAATAGTTGGCGAGGCCGGTACGTCTTCTATGACGACGCAACGAAGGACTGTGTGCCGTGCTTCCTCCCCACAGTCGGCCAACAATGGAATGCCTTGCCTCGCAAATCTTAGTAATAGCCTCGCATCTATTGGCACGGTCGGACTCATTGACAATGGCTCCAGCTGGATTGGTGCTTCGGCTTCACGCGCAGATAATCGGCGAGTGCCTCCCAGTGATGTTGTTAGGGAGCCGAGCAAGCTGTGCTGATGACTTGGTGTGGTGAATCTTCCGTCTCTCGCTGTTATGGATCGTTGCGCGGTAGCTGCCTTCTGTCGCGGCTGTTGAAGGAGATCGCATGACCAATTTTTCCTGCTCCTGGTTCTGGCCTCGTCTCGGATGATTAGAAGTTGATGTCCTTGCGCCTCAATGGGCGTGTTGTGCCCCGCTTCCGTCAGCCAAGTTCTTTTCCGACGCCATGGACTGGAACACATAGCGGCTGTTGAGAGACTAGGAATCCTATTAACTCAGTGCCCATCAAATTCGAGGACATTCTATGGCCGCACGTTGACGCTCAACGTAGCGCGAAAACCAACGACGTGTTCGCTATTATAAAGAAGGGAGCCGCATTGAATTGGAGCCGAATTCCACATGTCTGGCCCGGCAGGTCTGTCAACGTGGCACCCCAGAGCTGAAGGCATGCTGATATATGGCTCCATCAGTGGAGCGGGAAGAGATAGTGGGTTTTGACATACCGTCTTGCGTTCATTGGCGTAGCAGATGGCCAATGGAGCTGCAGTAATTACTCGAGCGATGACCCACGAGACCAGGCACCCAGAAGATTGCTCGCCTTAAAAGGAGCCGTGCCGCTTGCCAGGACGCCTCAGTCCACAACTACCACTCGTACCATCCTACTCAATAACAACCATCATGTCTGTGAGTACCATGACGATCTAGAAGGGATGTCTGGATAGAGGTTGATGCATCGCGAATCCCAGGATACCGTCAAGTGCGCTAACGTCGAGGCTAACGGCGGCACCTGCTCGTGGCCCACCTGCGGCTGCGCTGAGCCCCCAAAGAGCAAGTGATCCTGCTCCGAGCTGTCGTTCATGCCGCAACTCTTCCAAGAGGTATGCATTCAACTCATCTCCACGTCGCACGACCATCGTGACACTGATGTTGGCTGTTAAACCAGTTGCACGCATCCAACGGTGGCCGAGTTTTGAGAGTCGCTGGCCGTGCAGGATTCGATGCTTGGAGGTGCATTATTGATGTAAATAAGGCGTCGTGGCAATACACTGCTGGGCTGCGCGAGTTTGTCGTATTGGCAACATGGGAGTAGAATGTTATCAGATAAGGATGATTGTCTAGTGCGCGGTCCAAGATAACGAGCGGAGGATGCCGGAGAATGATCGGACCCGCCACGTCGCCCGGCCCCTAATCCGGAAGGGCTGTGACGTGAATCATGTGTGTGTGACAAGTCGTGTCGCGGTGCAGCGCGTTGAGTCTTGACTAAATATAACGATATTCTCAGGCTGCCACTATGCTTTGTCTGCCCTCATCGTGTACGGTGTGATTCATGATTATGCACAATTCATCTCTGCAGTATGAGGGGCCCCTTTGGACAAAAATAAAAAAGCAACTTTCGGGAAGTGAAAGGCGAAGCGAAAAGCAAAACAAAAAGTGAGTTTCGAAACGTGAGCGCCTAGTCGGGCGCTATGCCTGCTTTAGGCAATTGATAGCGCTAAAATGTCCTTTTCGGGAACTTTGGACTCGCTCGCGATCCACTGGTAGATACTCCAAGGAACTCAAGAGCACGTTACTGGTCTTGAGAATTTGATACAATTGGGAGATATTTCAGGGAAATCAATATGATAGTGACCATGGAGCACAGTGCACACCAATTGCACTGAATCTCATACAATCAAGTTCTGCTAAAGCAATTAATGTTCACTGTATCTCATCCATATTGAGTATGAAAACAGGTGGCCACAGCATTGCCAAGTAACTCAAATGCCACATGGATGTTCTTCGATGGCAATGGAACCAAATTGTCAATCATATCTACACTGCAGTAGCTGAGGGTGATAGAGGAGGGCACACAAGACTGTGGACAATGGACATGCACTCAAGTGTCTATATCTGTAAGGAAACACAATATTCAGGTGTGCATGTATGGTCTTCATGGCCCCATGGTATATGTGCCTTCATCTTCCCACTTTGGACCACATTGTTGACTTTCCCGGCCAGCCCACTGCGCGGCCAGGAATTTGGGAGTCGCCCGCTCTCTAGAAGATGGCTCCACGGGGCCAAACCGATGGCCCGTCCCATAGTAGCTGTGCCCTATTATATACACGCGCGCTACTACTTTCCCACGCCGGTGGCGCAGGTCGCACCAGTGCCTCTCGCATCCGCGCTCCGTGCCCAAATGCCAACACACATGCTTTCCAACAGTCCATGGATTGGCTTTGTCCATGTATAGATCATACATTGCTTGTAAGACACGGAAGATGACCGGAGAGCTCCGAAGTCCCCGAAAGCTTATTTAATCGCATTTTAGTGTCATCAGTTGCCTAAAGCGGGACCAGCGCCTACGTAAGCGCTCGCGTTTCGATACTCATTTTTCGTTTTGCTTTTTCGCTTCCGAAAGATTCTTTTTTTTTTTTGTCCAAAGGGGCCCCTCATACTGCAGGGAGCCAACTCAATCATATTATATTTTGAATATGATGGTCTCGATGCACTCTGCTTTTATCTGGCTACACATATGCTACATCAAGAGTCCGGTTGAAGTCACCCGTCCGCATACACGTTGCCTGTCATCCCAATCACTGTCCAACCGGAGCCCGCTTCCATGAAACTTACTCAAATAATGATTCCCCACTTTATGAGGACGAAAAGCTCACGAATCCGCATCGGGTTTCCCTGTAGTCGGCGAATCGCACCAAACTTCGTCGTGTCTCACCCTTATACTTTGGCAAGATTCTAGATGAACCTCAGCGGATTTGTGCTCCAAATGTGGTGCAGGTGTGCATACCCCGGTCCACGATGAGTCCCTGCAGAAGCTCACTTTCACCCCCTAGCCCACTTCGGTATACGAAAAGCGGAGAGCGCCGGACATTGTGAAACATCTTGCATGGGAAAGTATGTGCTCCTATAAAGTCCTCCTTCCAGAAGAAGTACAGGTTATCGTCCTGATCCCTGATCGTGCGCACAGAAGTCTAACGAGCTCAGTTGAGGTGACCTGAGATGCACCAGAATGCTCTCGGCTGACACAAACCTTTGGCAGGTCGCCGTGGAACTCGAAGCGACGTTCCCGCATAAACATCGCCTTCCCGTTCCCGCTGATGTGAGATCCTTGATCGCGCCAGCGCCTCGGATACTTACGACGTGTATTTCGGCTCGAACAGGTTTCCTTTACTGGTTCACCCATAAGGCGGCTTGTGCATGCACTCCTTCTCGTACGTGCCGCCGTTCTGGCTCAGATGGGCGGCTCGCTTAGGTCGAGGATGGGCTTCTTGGCTGCTGGGTCATTGTGCTCGGAGGTGATATTTTGGCGGTGGGTGTGGGTTATTGGAATGTTCGCCCTTGTGCACGGGTGCGTCGGGATGCGCGTTCGACTTCACGTTGTTGATAGACATTGTGCGAAATGCTCGCGCTATCAGCGAGTTCCAGCTCGCAACCTGTTTCTTTGCAAAGAGGAATGTTGCTATCGTGTAGAACGGTTGAGGAAGCATGACGGGCTCTGCCTAGGCTCATAAATCAGCTTTCGTACGGGAAGACAGTACTTTCCTTATACTCAGGCTCTGCCTTAAGTGCAATGGCCTGCTTCATGTTGCGAGGACAATCTGATGATGTCATCCAGAGAGTCACGCACACGCACACGGTCATGCAGGTACGCGTTATGGTCACCTGACCGGGTCGTAGTAGGACTTGCTTGAACGCACGTTGCTGTTTGACCCCCACAGTCAAAGCACAGCGACAACAGCTCGTTCGGCGATAGCGACGATCCCCCGCACGTTTGTTCATAGAGCTGAAAGAGATCCGGCCGCAATAATTCTTTTCATTTATTTCGACCGCAACTTCAACATATGCCGTTATTTTCCAGCCTTATCCCTAGCGCCGTCAGCGCGTTCGGCCTGCAAACCGGTACGAACATGACGGATGACCGAACATATAACATTGCTTACTTTCAGGTCTCACAGCACTTGCTGCGGTTTTTGTGCCCCAACGAAATGACAAATTCTATGACCTTGGTGGTGCCCTCGGCTTTCTCTCGACGGCGTTCATCTCTCTTTACTATCCCTACGTCAAGGCGAACTATCTGAATGGCAGGAAGCTATCGGCCGTCCCATCAATCATAAGCTTCGCGCCGAGACAGCTCTTGCTGACTGCCGCCCTCGCCGCGTGGAGCACGCGTTTGGGCAGCTTCTTGGTGACTGTACGTTCCATTTTTAAACGCCCTTCAGCGCATGTCAATTATTCAGTGTCCCTCGTGGTAGAGGGCGCTTAATGCCGGAGGGGATTCCAGGTTTGACAATATTAAGAACCAGCCGGCTCAGTTTGCGGGATTTTGGCTAGGCCAAGGTCAGAACCTTGATAAACTTGTTCAACGGCAGTTCACTGATATCCAACCGCATGGAAGGCATTTGGATACTTCTTGTCGGCCTTCCAGTGTATATGGTACGTTTCCCACATTTCCAGTGCTCACGTTAGTGTACGGCATTCCAATTCATGTTTTATGGGCGGCCTCAGGTCAATACGTTGCCGGCAGCTGCTCATCCGCCGCTTACTAGACTTGACTATGCCAGTCTCGTTCTGTTCGGCGGCTCCTGGCTCTTGGAGATAAGTGCGTTTCACTTCTGTCGGCTAATGCTTCCACTTCGATTGTGATCAACGTGCATTCTGATTACGTCCCTCAGTCGCCGATCACCAGAAGACTTCCTGGCGACACGCTCGCGATAGAAAGCAACACGATGAGAGATTTATTACACGCGGCCTGTGGGGAATAAGCCGTCATCCGAAGTACGTATGCCGAGCTCGTCAGGCGCCTCGTGTGACTCCTTTTTTTCTCTTTGCCAGCTATGTCGGAGAAGTTGGCCTGTGGACCGGCATCTGGCTGCTCTCGCTCAACTCTCTGCGCACTCAGTATTTTCCTCGTGGGTCCTGGTTGTTGGCCGGCGCGAGCCCGCTCATGACCTGGTTCCTTCTGCGCAACGTGTCTGGAGTGCCGCCACTTGAGGTACGCGACTCCAGCGCTTGTGTCGTTTGTCTGACATGGAACGTTGACCTCGGTCCTTGTTGCGACAGAAAGCAGGCGACGATAGGTTCGGCAACGACCCGAAGTGGCAGGAATACAAACGGTCAGCGTTGTTTCTGCTCATTGACGTCCCCTCTCTATCTCTGGCATATACATCCGTTTGGATTGGTGGCTGGTTCCGCAGCTCATCGTCCGTTCTGTCCCTGGACAACTTACGTCGGAGGGACGTGTATCGCTATGGCTAGCCCGACATAGTCAGATTGAGCTGGAAAACATATCATAGTGCGCCACGGCTGCGTGCTCGCCCCTCGGGTTCTGTCACGCATTTTACAGCTTCATGAAGCCACGCCCTTGTGCATGCCATTCGTGTATCGGAAATTGCTCAACTCCTTCGCCGTGCACTTTTCTGCTCTAGAAATTGGCCTCTCGATACACGCTAAGTGCGCGCTGAGCTCCAATGGTTCTCCGCACTGATTATCTTTGGCCCGGAAATGAAGTTATAGACGATCTATACCGCTCACGCAATTACGTCTATTCGCGCGTCTTCACAGCCTTCTCTTCGCTCCTTATAGCAATCGTTTCCCCTCCTTCCACGTATTCCCTCGCTGTCTGCGGGTTATCGACGGCTGCTTCTTTTCGCCGGTTGCCAGTGACAAAACCGCTGACGTTTGCTTCACTTAGGACTGTTCCCGTCTTCTGGCCCTGGGGACCTCGCGGGTGATTCCCATCTGAGAGCAAGATAACCACGGAGCCGTTTCCGAGCAAAGTCGTGTCTTGGACCGTCGTGTTCTATCGTTTGTACAGCCATGACCAATGTCTTGATAGTTACGTGTAGGATGTTCCGTATTGATCGTATCTGTAGCGATAGGCCCATTGTCTAGAGCCATGTAATTTCTTCCACGCAGGTCTCGCTTCCTCGACATCCATTCATTACCAGTTACTCTGGGTACGCGCCAACGATGAGGCAATATTCTAGCATGATCTGATGCCGTAGATGGAAGCAGCATCAGTTATGATAAGGGCCACGCCGCCACGGTGCATATGGCATTGCAAGTGTGTTCCCCAGCTCCTGTTGCTCCATCTATCCTTATATGACATAGCCGTTCGCTTGGTCAAAACGACGAGCATGCCGGACATGCCTGCATGAATGGCGTAGCTTCTCTCCCATTCATAGTGGTTCATTTTACTATAGTTGCAAAGTGTTGCTTGTAGGCGCTCAATTGAGGAAGATATTTATTTGCGCATGTTTGTATTCCCCGCGCGCGTCATTGGAATCAGGCAGAGTCAACTCGCGTGGCAAGTCTCTGCCTGCCGAATGATCCTCGTCTCCCAAAGGCTGCGTGGATGTTGAGCAAGTAAAAAGCTGGACCTTGAGGGGCCTGAACGTTTGAACGTCGACCTTACGCAATTCAATGGACATTGCAAAGCGTACGCGTACCACTGCGCCAAACGCCCATAAACAATCGGCCACTGGAAATATTTCAGTCGGTATGTTTTGCATAACTGGCCGGAAAATATGCGACGGCTACACCCAGCGGCTGTGCCTGATGGGAGATGCATGTAAGTTAACGTATCGATTGATGGCAAGAAGCGCTAAGGGACGTTCTAGCAGGATTGATAAATTACTTGGCCTAGACTGATGCGGGCATGTTTCTATACATCATCCTGTTCGGCTCTCCTCATCGAGCTTTAAAGGGCACACACTCGGGGCCGTCATAGGGAGTTATCCATGAACCTGCCCACCCGCGTTTACTACATAAGGACCCTCTAAGCTCGCTCCTGTCTCGCTCTAAGCAATACCGGTACGTTAGCCCTGCTCTTCAAGACTTGTTATGCACCTTCACAGCACACTGTAGTGGAACAAAGGCATATACAATATGACGTCCGCTAAGAGAGACTCAGAGACTCCAGAGGAGCTCGCCGCCATGAATGACTTCAAGACGAACGTCTGGGCGGTCTTCCAGCCACTCTACGAGGCTAAATGGGACCAAGGTGATCGTTTCCTTCTCTGCAGCGAGTGTCTGCATTATCCTAACGCCTTCACCATTTCGCATACTTCCATGGACAATGGCAGCTCGGTGGGATGCTGCTGTCGGTGAGTAGCGGCCGCATCGATTGATCGCCTGCTTACATATCGCTTTGTCCGCAGCAAAATTTCGAGCGGCCCATGATCCCGCAGTTGTCGACAAGTTCATGAAAAGGGCCAGGCTGCCTCCTTGGGATGCGCTGCAGGATCAGATGAAGAAAGGCCCGCCCGCGTTCTTACGCCCTGGCTGGAAGAGTCCGCTGTTAGGACAAAGGGTAGACCTTGATTGGCTCGATGCCGATGCGTTCGAATGTATACGGCCAAGCAAAGATGGCTGGCGAGACAAAAAGGTGTTAGTCGTCGAATACTGGGCATCGTGAGTCCATCTATACGCTTATCTCCTCGGCATGATGGTGCATGACTAACGGATATTTGCAACCGCTCTAAGATGGTGCCGGGTGCGTACGCTATTTCCGTGCTTCGCTGTCAGAACTCAATGGGCACCTGCTCCAGCCGTGTCATGTGGTTTGCGGACTGCTGTCGAAGGTTAGCGCGACGATGCCAGATGTCAAGGTCATATCCTTCGATCATGAAGGCATCTTCACAAAGGCGGAAATCGACCGCACGGTGGTGAAGAAGTTCGTCAGTGGCAGAAAGGACATGGAATACCCGACATACATCGATTCGAAGCGTGTTGCGGTGCAAGGTTCCGTGTTGTCCGTCCCTGAAGTAATGCGATATGACTGATGAGGACCATTTCAGCGCTGTTCGAACCAGGACAGAATTTGTCCATACCACTGGGTGAGCGCTCATCTTGCGGTTCTTATGGCATGTTCACATATGGATTTGAACAGCGTTTATTATCACCACCAAGGATAGGGTTGTCCACTGGATCGGCAATCCAGAGGACATGATGGCCCCACTAGAGCGGGCTGTGAAAGCTGCATGAGACGTCTTTATCAGAGAATACTTGGAGCCGTGTAACATTTTGTACACTCGGGGATTAGACGGATCTTTGCTCGGATTGCGTATCAAATGACTAACTTGCGTATAACGCCCGTCATGTATACCAGCCACCATTTCCTTAGAGGCTCACTCTACGAAAGTATACGCTGTCAGCCAGTTTATATGTCATGAAATAACCAGTTTGCACTCATCGAGGTAGGCCACAAATCGTGTGCCCTACTGTGCTTCTTGAATGTTCACACGGAACCTGAGAAGTTGACCGCGGACCGGTATATTCAACCACATTCCACTCATCGAAGTCTATCCACATTCTTGTCATGATTACCGAGAATCCGGGTCGTCATCTCCGCTTCGAAATAACAGGCACACGAGTTCCTCTCCGCCAATAAAACCAGAATGGGCCAGAAGTCGCACATTGAACGGACTGGTGCCCATAACCGGGTCCGCGGTGCACACTGCAACGCCAGTTTCGACTCCGAAAGTTAGCGCGTAAGGATTGCTTCAGTTCTTCAGACAAGATGACGTGGCCATTTAAAACGAAGGTACGCAGTGATGTTGGAGGGATCTCTACACCCTGCCGGAGGGAGGAGTAAACAACTAGAAGCTTCTTCGGCACATGCGGATGTTGCATGCTTAATATAGCCTGATCCTGTTGGAGAAGATCTTGCGCGCTTTGCGATCGTCTCAACTCCGTGGTATGGAGCGATTCCCGTCTCCACGCGGTCAAAAGTAGCCTATTTCCAGACAATGAATCGAAACGACGTCGCCTTTAAATAGGCCATCGGGTGGGAATAGTCGCGATAATCCCGTATAACATGTCCTCTAAATTATTTGGTCAGCTTATTGCGAAGGTAGGAATGACGAGCGCTATGTGACCGAGTTGACCGCCTCTGACCAAAGACCATGGGCACACGCTGACACCTCATCGATGTCCGTCGCACCCGTCTTACGTTACCAATCCGGCTATTCCTCGTTGACAGCTTATCGCCGACGCTTCGCCTCGCCGACCATCTAATTGACAGCCGGATGAGAAATACAGGACGCGGGATGCTGAGTTTCAAAGGCTATGTCATGAGATGCAGAGTATCCCACAATCAGGACCCTGGATGGTCTTGTAGCTGATGTTGTGGTGAGAAAAAGGCAAGCACTTACGAAAATGCGTCTACCGAACTGAACGTCTTGCCCAAAGATACCCGCGTGTGTGTGAACTAATGAGGCAGATGTTCGGGACTATAAGCCTGGGTCTAGAGTATGAGGCACACGGCGCCGGACTAGTCTTGCGCCAGCAATTGTCTTGTACAACCCATCCGATCAGAATGCTTCCGATGTTCTCGTCGACAAATTGGGGTGACAGTAAAGTCGCCAGCCTGAAAGAGAAAAGTTGCCGAGAACGAGTCTGAAAATCGACGGCGTAGGGTCCTGTGCGAGGGTTTGACAGTAGCATGAGAACGCTGCCATCTGTGTGGTTTTTCTCTCCAGGCCGATGTGTCGTGTCCCATCATTTGTCGGAGTTTCGAAGAATCGCTGAGTATTTTGCATATGATCATGCACGTCGCACGACACCGCCGAGCACCGATTCCTGTCAGACCAGACTTACTAACAGACATAGTTGAGCATGCCACTCTCGGTGGAGAGCCTCGCGAGCAACGTGCGGCGTGATGGCGGCGAGTAGCGGCGAGTGCATCCGGATTGATTTCGCGGATGCTCTTTGGCGGAACACGTGGCTAGATCTGTGATGATCGGGGTTCATTTCGATTAGAATTTAAGCTTCCGCTCCAAGGGTTAAACAACTCATCGCCACGGTCTCTCCGTACAGACAATCCAAACTTGCCCCTTGCAGCCGTGTTCAACCTGCCAGCCTATTGCCGGCCTGATAGCCGAAGAAAGGTGTGCCGCAGTTAGTTTTATTACGCATGTTTTTTTTAAATTTAAAGTCAATGTCATCGACTCGGAGGATGATACTGACGGATGCGGATAAAATATTAGGATCCCTCGCTGAGAGATGTAGCCTGAGAATATGCGCTACGTATAAATTAGACATCTAGAGCGGGCGATTTGGATTGTCCTGGAGAAGCTGGCCGCGGGCACGTTTGCCCGCAAGTACAATTCTTCTTCACAAGCAGCTGTTAGTCAGGGACAGACTACACTGCTAACACAACAATGATACCATGATCCTTTCTTAGGTGGAAGACGCGTGAGAGATGCTACAAGGAATCTGATGCTGATGCTGGAGGACAGCACTCATTAAACTATTGTCTAGGTATGCGGCAAGCTCCTACAGTTCAGTGACACAGCGCGATGCTGGGACTCCATGGGTAGAGCTCGAGGCTGACGAATGTAATATCCCTGACTGAACACCGGGCACGAGAAGCATCGAGAAGCTCTCATAGAATCGCTGTGACGGGTATTGGTTGGTACCGGTATGACGAGAGCGAGACACGCACGCATGGCCGGTCCTTCAAAAAAAGAACCACTCCAAGACTAATCCGGTCGCGAGCCGCTGCTTCAATCTCATTTGAAGGTCCAGCTAGTGTACGGCACGATGACGGCGATCCTCGACTTCGTAAGTAAGTCATAGTGATATCCATCCGACATGTATTCCGCAATAGACGGTAGACCAAGCCGGCCATGATCGAAGCGGGCGATTCGTGGCCTGATCTCATTGTCAGGCTTGTGAAGAGAAACATACGGCGTTGTCATGGTCACCTTGAGTCTGCTTCATTCGCGTGTATGCTCTGAGGCGTACTAAAGTGGGATAAAAGTACTAGTAGGCGCCGACACGCGTCTCCTGCATGGATGGCACCGTGGACGAGCGTGATAGCCACCGACAGATCTGCGCCTGTCCTTGTGAGAGCTAGTGCCATAATAGTCGACTCTTGACGACAAGCAGGTTGGATCGGCTAGCTGATTGAAGAAAACTATGTTGCCATTGGGGCAAGAACGTCGCCACTTCGCGGTGCACAGGTGAGAATATGCCACCTCGCTGGTATTTCACACTTGAAGCAAGGCGGCTGCTATAATGGGCACTCAGGGTGCACCCAATCAACTTGGCCGTCATTTTCAGAGGAACCTCCTTCTCGTGATTGGCTTGTAAAACCTGGACTTGCATTGCAGACCTGCATGTCATGTATGGGCTACAGAGAAGATGTACAACGTCGCTGCGGCAGTACTCAAACTACCGTCAGTCCATCAAACCGAAGCACAAGAGTAAATGGGATTAGAGAGTGAATGCAGAGCGCATAGAGTAGAGACAGGCAAGAACAGGTTGTCCATTTTCAACCAATCGCCATGAATGGATTGTTGGCATGCAAGAGCTGAGCTCACATGCAGATTGTCTTCATCGTCGTTGTTGTCATCATACAGGTCCCCATCAACCAAGCAACTGCGCTTTTCCCAACCCTCCTATGCACTGCAATCGACCATCTCCCAATCCTCCGGCGGTACGACAACCCAGGACTTGCTGAGCGCCGGGTCGCTATCCGCCATAACCACGTCGGAATCTGCATCGCCTTGCGAGGCGGCGACGATACGCTCCAACTCGCTCGTCGCAGAATATATCGACTTTTCCAGTTCGCGATTCGCTGTGTACATCGACAGCGCTAATCGCGGGCCCATATATAGGATTCTTCTCCCCTCCGGCGACATGCGCATGCGGGCGGCGATTGCTGCTCGGTAGAGATCCGGCTCTTGTTTTGAGCGTGGGAATGACGCACGCGCTGGTAGGACGGACTGTCGTGGCGAGAGAGGGGACGATGTGCGGAAGCTGGGCATCGCGGCGCAGGTGGCGATAGGTGCTGGAGAGAGTACAACTGGTGTCTGAATGACGGCCGGAGAGGAGCGCGAGGCTGCTTTGCGACGGTCTCTCTCTTCTTTCAAATGTCTCATGCTCCGCGTACGTGGCAAACTCGTGGTCCGTTCCGCGGGCGAGGTAGAGGGTGCCCCCGCTCGTCCGTACAACGTCGTCTCCACTGCTGCCTGCATGTCTTCCAGAGATAAATAGGACCCTGTGCGGCGAAGCGTGTTCGTGCGCGGGGATTTGTGGGGTGGTGGCGCCGAGAAGGACATGGTGCGTTTGCGGCGTCCAGGATGTCCAGGTGGGACGGGAGTCTGTGGTTGGATCACCGAGCAAGACATCGAGCACAGGGATGGGTATAAATGATGACTGTCGGCCGCTGTTGATGAGGGCACAAGGGGAGTGATGAGACAGGAGACAAGAACTTGTTTCACGGAGTAACTCGAGTGGATATGAAGGCTGGGGAAGAATCACGTGAGTCCGCGGTATGGTGCCTGGCCTTTGCCGGGCGCTCCGCAGCGTCTCCTCGCCATCTGGCCACGCTGGTTACACGACTCCCGTGTGTTCCGAGCCGAGAATTGAGGGGATCGCATCTGTAGTGCAATCTTGGATGAAACTTGGTGTCCAACAGCACGATAGGGAATGGCGGTATTAGAGCAGGAGTTCATCAAGTGATCCAGATGCAAGTCAGCGAAATGATGAACGTGAGACTCTTGATTGCATGATACCTCAGACAGAGCCATCTGCACCGATACAATGTCCTCTGGGAAGTCGAATCATTACTGCCGTATCTAGTTTCCCAGCTTCGGAGTTCAAAAGCTAGCTGGGCCGCGGTCACTCGAGGCACGGAGCTCGGCGGAGCATTGCAAAAGCCAAGTCAGATGAATGAACACAGCAGCGTTTTCAAAGCCACAATGGAGGGGAAGCTCGCGGCAGATGGACATGCTGTGCAACGTGGCTTTGAGTCAACCTTGCAGATGATCAAGGATAGGCGCGCGTACAGCTGGCTGTTACAGAAGTGATGCTGAGGAATGCTACGCGTTCAACTGAGCTAGATTCACAGGATGGTCGCCACTGTAGGCAGAGAGAAAGAAAGCCCTAAAGCCGCTTCCGAACCCAGCCTTCCATCAATCAGATCGGTATCTGCCATGGGCGCTTCTCGTTGTGGCTGCAACTAAATCTTATCGCAGGCAGCCACAAGCTGTTCTAAACGCTGACGGGGCCTCATTCAATTCGCATCTGACAGTCCAGTGTTGCAACTGACACTGCCACGGCTGAGAAGACAGCATGCGCATCTCACCTCGGGAAGAGGCCAAACTATTGCTCCACCAAGTTGGTATCTTCGCCTCTCTGGCACGCGCGACGTCGTGAATGAACCGCGATACAGGCCGGATTCCTCGCCCAAAAGCGGCTCGCACGAGGATTGCAGCTCAATCAGACGGAGGCGACAGCTCTCATCGCCTCACAGCTTCAGGAGCGGATCCGAGATGGCAAACATTCCGTCGCCGAGTTAATGCAGCACGGCAAGACGCTGCTCGGGAGAAGACATGTGCTTCCTGGGGTTCCGAGCCTGTTACATGAGATACAAGTAGAGGGCACGTTCCCAGATGGGTATGCTCATCTGTCTGTGAGGATATCGGCTTCTAATTGCCGCTCAGCGTGTTCCTCGTTACAGTACACGACCCGATATGCAACGATACAGTCGAGCTGTCAGCTGCTTTATATGGGTCGTACTTGCCTGTGCCTCCGGAACATGCTTTCCCCGTTGTAGACCCAGCAGAGTATGCTCGGGAGAAGGCCCCGGGCGCAGTCATAGTCAAGAAAGAGACGATCGTCCTGAACCGAGGACGTGAGCGAGTGAAGCTACGAGTCACGAATAACGGCGATCGCCCAATTCAGGTGTGTCCTCTACCCTACGACCTAAGCTGAATACCTTAAAGTGTTCCTCAGATCGGCTCTCACTACCATTTCATTGAAACGAACAAGGCGCTATCGTTCGATAGAGCGAAGGCCTATGGGAAGCGACTCGACATTGCCGCAGGCACTGCAGTACGCTTCGAGCCCGGAGACACAAAACATGTAACTCTGTGCTCCATCGCCGGCCTCAAGAACATCACAGGCGGAAACCGACTTGCTAGCGGAGTGGTCGACCCGTCACGCACGGAGGACATTGTGCGGAATCTGGTTCAGCGGGGCTTCAGGCATACACCGCAACCAGGTGCCCTCGAGATTTCTGTGGATACTGAGATCAGCAGGGAAGCGTATGTTGCTATGTTTGGCCCTACGGTCGGCGACCGAATCAGGCTTGGAGATACCTCTTTGTGGATTGAAGTCGAATGGGATGAGGTAAGGGATGTCTTGTATCCCTGTCAAACATGCTGATCCTGGGATTACAGACATGCTATGGAGACGAGGTCAAGTTTGGGGGAGGTGCGTATGATCCATCCTCGTTCCAAATCAGAGCAGAATTCTGATTGATGTCGAAGGTAAGAGCATCCGTGAAGGGATGGGCCAAGCAACAAATCGGTCTGAAAAGGAGACACTCGACCTCGTCATTACCAACGCACTCATTGTTGACTGGTCAGGTATCTATAAAGTGCGCAGGGATTCTCCAGTCCATATGGGAATTGACACCTCGTCGTCACACAGGCTGACATTGGCGTGAAGCATGGAAACATCGTTGGCATCGGGAAAGCCGGCAACCCCGACGTGATGGCCAACGTGCACCCTGACCTCATCGTCGGATCCACCACGGAAGTCATCGCAGGCGAGAAGCTGATCGTTACCGCTGGCGCCGTTGACGCACACATCCACTACATCTGCCCACAGCAGGTGCCAGAGGCCTTGGCATCGGGCGTGACTACGATGATCGGCGGAGGCACTGGTCCGAGTGCAGGTACCAACGCGACGACGTGCACGCCGAGTCCGTTCTATATGAGACATATGTTGGCTACGACCGACGGGTTGCCGATGAACTTTGCGTTCACTGGGAAAGGGAATGACTCGGGTCCAACTGCTTTGGAAGAGATAGTCAAAGCCGGGGCTGCCGGATTGAAATTGCACGAGGACTGGGGATCAACGCCATCTGCTATCATGAGCTGCCTCGATACTGGTGACAAATATGATGTACAGGTCTGTATAGTCCAGCCAATGCGGAGACCAGTGCCTCATTGCGATTGTCTAGGTCAACATTCATACAGATACCCTCAACGAAAGTGGATTCGTCGAAAGTATGAGACGTATGAGATTATATTGTCATGACTCACTGTGATTGTAGGTACAATCGAGGCGTTCGGCGGCCGTACAATCCATACATATCATACAGAAGGAGCGGGTCAGTGCTTTCTCGATATCACAAGAAGAGCACAAATGTAATGATGGTTTCCAGGTGGCGGCCATGCACCGGATATCATCGTCGTATGCGGACTTGAAAACGTTCTTCCATCATCCACCAATCCCACCCGCCCATACACCAACAACACGCTTGATGAACATCTTGATGTATGTCTTCCCATCGATGACAGATGTCCTACTAGTATTGACTGCTAGCCGCTCAGATGCTGATGGTCTGCCATCACCTGGACAAATCGATACCTGAAGACCTCGCGTTCGCCGAGTCCCGCATCCGTGCAGAGACCGTGGCGGCAGAAGATGTGCTCCATGACATTGGCGCGATCTCGATGATCAGCTCCGACTCACAGGCTATGGGCCGCGTCGGCGAGGTCATCACGCGGACCTGGCGGACCGCCAGCAAGTTGCGCGAACTCCGCGGGCCCTTGACCCTCCTGGGCGACGCGCCCGGGCGCGATAACTCGCGCGTTAAGCGCTACATTTCCAAGTACACTATCAATCCGTGAGTCAGGTCACCGCGCGTATATGTAGCGGTGCTCATCCTGCCTTTCAAAGAGCAATCTCTCATGGTATCAGTCATCTCGTCGGGCAAGTCGCCGTTGGCGCTCTTGCGGATCTTGTGCTGTGGAAGCCCGAGAACTTCGGGTCAAAACCTGAGATGGTATTGAAGTCAGGCGTCATTGCGTGGGCGCAGGTCAGTATAAATAATACACTTGAGTAATCACGGACGCTCACGACGAGTCACAGGTGGGCGACGCGAACGCGTCCATTCCCACCGTGCAGCCATTCTACGGACGACCTATGTGGGGCTCGCACGCCATGTCCGCGGCGATGAACTCCGTCTCGTTCGTGTCGAAGGTGTCCATCGAGGAGGGAGTCATACAGAGCTATGGACTCAGGAAGCGCTGCGAGGCGGTGATGAACTGTCGTAATGTCGTGAAGAAGGATATGAAGTGGAATTTTGCAACGCCTGAGATGATGGTCGACCCGGAAAGCTATGAGGTTCATGCGGATGGCGTATTGATGGATATCGAGCCTGCAGATCGCCTCCCCTTGGCCAGGGCTTATAACATATTCTGAAGCGAGATGAATATTTGTGAATCTTAGTTGTATAAAAGTGTGTTATTACAGTATGCGTATAGTATGTGAAGATAACATTTTGGGCATTGCACATCCTTGATCCAGTATTCCATGCGAAGACTTTCATTACAGAAACATTGTCATAATCTTATCTCAGTTCAACCTTAAAAGGTAGGCGCAGTGCCGGAAGGCTCACTCCATCGGCGGCTGCGTATGTAGTTGTTCATCCACACGTGCCACACGGGAGAAGTATGCAGACATTGCCAGCACGGTCCACATATTCCCTCATTGCAATCTCTGCAATCAGACATGATCAGCTAGGTCAAAACAAGATAGAGACGAGAAGAAACGTACAGCCTGTTTCTCGGCACGATGGCTGGCCGATCATAGGAAGAATATCGTGCCTTCACCGGTGAAGGCAAAGGATCGGGCAGTTGTCGAGTCGGATTCAAAGGTGACGGAACGTATACAGACACTGGCCGATGGTACTCCTGTTCTGGTGGTGTCGGCGAGCCTTCTTTTTGCGAAGTGCTACCGCTGCCTTCAGGTCGTCCACCTTTAGGGCCTTTTCGGACTTTTCGTCCAGAGCCGATGGGTGGGATGTCAGGAGAGCGCGGCATCACTAGCTCCTTGGCGCGAACACTGAGAGTTGGTATCCTTGGAGGACCAGACATGCCCGCACTCCATTCGTCTTCGTCAAGGTCGATGTCATCGTCCACAAAGAATTTAAACGGCGATGAGTTTCTGGGAAGAGGACTAGGTGTAATGATGGAAGAGCTCGTGCGCGATTGTGCTATGACTAGCTCCCCCGCAGTTTGACTTGGATGCGAGACATTGTGGATATGGTACATTGAGCCTGGAAGGTCTTCAGCGTCAGCTTGCGCGGTTGTGGACAATGCCGCTAGAGAAGACGAGGAGGCCCGTCCGGTGTGATCACCGTGCTCTCCAAAGACAGAGAGGCTAGGCCGCGGCGTGGTTGGTCTTGGAATCTCGTCAAGAGGCAGCCTTGCAGGCGATCTGTATATTATTTCCGAAATGTCATCTTTTTCTGAGGTGGTTGATAGAGTGCTGATATGAGGAATGCCGGATTGGAAACGGGGACGTTTGGCCTCTGGAGTGGGTGTTTGAGGACGTGGAAGAACGGTCTCTGCCACCGAATACGAGCTTTTGGATGGCGAGAGATCGCCTCGCGTCAGCCCTTCAGTAGTATAGAACCATTGGCCAGGTTTGAGGAGACTGAGACTGGAGACAGCATCGTCGCCCTTTGTTCTCGAGCGCGAGCGCGAGCGCGACTGTGACCGATGCCTTCGATGCGACTCAGTCAAACGCGACTCGCGACCTGTGCTGCGCGTCGCCGAGCTGCTCCTGGAGAGCCGACGCGTCGGCAAGCTACGCGTTTCAGGACGCGAGAAAATATGGCCAGAGCTGAGCAGAGACTCGTTCATCGGCGCGCCCGGGAACGGTTCCCTTGGAACAGCATCCCTGGCGACGCGGCCGCGGTTCGTGGTTTGATGCGAGATCTCGGCAAGAGCTGGTCGTTGCCGGTGAGTAACGGGAGTCAGCAGACTCTCCTCCAACGCGTCTGTGATTCCGAATCGCAGCCTTGGACGGTACGAAAGCGCGGATTCCGAGGCAGAGCGAACGATAGGTATAGGGAGAGATGATGGAGAGCTCCGAGCACCATCATGGTCGTAGCCACTGTGTTGGTGGAGCATCGTACGCGTAGAAGACATTTTGTGGCGAGAATTGTCGCTGGAACTGAGGAGTGGGGGTGAGAAGTCTACAGCAACAGCGCTGTATTTATATATATCGCGGTGGCAGATGTGGCCCTGCGTGATGCGGCCAGTCCGAGCGTGAAATATTTAAGCGGCGGGCATTGTTCATAGCTTGGCCATACGTCGAACCGTTGCAGCGCGTGTCCTTTGTGGCTATCGGAGATGTGGCCACTGAGAGAGAACGTGGCAGGAAACGAGGCTCGGCAACGACCGGCTTTGGTGTGAGCGTGCTAATGGATGAGTGCGCTTCCGGTCGCGGTGGAACTTTGAGTGGCTGGCGGCCGTAGTTAGCGGATCTGCGTGCCAGACGTGATGATGAGTGGCTGCAAGTGGCGAAGGAATGGACGTCATACGATAAAGACGGGACTGCACGATGACTTGAGCTGTTCCTGGGATGCTGCGCTATGGCCAGCCTGCGAGATCAAACGTGTCCGTTTCGGCCGCATTCGTATGTTAGCTTCGCCAGAGCACATATTTATTGCGTCCAGGCTTTGATGGCTGCCGATCTATTACCTCAATCGCCAGTTAGCGCGAACGATAGCCTGAGCGGGAGGATTTGCCGGAAGTTCCGTGGTCGCCATGTGAGCCGCCCGTTTTCCACTGCCGGTCTGCCAATGACCACAGATGCCATTGTCAAGTAGCTGCCTGCACTGTGCCGATGAATCCATTGTTATGACTATACGCGCATGAGGGCAGATACACATAACCTCCAGGTTGAAGCGTAGCGCACCAATCGCATGCTATCTGATTCCCGGTAGCAAGATAGCAGAGTTTTCCCGAGAAGCGTCGTGAGCGATGGATGTGGCTCGACCGCTGCCTGCATCGCTGGAGGACGATGTATCTCGTGCCTTGAAGGACGTCCGTGCTGAACCGAGCGGAGAGTCGCGTTTCATCGAAGAAAGTTTGAGAGTCGAGATCAATCACGCGGACGTCGAGCAAGCTCCCGAAATGTGACGTGCTGATCATGACATCCTCCTTTCTCTTGAAACTCACTCATGACTTCCTTCATCGCATTGCGCGGCCTCACACGGTCGTAAAATTGCGCACGAGACTGAGCACGTCAGGCAAGTCGAAAGCGAGATACGGACGGAGAAATATGGGCTGGCGGCTTAGCTAAGCTTAAACGGCTTCGTTGACTCACCAGCCTGTCATGATCAGACTTCCCGGTTCTGACAGAAATCCGGCTTGCCGTATATAAGTCATCGGGCACCCTTTCCCGACGGTGAGTCCTTCTCTTCACATGTTGTTCGTGTTGGTTTCCGCCTGAGACTCGCGCTACCTCTCGCTCCTCCTCGTACTGTGTAACGTTCCGCTCATGACTGTTCACCACGAAAGTGACGAGGAGACCCCCTTGCTGGGGGAGGAGGAGCGGAAGCCCGTCAAGACACCTATCCCATGGGGACAGCTATCTATCTTGCTTGTCCTCCAGCTCGCCGAGCCATTTACGAGTCAAGTCATATCTCCCTTCGCTCCCGACGTAAGTGTCACCATCGTCTCCTTCCTGTGAGTTGCCGATATCTACTCCCCCAGCTTGTCCGCAAAATTGGCATTACTGGAGGAGATGAGGCGAAGGTTGGGTACTATGTCGGCCTCATGGTACGAGATTCTAGGACTCTGAATGAGCTAGTTCGTACAGTGAACACCTCGACAGCACTCCATTTTCTTTGCAACGCAGGCGATGACCGTCCTACACTGGAGTCGCCTCTCCGACCGAGTTGGACGCAAGCCGGTGATAATGATTGGACTGTGCGGACTATCAATATCTATGTACAGCTTCGGCTTGTCGAGGACATTCTGGAGTCTCGTTCTGAGGTAGGTCAAGCTCTACCTTGTACGACGCGGCAGACGTGACGCCGCCTACTCTACAGTCGCAGTCTCAACGGAGCGTTGAACGGCAATATTGGAGTCCTCAAAAGCATGATGGCGGAAATTACGGATTCCACCAACATTGCAGAAGCGTACGCTTATTTGCCGCTGGCATGGATGACTGGTGGTACCCTTGGGTAAGTCCTTCTGGCGCATGGAACCAATCGTCAATTTACCATTTCCATTTCCTAGACCGATGATCGGCGGATCATTATCGCGACCATACGAACGATTTCCTGACGTCTTCGGTCATATAGAGTTCCTGAAGAAGTATCCCTATTTCCTCGCATGTGCCGTTCCTGCAACATTCTCCGCTGTTGCTTTCCTGGTGACGATGTTCTTCCTGAGAGAGGTACGTCGATCGCCTGTTACAGACGGTATCGCGGCTTAATATCTTTCCAATAAAGACTGTAACACAACCCATCTCGATTCGTCGCATCCTCAACTTACGCAAGAGCAAGGCCAACCTGACAATGCAAAATGTTGCCGGGGCCGACGGTCCTAAACCCGTGGCCCCCATCACATCCGCTAAAACTCGCGCCGAGCCGCTCCCGCTACGCGCGCTGCTGACACCCCGCGTTCTGATCTCCGCAGGCAACTATGCCCTCCTCGCAATCGTCGACATCAGCTACCGTACAGTCATTCCAGTCTACATGTCTACGCCGATCGCACTCGGCGGCCTTGGGCTCAGTCCTCAGATGATCGGCTCCGTCCTGTCCATCTATGGCATTACGAATGGCATACTGCAGATCCTGTTCTTCTCGAAGACAATTAACCGCTTTGGCGCGAAGAGGGTCTACATGGCGGGTATTACCTCCGCTCTTCCTGTGTTTGCGCTGTTCCCCGTCATCAACCTGCTGGCCAGAGAAGAAGGGTACAGCATGGGCGTGTGGACGCTGCTCGCAATCCAGACGTTCATCTCGATCGCGCTGAACTTCTGTTATGGTACGGCTTCCCTGCGATCAAGCAAGGTTATGGGGATTGATCGTCTTTGCAGGCAGTGTCTTCATCTTCATCACGGCATCGTCCCCAAACAAAGCATCGCTTGGCTCGGTCAATGGTCTTGCTCAGATGAGCGTGTCCATCATGCGCGCGATTGGGCCCGCCGTGGCGAACTCGATGTTCTCACTATCGATAGACCCCGAGCGCCATTGCCTCGACGGGATGCTCGTTTACGTGTTCCTAGCAAGCCTCGCGGTCTCTGCGCTTGTAGTGGGGACTTTACTCCCGCAAAAGGTATGGAAGAACGAGTCGAGCGAGCAAGAGATATCATGATCACGATTAGGACTATACCACATCTTGCGCATCCAGCGACTCTAAGCGATACCTCATCTGTACGTAACATGGCCGTTGTGTAGAACAGAATATGTGATAGATCTTGTGAGCGGATGGCACAGTTACGCGGAATCCGGATATCTGTCCTCATGGCCTGAGAGCAGTGCCATTGTGGCTGGGGACACGAGTTGCCGTATATAGCGACCAGCGGTACAAGCTCAAGGCTGCATAAACCACCATCATCCCAAACACGACCGCTGTTCCCTCCGCCCTTGCTCGCTCCTTCCAACCGCATTCTACGACTAACTTCTAGGACAATTCTAACGACCATCCATAATACCGCACCATGTCTTCCTTCGCTGCGCTCATGGCCTTGAGTGCCACACAAACCCGGGAGTCCGAGGCAGCCGTGCAGTCCGCGCTTGCCCAACGACAGCGCAAAGAGGCACAGCGACGCAAGGAGCAGGAGGAGCGGGATCGCAGAGAGCGTGAGCTCGAGGTTAAGATGCGGCTGAAGCGGCTCGAGGAGGAGAAGCGGGAGCAGGAGCGGCAGCGGCGCCAGGAGCAGGAGCGAGAGGCCCGAGAGCGAGAACGGCGCCGCCGGGAGGAGGAGGAACGCGACCGCCTGCGATATGGGCCCAAGAAGCCGGCCTCGCGGACGGACAGCAAGGGCTACCCGCTGTCGGGTGCCATTATGCGCAGGGGCCGCTCGTCCTCGTCTGATGACGAGTCCTCGGCGGCGAATGCGCTGACGCGCGAGGAGAAGCGGAAGCGCCGTATGGAGCTTGAGCTGCGGCATGGCCAGACGACCAGGCGGTCCACACACTCGTCGGGCTATGGCAAGGCGGACAAGCAGCTGCCCGGCGGGGCGGTGGATATCACGACGACGGCGACGGGCACGAACAATGCCTCCTCCGTCCCGAACAACTCGTTATCTGTGCGCCAGCGTCTCGCGTCTACGCCGGCGATGCTCATCAAGCTGAACGTGAACAAACGGGACACGCGGACGATCGATGAGATCCTGCAGGATAGGGCAAAGGCGAAGGCCAACGTCCTGCAGGGCGAGCAGGCGAAGGAGTTTAGTGATTGGTTTGGGAAGGGGAAGACGGTCGCGAAGAAGGACTCGTCGCAGACGGACTCGGCCTCTACGTCTCGAGCCCACACTCCAGCAGCTACCTCTGCGAAGGTTGCGAGCGGCTCAGCATCCCCTGCAGGTCGCCCCCCCAGCGTCTCTAAGCCCACTGCCCCTGCCCCCACGTTTAAACCGGCTGCCGCAGGCCAGCGCCCAACAGTTGCGAAGAACGCGTCTGTTAAGAGCGCCGCATCCAATAGCGCGAAATCTACCGTTGCAAGCTCCAGATCTACTGTGGCTTCCTCGAAATTCTCTGTCTCTTCTTACAAGCCGCCACTCAAAAAACGGCCTCGTTCTCCTTCGCTCAGTCCATCTCCTTCTCCGCCTTCCAAGAAGCGCGGCTCTGTCCCGAACGACATCAGCTCCGAGATCTGGAAGCTGTTCGGCAAGGATCGTTCGCGCTATGTCGCAGACGATGTCTTCAGTGATGATGATATGGAGGCTGGCGCAAGCGATCTGGAGCGAGAGGAGATGAGAAGGTTGGTGCTTTTCATATCATACCATGATCATCTATCAAGTTGGTTGTCATTCTCTCTGCCACGGCTGACACTTGCATCTGCATTCCAGTGCTCGTATTGCTAAGCGAGAAGATGAGTTGGCCATGGAAGAAGAGCGGCGTCACGAAGAGGAGAAACGCCGCAAGCGCAGGGAAAAGGAATTGCGAGAGAAGCAACGCATCAGCAGCTAAAGTACGCGCGATTCTTCATTGCTGCTTCTCAATCGCCTCGGATGGTGGGGAGACTATGATAATGTGTGATCGTTGGTCCTCTCATTGACTTTCTTGCATGATACCATGTTTTCTCATGAGTTCTGTTGTTAAACGTGCAGGATTTTGGATATCCAGTGCATATTCATGCTCGTAGGCAGGGCTTGCCATACTATACATCCACCTTTGTACATACATCGACCTGCAATGACACTGATGCTTCGGACTATTCCGTATAGTCTGGCATGTTGCGCGATTCTGTACATTAATATCTACAGTACGACCTGTAATGACATAAAAGTTCGAGAAGAGCAACAAATAAACAACTGGACGCGAGAAAACAGCGTAACGCTCCAGCCTGGGAGATCGACCCGTCAACCACTTTCCTCCATTTTGAACCTCTTCCTCGGTCCGTCAGGACTGAACTGGCCTGTGCTGGCGCCACCTTGCATGAAGGCAGGATTGAAATGTCCTTGCACATTCGAAAATCCTCCTCGACCGCCCATAGGCATCATGCCCATCCCTACATAGTGTTACAATGACAGTCAGCCTCGATCAATACAACACAACGGACAGTGTCCTAAACAGCCGCACCCATACCGCCCATCATGCCTCCTCCTCTCTGACTGTAGCCGGCAGTGCCCATCATGCCTCCGCGAGGACCCTGGGGAATCATGCCGCCTCGCCCACCGAAACCGCCGCCCATGGCGTTCCCGACGAAGCCGGCGTTCATGCCTCCCATGCCCATTCCTCCCATGCCCATGCCCATCATATTGGGCATCCCGCCCCGCATCATGCCGCCGCCGCCGCCCATCATGCCACCGCGCATGCCCATTCCCACCATGTTGCCCATTCCCATCTGGTTGCTCACGCCGCCGCGGAAGGTGCCGCCACCACGGCCTGCGTGTCCTCCCCCGGTGTGGGCCTGTGCTCCACCTTGACCTTGGTTCCTGTATTCACGCGGGGGTGGCTCTACGGGAGGATCAGCGAGTCGAAGATGGGATGTGGGACGACGACGATCACCTTTGGGAAGCGTCCTGAACGGATTGCCCTGTTGGGAGCTGGTGAACGACGCGCTTGCGCGGCGATTCTGGAAATCGCTATACCGGATCATTTCTCAGAACGGGATCATCTACAGCAGAGACAGGATATACTCACTTATTGTCAAACCAGTTCTTGATCGCGCTTGCATTCTCGAAACTGTGGCACTCAACGTACGCAATCCTACGCCATGATGTCAATCCTCACGATCATCGACGCGCGCATATACCCAGGCTTACCCTTTGCTCTTGCCGTTGACCTTGTGCTCAGAAAATGTGATGTCCTTGTGGTCAAGGTTCACACCGACATTGAGAGCGACTTGCCGAAGATCCTCATCAGTTGTCCACTGTAAGAAACAAAAAGAATACATGGAGTCGTCTCAGAACGATATTGCACATGTGGAACTAGACATATGGATAAACAGACCCATTGCAGATCCCCAATGTACAATGCGTCGAACGCGCCCTGTCCAGCTCCAGCGCCATTCATCGTCTGATTAATAGTGGTCATACTGCCAGTGCCGTTGGGGCTCCTCGTGTCCGTCACAGTGTTCGGCTTGTAGTCTTGGTCGGGACCGACGTTCATGTCGTCTGATCCTTGGTTGCCAGCGGGAGGTTCCTGGTGATCAGTATCATCTTCCACCCTCTGTCTCTTCTCGCCAGTCACGGGAGAACTTGAGCGTTGTTCAGCATGTTCTTCATGAGAATCCGCGCCTTCACGGGCGCGCTCATCCGCCTTCCGTCAGAGTCAGCGACGGCACATGCCCCATCTCACGTCCCACACTTACCTCAGTCTTAATGGGGCTGAGACCCTCGTCCTCTCCGTAGATGTCAAAGTCGTCTTCAGGCATGGCTGGAGTGTCTCAAATCACGAAAAGTGTGGGGTGAAAAACTTTGTTGCACTTTTCTGAGATCAGGATATGACAGGATGTTTGGAGTACCGACGGACAGAAAACAGCGATGCGACAGGATGGTGAGAGTCAGAGACAACGACTTCGGAGAGTAGACGGCGCCCACGACAAAGAGGAGAGAGACAACTCTTACAGGTATTGGTACAGGAGAGAGTTCAGGCGCTCTACCGACTCCTTAGCTCCAGAATACAAGACAAATAAAGGCACCAAGGCCTGAAACTAGCGACAGCGGGTGAGAGCTTGAGAACGATACAGGCGTGGCGTAGCGAGCGAGAGTGCTGGTTGTTGGAAAACAGAACAGTTGCACGTAAGCGCCCAGACTCTCCTGTCATGTGCTCTAGCTTGTTTGTTTGTCATTCTTTGTCCCACACTCTTGCCACCATGGGCGCTGTGGCCAGGAGCAGTGGTTTTCAAGCGAAGAGGACTGCGAAGTGTAGAACTGATTTGTTGCTGCGAGCTTCTTTTAAAAATAGATAAGGGCCTATCTTGGCCACTAATTGACGAGCATCGGTAGGTCAATGAAGAGAGTCAGTTTTTAATAACATAAGGGCCTACTTTGGCCACTAATTGAATAGCATCGGTAGGTCTATGCAGAGAGGCGTTTTCCTAATCTACTGATGTACCAAGTATAATGAATCTCCCGTTTAGACATTCTTGCGGTGTTCCTGGATAAAACACAACCGACATGATCAGCGCCGAAAGAACATAGCAATCATTGAGAGTGAAGGACCCACAGGCGCATGCGTCGTCTCATGGTCGACGTGCACAAACGCGCGCTCGACGTTCGGCAGCACCTCAATCTTGTCCTGCAGCTGCTGGCTGATATCGTGCGCCTTCCAAAGCGGAGTGTTCGCGTCCATCACAATATCGATCTCGACAAAGTAGCTCTACGTTCGTAGTCAGATACCACTGCCCCGAATCGTGGAACGGCCCCGTCTGCTCACCGGTCCGCTCTGTATGCACAGCCATCCTGTCATCAGCATGGCGTGGCAGAAGGGTTATGCAGTCGGTAACGTACGTGGTATGCCCGCACCGTGTCCACTTTCTCGATCTCATCGCTGAACGTCACCACCTTGTAGATGAGCAGCTGGATGAAATCATGCGGTGCGGACTTCCCCGCGAGCAGCTCGAACTGCTTGTAAATCGTCCTGCCCCATGCGAGTAGGATGCCGATGGCGAGCTAGATGATGCGGATCACGCTTAATATGAGAGAGTGATTGAGAACAAGGAAACGACGAACGATGAGCGCGCCCAAGGGGTCAAGGACTGCGTGAAGAGGTCAGACTAAAACGTTGCAGAGATCAAACAGGAAAGAAGACGAACACCAAATCCATTTGCTCCCGCCTGCAGACATGAGCAGACCTAAAGGCCAAAGGCACAGATTCAACATCGTCTAGAAGGATGTACATGATATCATGTACCGAATCCGTTGACAAACAGGTCGTTGCGGTGGTCTTCCCATAGCACGTGCACCTGGCTCGACTGCTTCCGAAGGCCGCTGCAGTACAGGAACAGTAGAAACTTCACGCCTGGGATCACGCACTGCATTGTCAGATGTGAATATGGACCAAAGGAAAAAAGAGGCACCTAGCGCAGCGCCGACCGCGACGATAGACGGAATATGGAAAGTGTCCGTATCGTCACCGGTGTCGTGCTCGATGAACTGCTGCACCGACTCGACAACCAGCACCAGGTTGACCGCGCTCATCCTGAAGAGCGATCACTGAGTCATGCCGCCAGATGTCAGTCTCCAAATAGCAGACGTTTGCTCACATGAATCCATATACGATATTCCCGATCGTCTCCAACCTTGACCCACCGACAGGCCACTTATTCATATCCAGTGCCAAGGCACGCTTATGCAGCCAGTAGAGGACGACATTGCTCCCAAAGTCGAAAACAGAGTCGACGGAGGTAGTGATAAGGGAGAGCGAAGCAGAGGTGATGGCGGCATAGACTGTGGCGTGCGAAAGAGCAATAGGAGCATGTTAGGAGCGGAAAAGGTTGGCGGGAATAAGCTTACGCTGGAGGATGCACAGGAAGAAATTACCGATGAGACTCGCCCAGACAGCGATTTTAACCTGCAGGGAGAGCATGAATCTGTATACTGTACGCGGGACGACGGAGGACATTACAGGCATCCGCGCAGTCTCCTCTTTATCCCTCGCTTCCTCCGTGTGCTCGTCCATGCTCTTCAGCATGGAGGCAATGAGCTGCAGACACACATTCAACACGGTCAAATCCGTCCGAAAATTACGAGTACAACGACCGCCACGCACATCATTCTGCTTGCGGTGATACCGCTCGAGATGCTTGCCCGCCTTGCGCTTGCGCAGACTCGCGAGCTCCTCGTCCGTCTTCAGACCATCGCGGAAGGAAAACGGGTCGGAGCCTGTGGCGCGCGTCTGCTCAACGTCGACCCGTAACGTCGGTATTGACCCGTCGGACTGCTACTCGCCACCGAAGCCATCAAATCCAAGTAACGTCGTTGCTAGTACTGGCGCGAACTTACGGATGCGCGTATTGGCAGAACACCCGGCCGCACGGAGAGGCTGCTCTCCCCTTTCGTTTTCACGATGACCATGGGAACTGTAAGTGAATGATCCCTATGTGGGTGTTGGCTGAGCCTGAGGGGTTATCGAGACGAAACCGAAGGAATGGATCGATGACAAAATGCGCTAAATGGCGACTGGATCGCTCTGATCGCATCTCAATTTATCCGATACGGTTTTCGACTATCGATTATGCACTTACCGTCGATATACGCCTTTCCGCGACGTGCAAGGACGGAGAACTCGGGCTTGCTTGGCTCATAACTGGTTCTTATGCTGCATGACTGGCGCCGAGGGAACAGCCACAGCGGTGTTTGGATGACGCTCTCATCGCTTGGCAAAAGGAACTTCACCCGGCGGTGCACTCAGATCGGAGCCGAACGCTATCAGCTACCTTACGAACCAACAAGAGCCCTCCCGCTAATTTATTAACACAACATATCGCAATTCGTATCGCACAATAAATAGATCATGATCCAGACAGTATATGAATCACAATCTCGCGTTCTTCGGCATGTTCTTTATCGCCTGACGGACACCCAGATCCCCAAGCACATCCTCGGCTGCAAGCCAGACATCAGACACGCTCGCAATCTAGGAACAGTCGAAACCAACTCACCTCCGCCGAGGAGTGCGTCGAAGGCGACAGTGCGGTGGTACTAAGGAAAACATCAGACGGAACGGAGTGCACAGGAGTTAGCTCAAAAGGCGTACGTGTTCGATTACCCTGCCCATGCCGGTCTTCGTCACGCCGCGGCCACCGAAGATCTGCACAGCATCGCGAGCAGTGTCCTGCGCAGTGCGTGTCGCATGCATCTTCAGAAGGGCAATCGGGCTGCGAACATTCAGATCAGTTCGCTCATCTCGTAAACATCCAGGCGATTTTCACGCACCCAGCGAGCAGCTCTGCCTGTTGTTTGTAGCTCTGAATGGTAATGTCACGTGAGCACAGAGCAGATCGTCGAAGAAACGTTGCATTTCCTCACCATGTTATTCATCTGGTGCGTGATGTTCTCTAGCCAGCTCTGCGTACTCTCTACACGAGCGATCATTTCGGCGATCTTCGCCCGGATGACCGCCTGTGAGCTCAGCGGCTTGCCGAATGCCTTTCGCTGGGAGACCCACCTAAGGGCGAATAAGCATCCTCTAGCAGACAGTCATGCTACGGGCCACGCACTTCAAGCACTCATCGATAATGTTGCGCTGTGTCCGGACAGAGGCGCAAATCATGACCCATCGCTCGTGGTTGAAGTTACTAATAGCGGGAGCCATGTGTATATTGATTCTCTTCTGGAACAGATACCGCATACCTCAGGATGACAAAGACACCACCATTTACGGGGCCAAGCGTGTTCTCTATGGGCACCTTGACGTTGTCGAAGGTAATGTAGGCAGTGCCGGCTGTTGAGGAGTAAGACGTCTTGATACCCTTGGTCTCGACGCCATCACACCGCTCGACGAGAATAGCAGTAAGCCCTTTCTATGGATTCATGTCGGCATCAATACCGACGAGAGTGTCTTTGCAATCCTAATACTCGCCTCGGTCTTGCAGCCAACGGTGAAGCTGATTGTATGCGGCATGAGCTAAGGTCACATTTCAATAGGGTGCCATACTCACTAATCGGAGAACCTATCGGCATATTCCTTCAGCGATGCTTCCGAAAGCCATCTGCTTCAAAGACTCACGTTCCGTTCGTAATCCATTTCTTCGTCCCGTTAACGATCCAGAACTTGCCATCCTCAGTCTTCTTTGCAGTCGTCTTCAAGCCCGCGACATCGGAGCCCGCAAATGCCTCAGTAATCGCGAGACTGATGAACTTCTCGCCGGAGAGCACCTCTTTCATGACGCGGTCGCGGACCTCCGGCCGCGCGAAATGCAGGACGGGCGGCAGGCCGATGACCATACCGCCGTTAAAGCCGTCCTGATAGCCACGGAAACCCGTCCGTGCGAACTCTTGATTCAAGATCAACTGCCAAGGTGATCAATACGTGAGAACTGGATAAAAGGAGAAAAGACATACTTCGTGGAAATAATCAAACTTTGCATGAGATAGTTCAGCGATAGCGAGTCGGGATGTCGTTGAAAATACCTACCTCCTCCGGAGTGACAATTCCGCCCATCAAGGTGAGGCCTTTCAGGTGCTCGCCGGGACCAAGACGCATAACATTCAAGTTTAGCTCACTTATGAGCACAATTAGACAAATGCAAATCAGTTGACAAGGAGATTTACTCACGCCATCTTCTTGACCACGCTGACACTGGGCCGCTTGCCGTCTTCTTCTCGTGCCTGAGGTGGAACATCAGCCACGAAGCATGGAGCACTTGTGCAGCCACTTACAATCGCATCTGGGTATACGACCTCATCTACGAACTTGCGCATTGCGTCTTGCAGACGTCTGTGGCTCTATGTAACGACCATTGAGAAGACGGCTAGAGATTGAGTGCAGCGTAATAAGCATACCTCCTTGAAATATGGGCTATAGTAGCCGTCCGAGAGCCAGGTAGGCTCTGCATATGGTACCTTGCTCAGAGATCCAGGCTCTGGCTTCAGGAGTTGACCTGTTTCCCCTGCAATTGTTCCGATCTGCAGACGCGCGTACTGGGGCTTCTCCAGCACCTCATGCCGGTGAAGGCCATAAAAGGCTTCAGTTGCATCCTGCCCGGCTGAAGATACTGATTGGCGCCTTCTCTCTGCCCTGTATCAGAAAACACGTACGAATCTCCTCTGCGAGCAGCACGCTCGATCCGCCGGGGTGGAGGTTCTTGAACTTTGTGACATCGTAGACTTTGCAGTCAATGATGATCCACTTATATGCGCGAAATGAGTATCATGGCATGATGACCCTCAGAGATGGGACTGCCACTCACCAAGTCGTCGGGTGTGTTGTGCTGCAGCACAAGGCCGGTGAGCGTTATATATGGCAACATCGAGCAACACTGGTGCTCACCTGGGCAACCTCCTCCCGAGTAAATTGTTTCATCTCCTTCGCAGACATCGTGCTGAGGGCTCGTGTGATCGTTTCCGGAGATAGAGAAGGTGTGAGTTGGATGGCAGAAAGGGATGAGATGGGGATGATGGTCTTATAGCGCTTGACGGGGGTGACAGCAGGAATCACATGCTTATCCCCATATACGCGGTCCTGTGATGCACACCGAACACGCACGTGAATTTGCGATCGGATCTTGCGATTTCCTCTAGGGACCCAGCCAATCAGCGCGTCGCGATTCTCGACGGAAGAGCCACAACATGACGTCCGCGACATTTGCATCCGCGGTCCGCGGATGTCTCTAATACGCCAAAGCCATATTCAGCAGGAATGAGCCCACAATCCAACACTAGTCACGTCCATTTGCATCATTCAAAGTGAACATTGAACTGTTCGACAGTTATATGTTTATAAACCACGAACACACGGCTACAGCACAGTCCTCTCGATACATTTCGTCATAGTTGAGGGATTCTTGAGTCGCTCACTGCACAGATCCGTAGCCAGAGGGGCAGTTCTGGTATGCGATGCTCGCGCTGCCACTTCGCATGTAGCAGATCCTGGCGGGGATACATTCTCCCGTGCAGGGCGGAGTCATCACCGAGCTCTTGCCTTGGTACGTGTTAAACAGCTGGATACATGTCAGGGCATGGCTACGTTGACGAATGTGGGGGGACATACCTCAACGAGAGACGGGTCAGCTTCCATCGCTGAAAGGCGGTGTGTCAGAATACGGGATTGATGACGAAGCATGACGACATGACTACAGACCTTCGGTGACCAAGTGCCACCACGTAGCATTCAACGGGTCATTAGGACCCCACTGGGTGATGGTCTGACCGTATGCCTCACGGGTACTGTATTCCAACTCATAGGTCGGTCCAATCTCCGTCTGTCCATCGAGTTCTCCGAAGGTGTTCACGTCTGCCGCCCAGCTGCGTGCCCGATCAATACTACAACTAAAACATGATCTCATTTTAAGGATGCACTCACGTGTATGCATCAAGGATGTCGAACGTCTGGATTCCCGATAACACGAAACCGTCAGTCGTACCACACTTAGCGCTAGGGATTACCAGGAACATACCCCAGAGTCAACCTCTAATACTCGGAAGCCCGAATTCAAGTTTGTCAAAGGAGTCACAGACGGCATGATCTGTGCTGGATGTCAGCTGCGAATAGCAGACTAGACGTGTCCGTCCACTCACCCATGACACAGCCAACGCGGTTTCTGCGCTGATATTCGTCGCATTGTTGGCGTAATAGATCTACTGCCGATTTAAGCGGATTTCCTGATAAATGGAGAGAGGTAGACACCCCACCGAAAACTCATCCTCATGATTATGCCCAAAGAATATCGCTGCGAAGGGATCAGATAGGATCTCATGTCATAGATGATACCAAGCGTACTTGAAATCACATGAGGAGAAAACCGATCGACGCTGCAGAAGCACTATCGAGTCTGCACTGTCCACCAGGAAAGCGAGTATGATGCTTACATTTGATAGACTGCGCAAACAGAGTTCGGTCAAGCAACATCACGAGATGACTGGTATCAATACGCACAGAGATTGGACGGGTTGTTCATCGCATTAGTGCCATCCCATCCGCTAGGTACATGCCCCAGGATCCAGACTAGTCGCGTCAGCGCTTAGTGCCTGCATAATTCACAACATCTGCTCACCTCGGTCCTCGGCATCTTCCGCATCCTGCAGCTCGTCCGTCAGGAACCTCAACATGCCGGAGTTGTCAGACGAAGTTAGGTTGATATTGTTGTAGTAGTTCGCGCTAGAACATAGAATTCCTCAGTGAACCTGCGTCCTGATGTCAGGGCATGATCAACACATACTTGTACCCTGAGGGCAGAGGGTGCAGCATTTAGCAAGCTAATAACATGACAGCGTTGAGCGACGTACAGAAGTCGGTGTTCAGCGTGATGATTCTCAGACCGTCCCCACGTTGGACTGAGTATGCGCCATACGTCGTGCGAGCTTGTTGAGCTTCTGACGGAGAAAGCCATCCTTCCAGTTCCCACAACGCAGCAATATAGTCGTAATTCCTTCGTAAACTCAGATTGAATGAATCTCTTAGGCATGCAATTAAATCATCATACCAGTCGTCTTCCGTAGACAGCCCGCTCGGGATGTCGTACGGGTTGTTCTGTGCTCTATCGAAGACAACTTCGTGTCAACAAACAAGAGCCACATGCTAACAGGGAACTCACTCGTTATAGGTATCGTGGTTGCCGAGTACTGCGTACATGGGGCCTGTGTTGAGCGTTCTCTTGACCAGGTCAAACAAAACTGTCTGGAAACCTTCAATCTAAGGTATCCAAGTTCACAAATGATCCTGTGCTTTACCTCGGCGTACAACGTGAACTCCCTGCTCGAGATGAGTGAATTTGAATGAGTCGTGATGATAAGGTTGCATACCTGGACAGCTCATTCTCCGGGTCATGGGGCACAAGATCACCAGTATAGATCGTGAAATTGAAACCAGCTTCTGCATTCGTACCCGAGACGACAGGGATCGCCTCCAAAGCCGCAGCGATCAGCGTGAAAGGGGAGTCACTTTAACTGCGTCAACGCCAGCGTAGACACCAGAATGACTAAAACGATACCAGTTGTAGGCGCCATAGCGCGGAGCGGGCAGGGAGCTCTGGTTCAGGCTGTACTCGTTGTAGCTTCGTCGACGACAGCACAGGTACTGGCTGCAGTTCGCCTCAGAGCCGATGGCGTATCCTGTGTGAGAACTGCGTGGGCGATTGCTATCGCATCATCGACACGGAATTGCTCACGCGGATCAATGTGGAAGTCTGAGATATGCAGGATCTTCAGCCTTTCTCCCGTGGGCTGTTTCGGCGGGGGCAGGGGATTCGGCTTCGGCTTTGCGAACCAAGTCGTCAAGTTGAGGGGACTGGTCGGCGGCAATGGGCACAAACCCAGATAGTTCGAGCAAATCGACTAGATAGATAATCAGGCACTGTGGCATGAACCGTTTGGTGACGAAGTACCTGTCCATCATATCCTCCTGCATCAGTATAGGCCAACACCTGTGTGATAGGCGATCCAAGCGCGTAGATGCCGTAGGTCTGCTGGCACGACAGCGTAGTATCATAGTCGAAGTAGTCGCAGAGCTGTACAGCCAAATTCGGCACTTGTTCGGGAGCAGCCATCGCTAAGAACTTCGCCACCTCCAAAGAGGCTTGGCATTGCGCACAGGTGTCGTTTGCGAACACCGGATTGGATGTGATTGAGACGATCTGAGCGAATGCCGTTTCCAAGAATAGTTCCGAGGTCGCCGGTGGGGGTAGCGGGTGGGCTTCGAGGACATTTTCCTACATAGTTGTTAGTCACGCATATGATAGTATATTGCACGCTGGCCCTACCTGAGGAATGGTATCCGGATTCGTGAGCCAATACGGATAAACCTTATTCTGCATAATGAAACATCATCAGGTTATGTTCTATATCTGATCGCCATTCTGTGATTACCGTGACTGGATCAGAGACCACTGGCTGCGGCTCCGCAGACGTAGCGGTGGGATCGTTGTAGTAAGATGCATAGAACGATGTTGGGAACGCTCCAGGCACCGTGTACGCCGACGGACCTAAGCCAGAGATCGATTGCGGAAGCGCAAAAGTAGCTCGAATGATGGCGAGCGCAGCAGCATGCGTTAACAAGGCTTTCCCCATCGCGGCAAGTTGCTGCAGCAGATGGCTACTGAGCTTTGTCGAGTACCTAGAGGATGCGCTCGACAAATGTCTCTTCAACGGCATTCTAAATATATAGCAGAGCAGACACTCCGAGAATAGGAGCTGAGTGGCCCAACATTCTGTCGAACGTGCGTCGTTGAACGTGCGTCCAGGGGCAATGCTCAGAGGTAAAGCAGGTGCTCAGACTGCCTCTCACGATCAACACAAATGTGGCAGCAGGAACGCACCACGAACCCGGGCCGCGCCATTTAATTTGCGATCCGGTAATCAAGCTGCTGTGGCTTGGCCTATTCTGAAACGTTGTCTCTGGAGCTCTAGTCCACTTAAAATAGTATAGAATTGCTATCGACGTTTGTCGCATGGTGCAAACCCTCGATATCACTCTGATAGCCAATCGGATGAGTGGTTGTGTTGTGCAGGGACAATCACTGCGGCTGCATCCTCAAAAGTGGCTGGTTTCCGAAGGAAATTCTTAGATCTACGCCGATCCTTCCCACTGTATCCCTCAGTTTGTGTAATGAAGAATCTTCACATAGAGCGCATTCATATCGTGCAAATCCGGATTTGTTTGTGGGTCGACATGCCTTAGATTAAGGAAACATTGACCGGGCGTGACAGGCGTCAGCCACCGGTGCTCAGGAAGGCAATCACGCATTCACAGTCCACACCAATCGGTGGTGATTCGGTGGCCTGCCTAATAGAGCAACTTGCCGAGCGTGCCGACACAAGCCGTCGTCGGAGCTTCACGGCAAGATGTGACTCGTGGTGACAAGTTTTTGCATTACCCTTCCGTTTGGCATCCTCTCACTCGGAAGTTCTCCAACGAGCAGTCCTCCTTACTATTCGATGATCTTTTCAGTCATCTAGTTAGCTGATATGGCTTTGCACCTATGCTTAAGATCCGAAGTGATTCGGCCCAGAGCTCATCGTACTCTACGAAACATTTCGCAGAATGGGCCCAATCATATATAGTAATCACGAGCCTGGAGCTAGTGCTGCATATAATTGTAAGCTCGCTCATCTTGCATCATCTTGCATCGCACACATGTCGAACACTACTGGCGACAGTCTTGGCAGCACGTTAGGTGAGAAAGTGAAGTGAGTGCGCATTCATGAGCCATGTCAGAGGAGATACTAATTAATTCCTCTGCAGGGGCGCATGGAACGTGATTGAAGGCACGCACAAATAATTGAGATGGTCGCAACTGCATTCACTTACGTTTCGGTTCCCACTGACAGGTGCCGGTGACTCTCTCCGAGGCAGCATTATGGATTTTGTCGACTCGGCGACCGGCTCCGATGGACACCATGCGGAAACAGATATTGGCAAGCAGAAAATGCAAGAGGGACTTGCAGAGTTGAGGGGCGATCCCAAGGCGGTCCCCGCTACTGGCACCCAGGCGACGGACACGAAGACGACTCCGCTGCCGCCGCCCGCTCGTAGCACCGATGCAACGGACACTGGTGCCACTGGCACTACGGCTACGACCGGACATGATACAACTAGTGCCATCAGGAGTACTGGCAAAGGCATTGCTCCGTGAATGTCAATGTTCTGGGAGTTCTTTGGACGGTCCACCGAGCTCACGATGAATTGACGCGCCGTGGATGTCAGATTGTTGCTTTCCACTGCTACTCTTCGTGTTGGTCCAGTGTGTAAACATATCCCATTTTGAATACGAGGTGTCATCAAGGTGAACTGTAAATGTCAGCGGCGGATACTTCAACGAATATAAGTAAAATCATACGAAACATGGAACTTGAAGTATGCAGAGGTAGGCAAACGGATAACCCTAGCCACTAAAACGCCGCGCAGCAAGATCCGTGAAGTCGAGCGGAGCGGCTAGATGGTTGATACCGTGAGCCATGTAGCACTCCAGTGATATTTCCCGGAACAATACACGAATAGCTGTCAAACTTGCACTCCAGCTTTCTTCACACGTGCTGAGGTAGATTCCGGACCATCTGTAGGCGCCTGTTTCTGGCAACTCTGTCGATCAAGAGGCACATTAGAGGCATTAAAAGTAGTGCCCACGACGGGAGAACGCAAGCGAATGGTCGCATGCTTGCAAGTAATGTCGCGGCGTCAAAGCGCCTGGTGACGAGACGCATGCCTCCGAGCTGTGCCAGGAGATCTGCGACATTTGCAATCCGCGGATTTCTCGTCGAACCACCGCACAGTGGTGCTGATATAGATATGCCAAAGCTATGTTCAGAAATGAACTTGGGCTCGAAACAATTGAACAGCATAGATGTGTATCATTCGAAATGAACATTGGAGCTCTCGAACTGGCTACTGAACAGATAGCAGTAAAGCGCTGTTCGACAGTTACATGTTTGACAACTACGGACACACGGGTATAGAACAGTCCTCTCGACACACTTCGTCGCAGTTGAGCGATTCTTCGCTCACTGCACAGATCCGTGGCCAGAGATGCAGTTCTGGTGTGCGATGGGTGTGCTGCCGCTTCGCATGTAGCAGATCCTGGCAGGGATACATTTACCCGTGCAGGCCGCAGTCTTCACCGAGCTCTTGCCTTGGTACGTGGTGAACAGCTGGATACACGTCAGAGCATGGCTATGATGGCTAATATTGGGGGACATACCTCAACGAGAGATGAATTTGCTTCCATCGCTGAAACGTTGATCCCGTCAGAATGTGGATTGAAGATGGCACACCGATGACATCAATACAGACCTTCAGTGACCAAATGCCACCATGTAGCGTTCAACGGGTCATTAGGGCCCCACTCGGTGATGGTCTGACCGTATGCCTCGCGGGTGCTGTACTCAAACTCGAAGGCCGGTCCAAACTCCGTCTGCCCATCGAGTTCTCCGAAGGTGTTCACGTCTGCCGCCCAGCTGCGCGGCCGATCAACACTACAATTAAAGAACGATCTCGACGAAAGGTTGCACTCACGTGTACGCATCAAGGATGTCGAACGTCTGGATTCCCGATCACGCGCAAACATCAATCGTACCACACTTAGCGCTGTATCGTACCAGGACGTACCCCGGAGTCAACCTCATATACTCGGAAGCCCGAGTTCAGGTTGGTTAATGGAGTCACGGACGGTGTGATCTATGCTGAAAGTCAGCTGAGAATAGCGAACTGGACGCGTCCGTCCACTCACCCATGATACAGTCAGCGCATTTTCAGCGCTGATATTCGTCGCATTGTTGGTATAAAAGATCTACTCCCGATTTCAGCGGACTTGGCCATAAACGGAGAGAGGTAGACACCCCACTGAAAGCTGATCCTCGTGAGTATGCCCAAAGAATATCGCTGCGAAAGGATCAGATAGGATCTCACGTCGCAGATGAAACCATGCATACCTGCAATCACATGAGGAGAAAAGCGATCGACGCTGCGGAGGCATTATTGAATCTGCACTCTTGCCCAAGCAACGAGCATGATGCCTACATTTGATAGACTGCGCAAACAGAGTTCGGTCAAGCAAGATCGCCAGATGGTTGGTATCAATACGCACAGAGATTGGACGGGTTGTTCATCGCATAACTGCCGCTCCATCCGCTAGGCACATGTCCCAGGATCCAGACTAGTCGAGTCAGTACTTAGTGCCTACATAATTTACAACGTCTGCTCACCTCGGTCCTCGGCATCTTCCGCATCCTGCAGCTCGTCCGTCAGGAACCTCAACATGCCGGAGTTGTCGGACGAAGCGAGGTTGATGTTGTTGTAGTAGTTCGATCTAGAACGGAAGGTACTTGGGTGAAGCTGCGCCCTGATGACAGGGCATAGTTAACGCATACGTGTACCCTGAGCGCAGAGGCAGACGATTTAGCAAGTTATAACTAGACAGCGTTCAGTGACGTACAGAAGTCGGTGTTCAGCGTGATGATTCTCAGACCGTCCCCACGTTGGACTGAGTATGCGCCATACGTCTTGCGAGCTTGTTGAGCTTCGGACGGAGAAAGCCACCCTTCCAGTTCCCACAACGCAGCAAGATAGTCGTAATTCCTTCGTAAACGCAGATCAGGTCAGTCTCTTAGACACGTAATCCAATCATCATACCAGTCGTCTTCCGAAGACAGCCCGCCCGGGATGTTGTACGGGTTGGTCTGTGCTCTATCGAAGACAGCTTTGTGTCAGCAAGCAGAAATTTCACACTGATAGGAACCTCACTGGTTATAGGTATCGTGGTTGCCGAGCACTGCGTACATAGGGCCTGTGTTGAGGGTTCGTTTGATCAGGTCAAACAGAACTGTCTGGGAAATTTTAATTCTAAGGTATACAAGTTCACAAACCATCCTATACTTACCTCGGCATACAACGTGAACTCTCTGCTCGAGATGAGTGAATGTGAAGTGGTGGTGACGACCAGGTTGCATACCTGGAGAGCTCATTCGCTGGGTCGTGGGGCACAAGATCACCCGTATAGATCGTGAAGTTGAAACCAGCTTCTGCACTCGTATCCGTGACGACAGGGATAGCCTCCAAAGCCGCAGCGATCAGCGTGAAAGGGGAGTCACTTTAAAGTGTGTCAACACCAGCGCAGCCACTAGAATGATTAAAACGATACCAGCTGTAGGCACCAAAGCGCGGAGCGGGCTGGGTGGTCAAGTTCACGCTGTGCGTGTTGTAGCTCTGCTCACGGCAGCACAGGTATTGGCTGCAGTTCGCCTCGGAGCCGATGGCGTATCCTGTGTAAGAATTGTGTGAGCGACTGCTTTCGCAACATCGACACGGAAGTGCTTACGCGGATCAATATGGAAGTCTGAGATATGCAGGATCTTCAGCCTTTCTCCTGTGGCCTGCTTCGGCGCGGGCAGAGGATCCGGCTTCGGCTTTGCGAACCAAGTCGTCAAGTTGAGGGGACTGGGCGGCGGCGTTGGGCATAAACTCAGATATGTCGAGCAAATCGACTACATAGATCATCAGGTGACTGTGGCATGAATCATTTGATGACGAAGTACCTGTCCATCATACCCTCCTGCATCGGTATAGGCCAAGACCTGTGTGATGGGCGACCCGAGCGTATAGATGCCGTAGGTCTCCTGGCATGACAGCGTTGTAGCATAGTCGAAGTATTCGCAGAGCTGTACAGCCAGGTTCGGCACCTGCTCGGGAGCAGCCATCGCCAGGAACTTCGCCACCTCCAAAGAGGCTTGGCATTGAGTGCAGGTGTCATTCGCGAACATCGGGTTGCTCGTGATTGAGACGATCTGAGCAAACGCCGTTTCCAAGAATTGTTCCGAGGTCGCCGGCGAGGGTAGCGGGTGGGCTTCGAGGACATTTTCCTGCGTATTGGGTTAGTCGCACATATGATAGCAGGTTGCACGCTGGACCTACTTGAGGAATAGTGTCCGGATTGGTCAGCCAATACGGATAGACCTTATGCTGCACAATCAAACATCACCAGGTACGTTCCATATCTGAACGGCATTTTGTGCTTACAGTCACTGGATCAGAGACCACCGGCTGCGGCTCCGCAGACGTAGCAGTGGGGTCGTTGTAATAAGATGCATAGAGCGATGTTGGGAACGCTCCAGGCACCGTGTACGCCGACGGACCTAAGCCAGAGATCGTTTGTGGAAGCGCAAAAGCGGTTCGAACGAAGGCTAGTGCAGCGGCGTGCGCTAACAAGGCTTTCCCCATAGCGACGAGTCGCTCCAGCAGATGGCTACTGAGTTTTGTCAAGCACCTAGAGGATGCGCTCGACAATACCTTCTCAACAGCATTCTCAATATATAGCAGACGCTTGGTACGAGCTGAGTGAACACTCTGTCGAACGTGCGTCCAGGGACACAATGCCCAGAGGTAGAACGGATGCCGAGACGTTCAGACCACCTCTCACGCTCAACACAGATGTAGGCAGTAACTGACCGGAAGGCTTGCACGGAGCGCCTTCCAAGGCTGCTCAAGTGCACGTTGTTCCTATCAGAAACGAAGCAGCAATGCACGTGAAGCTATGTCCTTGGCAAGGTTACGCACCGCTATGCAGATGTGGCCCTGCTTGAATGAGATTATTTGTCAATAGCTCAAATCTGCCTTGTATCGAGTCGAGCATCGTGCATCGGCCGTCGGACGTCGAAGGCTCGGGTACCGATTCAAGAGCTCGCATCGAACTGCCAACGAAGCGACGGCGTGAATACGCCGTCGCTTGATTTCGGAACGTGAGGGATTGAAGAAACATGTGCATGGATTCCCAGTTCGTTATCATGAGGCTACCGTCAATATAAACAGACTACAAGCGCTGATAGCGTGCACGCGACCAGTCGGTATCGCGGAGTGTCCGCTGCAGCCTGTTGCTGATGTCCATATGAGATTGAAGTAGCCGTCGAGTAAGCACTCGTTATATACTTACAATCTCGAGCAGTATCATATTCATCCTGACACCCGTTTGCGCCGTCTGTTGGTTCCAAATAACAGAATGTTATTTGGCTATCTACAGTGGTACAGTGGCGCTTACATAAGATAGGAGGTTGCACGATCACCCTTTTCCGGCTAGCACAGCCTGCATAGATTTATTTTTCCACGGGAAACCTGATTCAAAAATGGTGAAAATATCTTATGTCTGGATATAAAAACAGTTTGAAAATTGAGCGGAGAAAATTAAATTATGTTACAATTGTTTTACCGAAACGTATCAGCAATAGTGAAACTATTTCCCAAAGGAAGATATTTCAGTCCAAAAATATGTGATACCGATATGTTTCGGTGAAGCAATCGTAACATAATTCAATTGTTTCCACCCGATTTCCAAACTATTTCCATATCCAGCTGAAGACATTTTCACCATTTTTTCATTAGGTTTCCCGTGGAAAAATAAATCTGTGCAGGCTGTGTAGGGCGTTTTCCGATTGCTCACGTCAGCTTTCGCGTGGCATTTCGTCTTCATCTTGCCCGTTTGGTCTGGCTGCGGGCTCCTCCCCATCTCGCTTTCAGGAGTTTGGGGGGCCCCATCCTATGGGTGGGACATTGTGCTTCATCCCACCACCTCAGCCACATTTCAGCCACACATTTTAGACTCAGCCAATGTTAAACTCCGCACTCTTATTCCCCTCCAACTCCATATAGCGGCTGGGAGAAAACATGTGTAAATAACGGAGGTCGGATGCAAGCTGCCCCAAAGTAGTAGTTGGTGCTCCCCGAGCGCTAGATTTTGTACTGACCTAATCAGGAATCAAATATTACACCTATTGCATCATGCAAATATGCTCAGCCCATCTACTCTCAAAGGAGAGTGCTTCTGATATCTGCACACTGGCAGAGGCATTCCTTGTAAGGTCTGTCTATGACAACTTCAATGCTGCAATCAAATACATGATACCAGGAGTCAAAAATGCAAAAGAGAGCCTCTCACATCTCCCAGCTCCGGACTCAGTCACTCAACCATGGTGTCACCCTCAATGATCTGCACTGCTCTAGATAGCCATGGAAATCCTCACCATTGAATCATGCTGTTGAGTGCCGTTTATTGATGCCTTGCCGTAGCAGGACTCTTGTAACCACTGTTATCAATGAATGTTAGAGTTGCCGGAAATTTATTACAGGCGCCTATCAATAATCTATTTTCTGGCCTTGCTGACTGCCAATTGGAGAAGGTCGGCCTCCGACCTCCGTTACTTACACATGTTTTCTCCCAGCCGCTATAGGGAGTTGGAGGGGAATACGAGTGGGGAGTTCGAAATTAGTGATCACATCATGATCGAGCACATGGCTGATCGGTCTAGGATGGGGCACTGTATCCCTCCCTAGGATGAGCGTAGAGCTACTCGTATTATATGGGTTGCTCTACAGGTAAACATATCTCACAGCTACTGTAATCCCGCAGCTTTTCAATTTTTACAATGCAAATTTAGGAGGACGGCAAGGGTACGTATACAGAGCACTGCGCAATCACCCACTCATAGTCTATCCATTACAGACTTAAAGAAGTGCAAATGTTCCCTGATGACTTTGATGGTGCCGTGAGTCTGCTCATTGTTTGACAACGGTTTCCATTGACCACGGTAGCGTAAAGATTGTCGGGTCTCCGGCGAACTGGATGACTCATCTTGCCGATTGGAGTATCAAAATGTGCCTGGATATGCTACCGCACAACTCCTCTCACTTCGTTGGACCTTCGCTCTGGATAGATGTCATTTATCCCGAGGTTCTGAGACAGTGCGATGCGATTGATGGGGTAAGCAGCTGCCCATGTATTGCTTCAGCTGCTTGCTTACTACTATAATTTCCACCTCATAGCTCGTCGATGGGATCATCAACGATCCCAGATACTGCCTGTAAGACTCGTTCTACCGTCCACATGCGATTGTCTCGATCTGCTTTTCAATTTCCGACCAGAGACGCTCACATGCCATCCAGGACAAAACACGTCTACTTGTCTGACAATTCTACAGATTGAGGCGCTACACAAGATCTATGCAGATTACTACGAGACTAACCAAACCTGGATCTTCGGCCCCTACTATCCAGGTGGCGAGGTCGCATATGCTGAAGGCGTTTATACCACCGAACCGCTCCAGCTTAACGTAGACTGGTTCCAGTACTTCGTCGTCAAGTAAGGCCCTTTCTGGTGGAAACACGGACATATTCAGCGTTTTCTGTATCAGTGACACCGAGTGGACCATCAACGACTACGACGTGTCAAATGTAGAGCTGGCAGATGAGATCAATCCTGGCCAGGCAAATGTGAGCGGCGTATCTTCAAATATGAATACAATGTCTAATTAAATCAACAAGGCAATCAATCCCAATCTCACTGCTTTCGCAGGGTTGAGGCACAACGGGAAACTCATACATTACGTCGGCTGGGTGGACCAGTTGATTAGTCCTGGAAACTCGCTTCATTACTATGAGACAGTACACGCCTTCACACAAGCGTACGCTGAAATGGACATCAGCGATTACTACCGCCTATTCACTGTTCCCGGAATGAATCATTGGTAAGTCTGCGTCGTTGCTCCCTATCCGCTGCTCACATAGCTCTAATTGATGTTAGTACGGTGAGAACCTTTTCGAGAAACTAAATTCCTGCGCGAAACCGTACCTACTCATATGCAGGGCGGATACGGCGCGAACGCCTTCGGAGCTGTGTCGCAGGCTTCGGGCGGGATGCTACCTCTTTCCAACGGCCCTGAGTATAATATCCTCTCGGCGCTGGTGCAATGGGTAGAAGAAGACGTGGCACCTTCGTCTCTGTCGGCTGTATACTACAACGATAGCGATGTCGAGAACGTAGTAGGGTTCATACGACCGCTTTGCCAAGTACGTGACCTGTTCGTTCATTCCGTGTAATCATCGTCTGATTGTCCGACCATAGTATCCCCTGAGCTTACGGTACATTGGCGGCGATCCAATGACTCCAGATGCATTCGCATGTGTCTAAGCGTGTACGTCTCAGAGATATTGTCCAAAAATTCGGTATCGATAAGAACGTGGGAAGTAATTCTTGCTCATAAGCTAGCGCAATTTTGAATGAAGAGACTCGCACTGCCACTACGGATGGAGCAGATCTTTTCAGGAATGCAGCTACCGGTGCAAGCAGTGCCCCGCGCGGAACTCTTTGTCTGATAGGTATTGAACGTCTGCATCGAGCAGCTCTGTCAGAATGTCGTCTTATTTACGGAAGCAGCAACCATACCTCGACAAGGGACGAATCAATTTCCATGGCTGGAAGAGATGAGTTTTGAACTCAAAGAATGTGATTTAACGGCACGAACCTTCCGTCACTAACTGCCACCAGGTGGCGTTCAAGGGGTCGTTGGGTCCCCACCCTGTGATATTGGCGCCGTATGTCTCGCGTGCGCTATACTCAAACTGGAACGTTGGCCCAAATGCTGTCTGCGCATCTAGCTCCGGATATGCATTCACATCGGAATACCAGCTAAAGCGAAAAAGGTTAGAGAGGACCAGTCAGCGGATAATTCAAGTCACGCGACAAAGCATTCACGTGTAAGAGTCCAGGACTTCGAATGTCTGCAATATGCCAAAGCGGTCAACACTGCAGCACAGACGATAGAGAGTTCGTACCCCAGAGTCAACCTCGTAGACACGGAATCCTGAATTGTAGTTAGTTATAGGAGTCACGGAAGGCCCGATCTTTACTGCTATTCAGCCATAAGCGATGATTCTGTGAAGCTGCTCACGCACCCAGGCGACCGTCTGGGCGGTCTCCACGCTCATGTTCGTGGCGTCATTTGTGTAGAAGATCTAGAAGGTGTCAACGTTATTGCCGGTATCCAAGCCAAGCTAGTAAACAAACGTGCATTTAGCATGTCCTCGTGCGTATGACCGAAGAAGATCCCTGGTGAACCACGTTCGAGTTCAATGCCAAAGGCACGACCGTTCATGCAATTGATTACCCACCGGCAATGACATGTGGTGAGTACCGGTCGACACTGCAGTACCTAGGTCAGTCTTATCACGAGAGTTCCCGAAGACGAAGTACTTGCATCTGATAGACTATTCATCCAAGCGGCCATTAGTTTTGCCTCAACGTTTCGCTCGCAGCCAAACTGACTCACATAGATTCGTCGGGTTCTGCAACGGATCAGACGCATCCCATCCGCTTGGGATATGGCCCATGATCCAAGCTAACGTGCCTCAGAGACAATTCCTAAAGTTCCAAATGACCATCTCTCACCTCGCTCGCCAGCATCCTCAGCATCCTGCAGCTCATCCGTCAGGAAGCGTATCATGCCCGAGTTGTCGGAGAACGATGAGTTGACGTAATTATATACGTTTTGGCTGCATAGCATGTAGTTTTTAGTCTGCTATCAACAGTTCCGAATCTCCTTTCAACGTACGTATACCCTGGGATAAAGGTATGTCAACCATGATTACGATGAAACATTCTGGACATGCACGTACAGAAATCCGTGTTCAGCGTGATAATCCTCAGGCCATCTCCTCGCTGGACCGAGTACGCAGCATAGTTAGTCCGCGCCTGTTGTGCAGTCTCCGCGGAGATCCATCCCTCCAATTCCCACAGGTCGGCAAGGTGATCATAATCCCTGTATATATGCGTCCAGTCTCAGCGTCACAGATAGTAAAAAGAATGGAGCACACCAGTCAAACTGTCCCGCTAGCTCAGGGACAAAATCGTAAGGTGAATTCTGCGCTCTGGTGAAGAAGGCCTTTTAGCGTGTTGAGATCGAGGGGGATATGAAGACTGACGTCTGATAGGTGTCATGGTTGCCCAGCACCGCATACACAGGGCCCGTATTGATCAGCCTTTTGATCAGGTCGTATAAGACGGTCTTGTCACCCAGACGTGAGTAAACAACAGCAACAGCACAGAAGTGAACAGACCTCTGTATACACAGTGTACTGTCTTCACGGCAGATCAGTCGAAGATCAGCCAGGTCAACCCTCACACAGCCCGTTCATAACATACCTGGACAGCTCGTTCATGGGATCATGCGAGACCAAATCGCCTGTGTACAGCGTGAAGTTGAACCCGTCCTGCTCTGTCGCAGTGAGGATGGGGATTGCCTGCAGAGCGGCGACGATTAGAGTGTAGGGCGCGTCGCTAATGGCAATGTCAGTCAGGTCTCATTCCAGTAGGCGAAAACATCGAGTGTACCAAACAAATGACCCATATCGCGGTGCGGGTGCTAGCGTCTGGTTCACACTGTCTTCATTGTAGGCTCCAGCTCTGCAGCAGAGACCCTGGCTGCAGTTGGCCTCTGAACCGATGAGGTATCCTGTCCGCCGTCGTTCAATACTCAAAATCATCGTGTAGTTACGAACGACGAACTCACGGGGATCAATGTGGAGGTCAGAGAGGTGCAGGACCTTCAGACGTTCCCCCGTAGCTTGTCTGGGAGGCGGAAGAGGACTAGGCTTCGGCTTTGCAAACCAGCCAGTGAGGTTGAGCGCGCTTGTAGACGGGATAGAGCACAAGCTGGCGAAGTTCGCGCATATAAGCTATGCCGATGTCCAGTCAGCACCTCTCCACACCCATGAATATGCTGCAATCCAGACACCCAACTTGTCCATCATATCCCGCCATATCAGCATATGCCGCAACCTGCGCGATCGTCGGCCCAACGCCACTCATCCCAAACTCCGCCTCGCACCCCGCGTCGGTCGAATACCCAAAGTACTCGCACAGCTGCACGGCAAGTACGGAAACCTGCTCTGGGGCCGTGAGCGCGAGGAACTGGCCCACTTGGAGCGCAGCCTGGCACCGGGCGCAACTGTCGTTTCCAAACGCTGGGTTGGTCGTGATGGTGAGAATCTGGCTCCAAGCGAGATCGAGTAGCTGGGTCGGCGAAGCGATGGGTGGGAGTGGTTGCGGTTCGGAGGTATCGTTCTGCAGTGAACCATGGCATCGAGCAACATCAGCGTCTCGACTGAGTGCGCGCAAACGGCTACATAGACGGACCTGAGGTATGCTCTCCGGATCCGTCAGCCAGTACGGGTATATCTCAGACTGTGATAGCAGGTTAGCAACTCCCCGATGTTCTGTTTCTGGACTATATACTCACAGTTACGGGATCAGAGATTACAGGCTGAGGCTCAGCAGATGTTGCCGTAGGGTCATTGTAGTACGACTGATAGAGAGACGTCGGGAATGGCCCAGGGACGGTGTACGCAGACGGACCGTAGCCAGCAATCGCGGTGGACACAGACGACGTCTGGCAGAGACCTCCACGAGCTAGCAAAGCTGCGACCACACCGGCGATGACAGCCGCATGTCGCATGTGTGACATGGCCTAGACGAGAGACGGACGGACGGGTACCGTAGTGCGCACGATGTTCCTTTTAAGAACCCAGAAGGCGCAGATGCTGATAAATAGAAGCATGTGTGCGATGCCAACGTGGAACAGATACCTGTCTCTGTCGTCGAAATCATCTAGGAAGGCATACGCTGGTAGAGGCAAGAGTGCCATGGGAACGAAAGATTGCTATGGGATCCGGCGTGTTACCGCAGACCAATTGCATTGTCGAGATGTCCAAGCTGATTCGATTTCCTCGGGTGAAGAGTGAACGTGCGCGAATGACACTCCGCTGCAGAGAGAAGAGCTAGTCTTCCGCGTTTTTCTATTCTTCGGCATTCATCGATGGCTTCATGCCTACATGCTGGCTTTGACGATCAATGTACTATATCCAAATGCGCTGGGCCTGAGGTCGCGCCTTCCGAGTTGACTCAGCACGCATGCGACAGATGATCACTGTAACCGTGCGAACGGACTCATTGAAGACTGCGTCTGACGTCTCTTCTGGAGAAATAGTTGCGACGCCATGGAGCCCTCGTACGTTCCGCCACCGATTGCAGTGTAACAGTATCAGTGACCTAGAAAAGCAGCTCGTACTTGGATAGTGCAGAGAGTGAACAATCCATTCCATGCGAATAAGCGCGCTTCGGGCTGAGTTCCCATCACGATCAGGTGCATCACGATCAGGTGATTCTTATTTATACGTAGCGCATCCATCGCGCGTTAAAGCTGTGCATTATTATCCGAGCATCATATTGAATGACCCTTGATTTGGCCGCAATAAGCGTTTGATCCTTGAATGGTGGCAAAACTCCGAGTTACGGTCAAGGGATTCCGATATCGCGACGGCGCTATCTTACAACAATATACACACTAATTGATAATCGTAATACAGGTACAGTCCGAGGGAAATGTTCAAATCTTGCTGACAATGTTCATCTCCTGTAGAGCAGCGTTTTCAGCGATAGGAAGGCTATTTAGAGTCAGCAAGCGCACCTGATAGTCCGTGGTCTTGCCCGTATTGTCGTTCTTGATGGCATAACGGACAGACTGGAGGTAGGCGTACCGTCAGCTGCTGGGACATGCTGATAAGACGTTTCAATGGACACTTACGCCATCGTCTGCTTCAACGACCTCTTCGATAGTGCCAGTCGAGTGAGAGACATTGTCGGAGTCGCCTATCCAGAGTAATTTGTCCTTAGGTGAATAGTGCTGCGACGATAGGACGCGTCGCAAAACCTACCACCAATGGGGCGATACTTGACCTTGTCACCTTGCTGGAAAATCATAGTCACCATCTACTTCGTCTCGCTTCGTGTGGAGAGCTCACCTGGTACGCGGAAGAAGGCATGATAGAGAATATGTGAAAGTGATTCGAGTGCGTGCTAGGGCAGGTATGAAATGCGGGAAGAGTTGCTGAGCGGTCGATGACGGGAAGTTCTTGAGGTTAATATATACGTGAGCAGGAGCGTTAGATCACCTCTTTCGTCACTGCGGTGGCCATGACGTCGATCAAAGTCTATGAATAGAGGGAGTATGGAGATGTGCCATGTAATGACACGCAACTAAGTCTGCAGATGCAGCTTGCCGAAAACAGAGGAGATGAGCGCAATGTGTTTCCACTGAATTGCCATAGAAGCTTCTGACAGAACAGCCAAATGACTTGATGCACTCGAGAAGCACCGGCTGTGGCCAGCGGCAGACCTTGCGACTGTCTGGAAAGAGGATTCGCTTAATCTTCCCTGCGGAGCTTGATGGTGATCGGGGCGACCGAGCGTCGGGTTTGAGTGATCATAGAGTTGCTAGGTATCAGCTGGTGCATTTTGGACTCATATGGCATGGAGAGTTGAGGGTTTCGTCATGGATGTGTTATTATGAGGCAGGCGTCGAGCGTTTTAGGTCTGCGCAATCCTCGGGGTTTCTGACTTGGCACTCCGTTTCTATGAGGCTGGCGTTGAACCTCCCGGTAGCATCCGCGATGCATGTACTACTAGCGGTCAAATAGGAGTTGATTCGTTTTTGGAGGCCGGTGTAAATTGTCCTGCCCGCCTGTTATTTAAGGAAGTGAACGAGTTACACTCCAAGTGGCAGTGCGCGAGGTGAGCTGCTTGTACACGCTGAAGAACAATATTACAGCTAAAAGCGCGAGACAGGGCCGGAGACGAGAGTGAGGACGAGTATGAAATCGCCCTCACACCTACATTGATATGGACTGTCAACGGTTAATAGATAACGAGGGTCGAGCATCATCTCCATCTCCTGCATGGTTAGCAATCATCTGATTCCGAGAAGGAGAAAAAACCATATCGGCCCAGTAGGTGAATTCGATGTGATTGATGAGATGGAGAGGACATGAGTGAATCTAGGAAGAAGAAAGGGTTTGAAGCGAACCTGAAGCTTGAAAAACAATGCCACAAGGTTTAAACTCCCGTTAAACTCCCGGACACTACTTATTTGGCGACGCGGACACATGTGTTTGTACGTATTTGTCTCGATCGATCGTTTCCCTTTCCGTACAGCTCCTCCTCCTGAGTCAAAGCTTGGTCAAAGCTTCACGTTCAGTCGCAAGGTATGCCGCCGACAACAGCCGGCGCTTTGCGAGTGAAGAAGAAGAATGAATGACGTCGGCAGTAGGACAGGGGGGTTCGAGACAAACAAAACCAAATCTGCCTGCGCGAAAATCGCGTTACAGGAGAAACCTTGCAGTCGCAAGGTAACTTTGATTATTTTGTGTGATTTATCACCATGCATTTTACCAAAGTGAAAGAACAGAATGGCCACATTACTTGATGCACTTTAATTTTTTGTGTTATTTATCATGCATTTTATGAAGCGTAAGAACTCGGGGAACGGAGACGCGACCAGAAAAGGCTAAACACATGCTCGATATGGAAAGTGCGGCGATTGATGCATGTGTTTGCGCGTGCTTGGTCAATGTCGTGATCGCAGCGCACTTTCTCACCGCGACAACTCGCGTTCCACCGACAAGCACTAAGCATGGCAGAGCACCTCAACCCAGAAGAGGAGAACCTCCTCCAGGTCCGTGTGTCTTTGTATTCATCCTGATAGCCTCCAACGTGCTCAAGGCAACCCGGACGGCAACATAGTCTGCTCTGGAGACAGCCTTCTCTCCCGCCCCGCTTCCGAAGCAATCCGCCGCCTCCGAACAGCCAGCAGAGGCAGCAGCTGCAGGAACAACGTCAGAACCTCCAGCGCCCGAGCCCGAGTCTGCCGAGCCAAGCGCGTCGTCGGACGCCGACGACGTCTGGAAGGCCGAGTACAACGAGCACGTCGCCGAATGGCGCCGCCAGTCCGCTGACCAGCGTGAACACGCGGAGCAGGAGCGCCAGCGCTGGGAGGAGATCCGCGCGCGTGAGCGGGCAGAGGGTATCGCGCGCTCGCAGGTGCACAGTGAGAGCGGGTGGGAGAGCGTCGGCGGGAGCGCGAGCGCGAGCCTGGTGCTGGAGAGCGCGACGAGCACCCAACCGAGCGTGGAGGGGAAGGGTGGCGAGCCGAGCGTAGCTGGTGCAAGGCATTTGATGAGCGGGGAGCACCAGGGCAAGCAGACAAAGGAGCAGCTCGAGGTACGTGGACAACTTGCTCAAGCATATCCATCAAAGTCCCTAATCGATGCTATGTCTCGCAGAAGATACTCCCAGGCACCTCACATACTGCCGCCCCCACCTCGGAAAACAAGGACAAGTGGGAGTCGCTCTCCTCCTCTCCAGCACCCGACTCCTTAACCTCCTCCTATCCCTCCCTCTCCTTCCCCTCAGACGCCCACTCCCCCTCCTCACTCCCCGCCTCCCTCCCCCACCAACACCAACCAGGACAGCCCCACCACACGCACGGCCCGCACCACGACGAACACCACCATCACCACGCGCACGCCGCGCAGGAGGCCCCCAGCACAACGCTCGCGATCTTCGACTCCTCGCTCTCCCCGCGCACGCGTGTGCGCGCGCTCCTCGCTAGCATCGCCGTGAACATACTGCTCCCGTTCGTCAATGGCGTCATGCTCGGCTTTGGCGAGATCTACGCGAAGGAGGTCGTCGTGGGCTGGTTCGGCTTTGGGCGCAAAGCCAACGAGAAGCGGCGCAGGGCGCCAGGGTCGAGGGAAGCGAGTGTCGGATTGCGCTCGGGAAGTGCATTCCGGTGACGAGGGGCAGCACAGCAGCAAGACCGGTGCACTTGGTTACTTATCTGTACGGAGGGACTGCTTTGGTATAATATGGATATACCGCCCTAGCGCATCTCGTGCTCACTTGTATAATGCCCTGCATGCCGCATAGAGTACAAAAAAAGAAACAATCCACAATTCATCACGAACTCCGTGAGACCTATCCTAAAACCATCGATGTTCACACTCAACCACTTACATCCTACCCCCTCTCCCCCCTCAACACCCTCTCCACCGTCTCCTCCTGCCGCGCGATCCACACTCCGAATGCGGGCGTCCGTATCCAGCGCGCGTAAAACTCTCGCGCCTTCCCCGCCGACTTGAACGGCAGCGCAAGCGGCTTGAGTGACGCGAGGAACGCACGCTCGTTGAACGGCGCCAGACGCGGATCAGCGCTCGTCGGTGTGGGAGTGGGCGCGCGTGTGGAGCTGGACGCGGCGGACGAGGGTGGGGAGGAGATTGTACTTGACGATGGGGTTGTGGTAGACACGGAGGAGACGAAGATGGAGGGATGTGATTCGGGTATAGGTTCGTCGTGAGGTGGGACACTGATAGTGAGTTGCGATGCGTTTCCTTCCTTGTCCTCTGCAGAAGCGTGCTCCGGCGCGTTCCATGTTGCTAACCCCGTCGTGGCCGTCGTTGATAACGGAGACGGGACGAGTGTCCCTGACGATGCCGCTGAGTGATATGAGAAGGAGCTCGCCACGGATGACCTCAGCGGGAAGAGACTCGAAGAAGAGGAGTTGGGAAAGGCAGAGACAGATGCAGACTTTGAATACGGCGTCGACGGGAAGGTAGCAGAGGCGACAGATGCAGGAGAGGGTATAAGGGTCTGGAGGTATCGTTGCAGCGGGACGAGCAGTGCGGCCGTGCGGGAGGAGAAATGTTGGCGAAGAGCTGCAGAAGCTTCGCGTTCTGTCATCAATCCGTGAGCATTCTGAAGAATCACCACAAGCGGCAAGCAGAGAACAACGCACTTGCTTGCTCAGATCCCGTACACGCTGCCTTCAACTGCTCCAGCAGCGCATGGTCTCGCGCGACGTATCTCTTATGCATTCGTGACTTCCATCCGGGAAGTGGGCCAGGACTTGCGGCCACGTGTGCCTTTGATTTCGTTCTGCGTCTTGTCAACAATGCCATGATGCATCGAAGTGGGGCATAACTCACGGAGGCGTCCGCCCAAGACTGAGGACGTGCGGCCAGTGCTTGCATGCGCCCTCGAAGTACGGATTCGTCACGCCAAGCAGGAGTCCTGCACTGGGCGGACGAGGATTGACAAGGGCGGTGTGGTCTGCATCGTGTATTGTGAAGAATGGGCGAAAGTCTCCCGCGACAGGGATCTGCCATGAGCAACGAGCAAGCTCAAGTATATTCACATATATGGAAGAAGCAACGTACTGGACGAAGGATGTCACGCAACCACCAGACAGCCTGGCTGGTCATCGCAGGGGAAGGCCCGTATACCAGAATGGGTTCGCAGAGAACGAGACACTCCCATATCGACCATAATTGCGGTAGACAAGCCTCGAATAGCAACAGTGCTGGCGGTTCCGATGGTGGTAGCGAGGCCAAAATCTATCTCGGAGATAAGCCAACGCCCTGGAGTTGATCTGGCAGAGTATTCTACGAACCTGACAGGGTGCCTCGCAGCTACCATTAAGTGGTGTAGGAGGGGGTTTCGTGGATGGCGCCTGCTGTGTGTCGACGTGCAGCGGCAACTCCGTTTGAAAGACAGTACCTAGGAACTCCAGCTCTACCACATGTCCTGGGCTTGGATCTGACCTTCTTTACGCGTAGAGTTAAAGTCGTTGGGGTTAGATATCAATTGAGGGAAACACACACCAGCTCGCCACGTTGTGACATGCCGCTTCGAGCATAGGGCTGCCATGCATGAGAAATGCAGGGCCGAGCTTCGATACAAGGGTGTGAAACAGAGCGGGATATGCGAGGTGGGTGAGGATGACGACGGAACGCTGATGATGTCCGAGTTCAGGGTTGACATCGCAACCTAAGAGACGCTACTGATTCCCACCTGTTGGTAGCCTCGCTTGGAAGTCGCGTCTCTACGTTGGGTAAAGTGCGAGTACCCGTAGATGAAGCCATCTACAGTATGCGGACGTTGATCACTAGGCCGCACAAGCTTATCCTCAGAGGGCTGCCGTGCGCGGATCCGGAACGAGTGCACTTGCGAGCCCTGTTCGAACTGTGGGCAATCAGGGAACGAGGAGAATGCGCTTCATGCCTCGACGGTCAACGCGCGGCCTGAGGTGCAGAGAAAAAGTGATAACTAACACATTGTCAGCCTCTGTATGAGACAGGTCGAGCGGAGGGTACATAGAGCAGATCTTCGGCCCGACGTCTAGGTCGAAGTCGACTAATGGAACATGCGTCTCAGCAGATGATTCCAATGATATATAAAGTAATTGTGCCTATCACCAAGCTGGCTATCCATCGACGTAGGCGCGTTACATCGTCTGGCTCCATAGTAAGGCCACCTAGGTTGAGGCTAGCTGCATCTTGCCCTGCTGAGGTGGACTGTTTGCGTGGGGTCGTGTTCCTCCTCAGTATGCTTCCATGCGCAATAGGAAGGAGACTCGGGGAAGATGGTGACTTGAGGCTTGCTGGGACCGCTCGGCTAAGCACAGATGGGCGCGCTGGAGAGCTGGAAGTAGCGGTAGATGGCATCGATTCAGCGAGACTGGCCAGGCCAATGTCGCTTTCAAGGTCTTCCGACATGCCAGCTGCGTTCAGTTTCAGCAAGCTCGTAGTGGGAGAAGCAGTCTCAGACGCGGGCGGTTGACACGACCGCGACGACGCACATGATCTCTCATCAGATGAGTCAGGTACTGCGCCTGTTGCGGGTAGTATGCAAAATGACGGTTAACGTTCAACGTTCAAATGTTCAAGAGAGACGATAGATTGATCATTTTCATTAACGCTATTGAAGAACTGTGTGGTGAAGTTCTGTGACATCTGATATATGATATCTTGCCATGAGGCGAGCTGCCGTGTCCGTTAGAGTCGCTATTCATCGTTTCATTTGTAGTGACGTATCTACTAAGTACATCGTCCAGCATGTAGTGGATATCATGCTTATCTAATATCGTATCCAAGTTGTCATAGGCGGTGCGCGAGACTAATCAGTGTCAAGAAAGGGTTTTCAACTTTCAACCCTTCACCTACCATTATAGACGTATATTGAACTATTGAAACAGTGATGTCCGATACAGCGGTGCAGATACCTGGATCCATTGATCCCCGTTGTATCATGATACGTTTTCCAGCGGAATCGGGATGTGACGGTCGTAAGCGTTATCACGTCGACAGCACATAGTAAGCAGTGAGAGCGAACATCTCGTACTTTACAGTTACGTATAGTATGACCAGACACAACCCCCAACGCCGAGTCTGAGCATCTAGCTCAGCCTGCAGCTCGTCGCTTGTCAAAAAATGGTGCAGCTTATCAGGCGGTTGGTTGAGCACCAAAAGGCCTTTCAACTCCATTTCCTTTAAAGCCTCCATCAGCAAAAGTGCAGAAAGATTATAAAGGGTTTATAATACCTTGAAACCCCCCCCCCTATTCTTATTTACCGTGACCATTCTGGCCTACTAGTATAATGGATCTCTGAGTTTCACATGAACCCCCCCTATCATTATAATGGCTTGTAAGATCGACCATTCTGATCACGCATTATAATCATGCCCAGGATGCGTAGGATAGTTTATAATTTTTCCCGATGATTATAAGATCCGGCCTATTAATTGTAAGAATACCATATATTTCAATTTGTTGGGAATGCCCGGAGGGAGCAATCCGAGAGCACCCAGTGAAGACGTTGTGGCTGGC